CATGGGATCATCTCAAACGGGACTTCATTCATAATCTGCAAAAGAACTACCTCTAACGTATGTCGCCTCGATAGAATTCGAAATAGCGTAGGCCAGAGTCTAGAAGGTCTTAACGAGTTGCTCTAATGAGGTTGTTCGCACTATGTAACTACTAAAGATAGGAATCAAAGATTATGAAGCTTGACCACGCCCTTCGTGCTAATATATTGCTAATATGTCATATGTGCCGGACTTATTATCTACTTACTAGGTAGCTGCAATTGGCTTTTCCCAGTAATCAACGTGGACGCCCCTATCGCACTATGGATGCTCATTTCGCATTCCGCCACCCTACTGACGAACTGCTCCTCAACTCTGGGGGAGACGCGTGGTGTCGATCCTGAGATGTGGGTTCTAAAGCGGGGGAATAGACTTATTCCCGGAGATTTCGGGCGCTTGGATGGTCTAATCGCACGAGTTAGCGGTATCGATCCCTCAGGACTTTACATGCGAAGCACGAAGTTGCATAGCTAGGCACATAGGGCTGTCTAACATATTTCCTTATTCGGTTAAGCCGCCTGTCCTACGATAACCGGGTGCTCATGTGTACTAAGATTGTCAGCCAGTCGCATGAAGCACTCCTCTATCTGTAACTACGGCCCCGAATATTAAAGGGGGTGTTTTTTGTTCGGCTATTGAGATAAGGAGCTTAGCTACATTGGTAGGATCGTCGTCTAGACGAGAATTGCCTCTCGCGACCGAAATCTAGAACTCCAGTAGCCTTAGCCTGACTGCGATTTCTTGACGACAGCGATGCGGAAATAACCTTAGGTTAGGTAGCCATACCCGTCTAAGATAGTACGAAACCCCTGAATTGGGTAGATGACCGACATCTGTGGAAGAATTCAACTGGTCCCAAAACGGGTGGAAGTAGTCTAGATTGGATCTCACATGGCGTTCTTCGTTGAGATCCTTGGTAACGGCTGTGACCTGAGGCCGGCTCCTGATTTGTCCTCCTGTCAACGTTGCTATTACATGTGCTATTACATGTATGCGGGACGCACATTGTACATGTACGTGTCGCCGCTGTAAAGAACCTCCGCAGAGGAATGGTTCTTGGCAAGTGAGAACCTTAAAACACCTTCGCACGTTGACGAGCCCGAGATAGTGGGTGGCTTATGTTGTGCCGCTTGCCTGTGGGAAGGGTACCTACCTAGGGTAAGCAATACCCACGCAATTTGCCGGCTCCATGGAACTCCAAGCTTCTCGCGTCAGCACCCAACATCATTAGGGGGAAGAATAGCAAGTGAGAAATTCCCGGAGGGTACGAGTCATACACCCCCCTGCTATTGCGAATTCGACTCCGTTGGTGGTACAATGCGAATTGTAGCCATAAAAGACCTATCGTTGAGTCAATATCATCCAATATATGTAATATATGTTGGTACAAGAACCAGAAAAAAAAAACATAAAAAATCCTTTTTCAGAATAGAAAAAGAGGTGACTAAAAATCAGTCATGCGTACATCTAGCTTTATCAACGACAATGGTTTAAAGAAAACATACGTATATATTTTTAGACGCATAAAAAAATCATTCGCCCTCGTGGTGATATGATAGCGGAATAAAACGGTTACCATTCACGAATAAAGGCTGAGCGTTGGCTGGCGCCAGCGTTGTGGCTGGCTACAGAAATACATCGGGCCTATTTGATCTTCGCCGGATTCTATGTTAAATGATTCCAAAGAGCACGTAGGATGAGTTTAAGGGGTAAAACAAAAGCTGAAGAGGAAAAGATCTTAGTTATTAAAATTAACATGTATAATGTAGTCTTATCTATGTGTATTCGAGGATTGGTGACGTTTAAAATTTCGGTAGAGAAAAAAAAAAGGTCGTCCAAGCCATGTGGTACATGCATGCATCATCCATGGACTTTGGGTGGATGAGGCTGAGGAAACAATAGGAAGAAGATATTTTCATTGGTGGACTTATTCTCATATCTTGGTACTGGAGCAAAAATCGATTATTGTTTAAAGATATGTAACTATGGAGGTATTGGATCAAGCCTCTTATGACTCCTTCGCCATTGCTCACCACCCCTTTCGGGTCGTCCGGTCTCTCCGGTTGATATATATTGATATGTAAGTACATATAGAGAGCACCGTGCGTGGCAGAGCAGAAACAACTCTCAAACAACATATACCGATTGCATTAATTTTAAGTCACGAGTAGATAACTCCTTATTTTTGGAAATTTCACCCTTTTACCTGATTTGTCTAGATAACAGATTAAATGATTTGTCAACATGAGGTTTGTGGGGTACGCGATCAACCTACCGAAAAATCCTATAGGAGAAAGCGTTAGAAGCTTTTAATAACTAACCAAATAAATAAAAGGTCCTACTTTCTTAAAGGGGGCAAATTGACTGTCGGATCAAGGCTGAATCCTTTTCTCCCGCGAAGTTACGGTATATCGGGCTTACCTTTTTATCAGCTTGCTTCTAGATAATGACTAGACGCACGCGAAATTATTTTAAACAGTCCCGGTAACGAAGAACATTTCGAGAAGTTTTGACCAGCAGCCCTAAGAGGCGGCAATTGGTAACCAATGAAAAGTTGAGAAATGGCTTTGTAATGGGTCGGGGCTAAAAATAGAAGCTTTATAAAGCACGTGCGAATCAGATCGAGGTCTTGTTTTTTTTTTTTTTTTTTTTTCTTCCACCTTTTTCATGTCGACAAGTCGGACGGCAAGGAGAGGCCAAGACAGAAGACTAAAATCCAACCCCTTTACCGCGTATTACTTTACCGCTTTACGTAAATATGTCTTACGCATGGTTCTTCTGGAATTCCTAGATCTAATCGCTTGGCGTCATTCCGAAGAGACGAAAGACTTTCCGAGGAGGCTTCCGTGTTGTCTAAGCCCCCCCTTCTATGCATCCTTCTCGAAGGACTCGAAGGGCTGGGCATTGTATGTACGTGTCATTGGTACTTTAAAATCACTAGCCACTAGATTGGATTGTATATTCTTAGTGCGTTCCCTTGGTTGGAGAATTTTACGGATGTTTCGTATCCTTCCCTATCTAGGACTTCTCTTTTCCCGCGTGCACGATTCGATAACTACGGGGTTTAGCTTATCTTTTCTCCCGACTTGCCTGGTCGTTCTGATGCTCAGCTTTTAAGCTAAGGTAACCCAGCCTTACAGGTTTCTTGTAGTTTGTTCCTTAGTAAAAATGGCGGTAGTGATAGTGGTAGTGGTGTCAGAGTCTCTATGCATGGATTCTAGGTCATGTGCTCTGGCAATGCCTTCGCTTATAATTCCTATGACCGGGAATTCTGCGCGCTGTATGCTGTATATCTATCAAAGATGTCGGCTATTTTTTTTCTTCTTCTTTTGAATTTGGATTATTACCCAGGCCGTCGCCTTGCGTGCGGCTATTAGATGACACATATTCTAATACCGAAGTAGCAAGGTCTTGAAGTAGTAATGTCTGTCGAGCGAAGGGCGAGCATTGAGCGATAGCCACGGGTTTAGGACTTATTCCATGTAAATCTCCCCTACGAGTGGTCAAGGTACGCAATGAAACTCCAGAAACGTGCTGGGCTGCGACATGATCCAGAAAAAAGGACCCTGTCTTGCCCTGCCCGGTTGAGCCCTGTTAAGCCATGCTCGCTCCCAAAAAAAAAGCTAGCTTCCCGCTTCCCGTTGCCCTTTAGTTGAGAGGTAAATCTAGAGAATTATTAGGTGGTAGCCTTGTAAGTGGCCTTTCATTCTGCTCTCTGCACTCTGCATTAGAAATCATAATTCATTAGATTCAATCTATGGGAGTAGCCGTATCTGCCGTGTCCGCCGTGTCCGCCGTATTACTTCGGAGCTCAACCTTACATAGAGACTTAAGAGTTTAAGGAGTGTTTTCTCCACAACGGCTAGTTTGGCTCGTAAGATCCATCGTCAACTGCTGAATATAGCGAATAGCCTAATAGCGCCGATATCTTAAAAGAGCCAGCCCTACGAGTCGGCGGGTTACGGTAGGTGTGGAGAATTGAAAGCCATCGCTGCTTTTACTCAAGCGCGCTGGACGCGAGATAGGTTAGGTAGGTACTTGTGTTAGGTACTTTTGTGCGCTCTGCCCTACATGTAGGCAGCAAAATTCGGGCAAAATTAGGGAACTCCGTCATGCTTTTACTTACATAGAAATACTGCGTATATGCATATCGTAAAGCCCAGGAGCGCTGCGAAAAACCCCTGCGACCATGCAGGTAGGGTTGCTGCCAGCTACTAGGTACATCAGTCACAACTTCCATTTTATATATATAATCATAGACGTACCAAAGTATTTATAATGTATATTTTATAAACTACCTAAGTACATACCCCAAGCCCTTTCTTATTCAAACCCCCTCCAAAACCCCTCCCCCCCTGTCCTGAACCCTTGTTCACTCGTGCGAGTATTGTCTTTACCGTACTCCAGCCCATGGATCGCCCGCTACTTCCTTCAGATTGAGGCGCTGCTCTGCCCTCCTCGCACTGGCCCCAGATGCGCAAACTACAACACCCCCCCAACTTCCAGGCAAGGTTGTATTGAAAGGGCGGACGCACAATCAGGTGCATTCGCAATCATATGCCTGTCTAAGCTGGACCCATGTTCATGGGAAGTACGTAGCTACGTATATACAAATGTACGTATCTACGTACATACCTAGACACATGTAAATGTATCTGGGCTTTCAGGTACTCGGGTTGCTGTGGCCTTGTCATAGAAGCATGGGGGGGCTGCAATCCTCCATCTCGAAGGCAGCTTCCATGGACCATGGCTGAAAGGGCTACTTCTATATATTTGATTCCTTCCTCCCGCTTCAGAAAGTTCATATGTCCCACCATCTCGGTTCGACAGCAACTTAGTTCTGAAGTAATCATAACGAACTACCGTCGACGTTTAACCGTCTCATCTCACTATATATCTGTCACTTACTCGATATCGTCATAGCAATATCAAGTCGACCACTGATAGATACACTCTTCACAATGTCAATGTACGCCATGTCGCAACATCAATACTCATATCCACCCGCGCCGGCGCCGAGGCAGTACTCGGCACACGGGACCAGCAGTGCTTTCTCCAGCTCAGCCAACCCTGATGAGGATTGGACCAAGATATCGGACCTTGCCGAACGCAGGAGGATACAGAACCGAATTGCCCAGCGCAACTACCGTAGGTTGCGACCAGCTTTACTTCTTTTACCAATAACCGAGTAACCTAACAGTTTCTCTAGGCAAGAAGCTCAAGAGGCGTCTGGAAGACCTCGAGAGGCGCGCCGGTACCTCGGACGATGCATCTTCTCCCACGGGAAGTGACAAGCAGTCGCAGTCCGGTAGCACGCGGAATACCAAGAAGACGAGTTCCTCTAAGGTGCAGAAGCCCACCGCAGCTCCGCACAAGGCCGTCCAGCCTCAATTTACACCTCCGATGAACCATGACGACGAAATAATATTTAGCCAGTCGTATGACGACCGAGAGCGGTCTCACACGCCGCCGTTCATGCCCTACTCGGCCTATCCTCCTCCCGACGAGATGGTTCTACCCCCGTACAACTCGGCTCAGCCTTACCATCACCCAATTACAACCGGCGAAGGCTATCCCAGCTACATAGCTGCGAATGTTCCCTGCACGCTTCCTCCCATGACACACTTCAATGATGCTATCAAGAGGGAAGCGACATATCCAGAAGAGACCATGTCTCCGTACATGAACTACGGCTTCGTACCAGGAATGGATGTCCACGGCCAAAATTCGTACGACCACTCCAACCCTCATGTGAGTCCTGTGCGCGCTTACTCCCGCCGAGAACCTCGTAGCTGATCGGTGTTGCTAGACTCCACCGCTTTCACACTCATACGAACACTCGGCGAACTGTTCAGAGTCCGGTTATGACTACCCGACAACACCTCTCTCAATGCCGGGGTCTCCCGGCCTCGGGCAACATCGTTCATAGCTCATAGCTCATAGCTAGCTAGGGTGTTGAGGTATGATAGGACACGAATGCACGGCCGAGAATAGGGACTTTGGAGGGACGGATTATATTTTATCTCGGACATGGCGGGGCGAGATATCTTACATGGAAGACGAAGGGCTCGTCTCCGTGGTGCATATTGTTGGTTTAGGGATATCCAGGTGCAGCGCGGTGTTTATTTGACGGAATTTTGACATGACCTTAGATGATACATACAAAGGGCTCTCCCGAGCTGAAACGAGGATATTAGCGAATGGAACAAGGATTGGCACGAACATGTCCAGTTTACTGTGTAGGGAATGCAAATATTTTATCATCCTTATGGCATTTCAATATCTCCATTACTTAGTAAATGGAGTTTCTAGCTTCGCTCTCGGAATACTAGCAAAAATCGAAAGTTAATTTTACATATCAATTCTACTTGCGACAGACTGTAAACAAGAAGCCTCGTGAATGGGTTAAAATGTATGAGACTAACAAATGGCATGGGAGTGGTACCGAATTATCGAATAGACGCGACGAATCTGGCCGATCCTTTTTCTCATGTCGTATCCGCCCAGACAATGCGCGGCACAATTACCACTTGGTTACGACCATCCTTCATCCCGCTCTTCCCCCCCAATCGGTCGTGCGACGTAATCGTACAGCTCGTGACCCGAGCAGGGAGTTAGCTCCGAAAGCTTTACGCGAGTTTCGAGTTCTCGCGCATTGCTACGTCCGTGTTCCTTTTTTTCGGGCCCGGTTTCCGTCACGTGTTGAATCCTTTGTCGTATACTGGTTGAAAAACTTGATAATGATATTGATAGAAGTTGAATAACTATATTGCAATGATACCCGACTTTAGTTTATTTTTATTCTATTTTTTGTAATAAATGGTATTGACACATTGACCTGATATGATTATGTAATCTTAATTATGCTATTAATTAACTCTATATGGTGGGTATTCGCAAACATTATAATACTAAGTATTGGTTACTACTTAACTAGTTAGTTAGGTAAATAAGTACTTAATATATACCTACCTATCTAAAGAGAGTTTCACGTATGCGTCTTTATATTTATATACCTTTTGAACTACATAAAATGGTGTCTTTTTATATCATATTTTCATTTACATCTGCACTCATTCCAGCTTTAACATGCAAACACACCGCAAACGGCTTCTCCACCACCGAAGAAAACCAAGGAAAAAAAAGAAATGATACTAGATATACGCTATATACGCTACGTGATGTGCTAACCTTGCCGCATTGGTATAACCACTACCCAGATCAAGATTAGGTTATGAGACAAGTCCCTCTAAGCTCAAGACTACGTGTGTGCACTGACCTTGTTCCTGAGCCTCAATGCAATGACCGATCTTCACCGTTTGACCTCACGTCTCCATTCCAAGACTGCTGCCGTTGCGACTTGACCGCTGAAAGCTCTGGATTCGGTCTAACAACGTTGATAGCAAACTAATCTTTGGCCGCTGAGTTAAGTAAGGGAGGATCGCTCGAAGCTTATATACATATATATATATACATATATATCTCTCTTTATATACCTATACGTAAGGTATTATATAAACGCCAAGGAAAGGGAAGGACAAAGAAAAATCTGATAGCTATGTTTTACCTCTTTGGCGGGTATAAGTAAGTTACGGCCCTTCGAAGTCATAAATATTGTATATCCTTTGCCCCTTCTCATATCGTACTGATACTCATCAAAGGCTATGGAACGAGCACGCCTGGTGCCCATCCGACGACCAGGTCCGCGGTGGCAAGAGCCATAGCCTCTTTGTATGCTCTGCTGATTCGACCGTGGCCACGTTTAGTGGAGAATTGGATATCACCGCCCTTGGAGGCGCCGGGTTTGCCTCGCAGCGGACTGTCGACCCCCAGTCTTGGGACCTACTTGATTACAAGGGGCTGAGGATCGGCGTAGCCAAGAGCGACGGGAAGAAGTACACGCTTGTTCTTAAGGACGAGATCCCGTCTCATCGCGAGGATGGTAGGGAGGAGAGCACCGTCAGCTGGGAATACGACTTCGTGGCCGGCGACGAGTCGGAAGTAGAGGCCTCTTGGGACGACTTCAAGCCCACGTATCGAGGACAGCCGAAACCAGATGCTGCCCCTTTGCGCCTGGATCATATCAAGCGGATAAGCATCATGATGCGAAGGTTTGTCTTGTGTCTATACGCCATTTTTTCTTTGTCTCGCATCGCTAAAAACTTATCCCAACAGCTTCTTTGGCGAACAGGAGGGACCCTTTAGGCTTGATCTCAACTATATCGTGACTATTAGACCAGAGGCAACCCCGGAGGAGAATTAAGGCATGATTTCTCTACTTTTGGAGCTTGAATTACCGTGAGATGGAAGAGCGAAGAGCGAAGCCAGTTGAGAGGTTGATTTAGTGTACTGCTCACCTCAAGGGGTCTAGATAGATCTCTAGATAAAATAGTAATGCATGCTGACTGACCCTAGAAATATTTTGAGTCGGTCTATGTTAACGTGGGACTATTCCTTGAGCATTATTAATATGAAACGTAAATCTGAATAGTTAGGTACATCTCTGGGACCCCAGTGGGCATCACTTCTTCGAGTCCTTCACGATGGTTAATGTGCTAGTCCAAGCTAGATCCAGGCGCATTATTGTCCAGTCTAGAAGATCCTTTCCTCAAACCATACTTAGGTACCTAGTCATAAACGATAAAGGAAAAACAAAGTCCTGCTAATCCAAAAACTACAAGTGAGTGTGGCCCACTGATGTTTTTGTTATCCTTGGAAGAACGGTATCGAGTTCCGTCTCGTGGATTACGGATATTAACGGCATATACCTGAACAGCTATAGCTGCGGAATTCCCTACCTTTTCGGTAGTTAGGATAGTGTGGGGTGTATTGCCTTACAGAAATATTTGCACATTTTGTCAGCGGACCTTTTTAATACCGCTGATTCGTCGAGTGTCTGACGTGCTATCATCATAGGCTAACTACAGAATTGATAAAATGACGCCTTCTATTTTTCTATAACCCTAAATAGTCCGCGGATCTCAGGAGAAAGTCGGGATATCCTGAGCCCTATGTCCAAACCCCATTATTTTCGGTAGGGAGAGCCCTTCTCAGTCTAGATCCTGCAGGTGTCCGCATGAAGATAATGTGCGCACCCGGTGGCAGGGTCCTCTAGGAGTGGCGACAGCCGTATAGACTCGACGCCCCGGCCGTTAGCATATAATTCTTTGGTAGTGCTGCTGTGACACGACATATTAGAAACCGGCGACTTGGGGAACTGTTGAATGCATGGTCTTGCGTCTGGAGAACCGTCATATGACCCTCAGGAGGGTTGGTATTTCTTTGTCGACCTCCTAGTTCCTGTTGATAATGTCTTTAGCAGCTGTTCCGTTGAGATATCCCTATTTCCGGTGTCTCTATTCTATCTACCTTATTATCACGCCGCAACTAGGCGCCTACCAACATCTAGTATAGTATACGGGTCCAGGCGGGAATTCCATACCAATTAGCTGGGGCGGCGCCGTCGCCGGCAGATACCCAACGTTAGGTGCAGACTGTTGGGCTGACCAGGAACGGAAGCTTGCTCACATTGAGCAAAGCCTGGTCCACACGGGTTGCCACACACGCACGTCTACATGCATACCTACCTGCACCAAGGGTACATAGCTAAGGTTCTTACCGTGTCAAATCCACATGGAAAGTGACAACTGAGCTGTGGGCCGTTCTGCTGGGGTCAGGAGTTTCGTCGAGATGGAGGTGGCCGATCGAGCAAGCCGCATTGACTAGCTTGACCGTCTACAAGCGAACTATCAATGCCGAGAGCACTATTCGAGGCATATCCATCTAGACTCCCAGTCGTTTCCCATCGCGCCTAAAGAATATGTACGTATATTCCCGTAAGTAGCTGGCGGATGCGAGGCCTCGAACCTTCGGCATGCTTCTTCCGATCATGCATGTTATGAGCGGATAGAATGGAAATATAATATACGTACGGTACATACCGCCTACTTACTTACGACTGCGTTTGGTCGATACTTATAGAATTGGGGCCGAGGCGGCGTCTATCCAACCAGCATCGACGTGGTCAAGCAGGTGAAGAAAAAGGGGGTTCGAAAAAGGAAAAGGAAAATAGATAGAGAAGAGGTTATCACTAAGGGGTTAGTACTCAATCCTTGCAATACTCTCATCTGGAACCGGCTTCGTCAGCTTTGGAATTGGGCGGGCCAGCTCCCTGGGTCCGGCTTACGCGCGAAGTACAGTAGGTATTAGATAAGATAGATCTGCTTTTTCCTCGAACCTATCCTGTCCATGGTTCAACCCCCTCATCCATGTTCCATGTCGATAGGTACTGAAGGTGCTGAGTAAGACCACGGGAAACCTCGTGTCCCCCACGCATCTATGTATACCAACATATATATTAGCATATACGTATTATACAACCCCCTTCGCCTCGTTAGGAGGAGAGTGGGTTCGTGGGTTTCGCGAGAGGGGGGTACTCTGAAAGAGCATGAAACAGATAAACCATCTCAGGTCGTAGGTAGATAGGTCGAGGCGATCTACTACATACCTAGGTACCAGGGTATTTAGGTACCTACTTCTCTCATAGGCATCCAAACGGTTATGAGGCGCTCAGGTATCACTCGAATGTCGGAAAGGGGTTCCGAGTAGCCTTTTCACGGCTGTTCGCAGTAGTGCACAGGGCTCGAATACAGCTGATTCCACGTTCCGGATCACCGGGATGTCAGCAATACATACATACATAAATTAAGAACGTTTCCCGGACAGTTCTGGCCGCAGACCCCAGCCTCTGCATATAGATAACTACCTAGGGCAACATAGTCTTGTCCCTGTCCCTGTCCCTGTACATACCTACAGTATGTACCGCGATCTAGAGACGAAAATGGATGAGCAGGACGTTAACGTACCTTAGTAATAGTAAAGCGGATAATGTGCCTGCCCGTCTGGGCTCCCGAGGCTATGAAGGGGTTTCCTTCGTGCCCGCCGACCAAGACGAAGCGGCTCGTATACCCGGAGCATTTATTACAATTACGTGCGGAAGTAGAAAGCAAATTATATATAAAACACCAATCAATCTGCAAAGTCGATGAGTCGCTTCTATATACATGAGGCACATGGCTAGAAGGCTGTTGAGGAATCAGTAGCTTGCACTAAGAATACCTTTGGGTAGCATTGTTGAAACTGCTATTATAGAAGAAGAATTGGCGGCCTTTACATGCTGCTCGAAAGACTTATTGAATCTACGTGGGATATATATACTATACTAAAATAAAAATAAATCTCACTCTTCGCCTGAGGCAAGTTTAGTCCGAGTTTGGACTGTCAGTACTTGAATTGGCACGCTGTGATGAGTTAGCTATGTACATATGTAGCCCCTTCTATCACCAACAACACAACAGGCAGAGATCGGCGTTTCTCTTCAACAGGGTATGCGTAGCTTTTAGTATGTTATATCATCAACTTTTTGCTCTTATAATGGTGTATCTGTCCTAACATCTGCTAAGTGGGCATCTATAGCATCTAGCTTAGGCTGCAGACGAAGCCTGAGAATATTAGATTTGCTAGGAACAGAAATATAGGTACACATATAATACAGTTGACAGCTCTTATATGAATTATATACTATTTTGGTATTTGTTGCCCTTTCAAAAGGCGTTTTAGACGCATAAGTAAAAGCTGTTAAGCCTTTTCTTGTCCCTTCTTTACCATCTCCAAAGAGCGCCGATATTTGTCCCTAGTCTGTCCATTCTACCATTAAAGACCGTAAGCATATTTCCGCTTTTCCCATAACGCCCCTAAGCTTTTGAGGCCGAACCATGTCCCCCTCATGAATTGCACCGATCCCGCACATGATGACAAAATAACCCAATGATATATATAATGAAGTAGTGATGTTAGTATAGTATATAAGTGACAGTGGCCACTTCTGGTCAATAATCGTTAACATCATTAATGCATGACTTCCGCTGCTCGAACTAAGATAAATAGACTTTCATAGGGATAAGCTTTCTTGGAACTATTGCTAGAACAGAAAATGAAATAGGTTCGCACAAGACTCTACGCAACGTCCAAGTCGATAGCGGCGGGCTTTTGCTTGGCTACGACATCAGTGTCGGTTGAGAAGTCGGTTGAGAAATCGGCTGATACGTTATGGTCGTCCTCACTTTCGCTCACTGCAATCCGAGTTAGTTGTTGTTTTAGATCTAAGTAAATATGCAAGCTGAACGCGGCTTAGCATCTGGTCGATTGGGTTTAGATCGGAGACGCTTTGTGTAGTCCTAACCACGACTGACTGGATAGTGACCAAGGGAGGATAAATACTCACTGCTGCCATAGCCGGTGTCGGTATCGATGCCCATCCCAACAACACCACGGGTTACGGTCAAACATCGTTCAATCATCTGGCGCCGAACTTCTGGCTCAAGTCCACAGTCTTTCCCAGTCCATATCCGCAGTGTGCCCGAAAGACGCTCTAGCGTATCAGCGCAAGCTTCTGCAGCAAATTCATGACTGGCAAGTCGGTCCATTAATTTGAAAGTAGCGGTGTAACCGAGCAATCCCATTTCACTGATAGGGTGGATTTGATCGATTACACCATAGATATCCACAGGCTCTTCAGGGGGAGAGAATTTTTGAAGATGGGCGATGGCCATGGCACATAGGAGAGCAGTGCGCATCTCAGTGGTCATGACTAGCGAAGGCGGGAGAACCTTAATAGGAGCGGGAGATGATGGCGCAGTACGGGTAGGGCTGCCTAATGGACTACTCGATGAGAGTATTGGGGTTACAGGCCCAATAGCTTGCAATGCAGCCATGATGTTGATGTTTCGTTTCTCCTCAAAGAGTAGCGCACGTGTAACTAAGGCACGATTTTGGGCGATGGATCCAATCGGGGCGGTTCTAATGGCTAGCGACACGTCATCTTCGACTTGCTGGACTGTGTCCGCATCATCCTCTTGCGCTAGAAGACTATTCGTAAGTGCACCTTGTAGCGTCATGTTTGACCACCAGGCTGCAACAGCATCCATTGGCGAGCGGACTGCTAAGTCGTCTACTACGGTATCCATACCGTCAATGATTCCAATAGCGTTGTAGTCGGTTGGGCGGTTCCAGGCGAGATTATGTGCCCTTTGAACGATATTTGGATTCAGGACCATATCACAATCTTGCTCAAGCAAGGCAGCTAGGTGATCAGGTAGCTCGTCATCAGATTGTTCCTGGCCGCCACGGCGAAGCTGCGTGAGGAGTCTGTGTAATTGTTTTGCCTCATTCCATTTTGCTCGAGCCAATTTAGATGCAAATGTGTTAAAGATACCAAGCTGGATACCAGAGAGACCAACCTCCCACAACAGAACTCGAATGTGGAGCGCCTTAAGCATCAATCGAAGTGGTGTGGTGGGGAGAGTTCCCGAAGCGAGCAAGGTTAGAGTCAATCGGCTCTTGCTGATCTCGACATCTCCTCCGGCTAGTTGAGCATCTAGGGCGATTGCCCATGCCTTGACACGGGCAAGCTCTTCGTCCTCCGTAAGACCTGTTAGCATCTGATAACCATGGATTCCGATGAGATTCCTTAGGCTTAGCTTCATTGTCTTGAGACCAAGCGCGGCAGCCTCGAGGAAGAAATTGTGCCGTGGGACCCAGACTGTCTGGATGGCTGTAAGCCATGCTTGACGACGCACGTGAATAGGAGATGCTAGAGATGGTACTGCTTTTAGGGAAGCTTGTTTCTGCTGTTTGGAACCCTGCACACTTGGTGGCCTACGTTCCATGAGCGAGGGGAAGACAGCCCACCAAATACTACAGAGCAGCAATGCAACCCTGATAGAATATAATACCTGCGCACCTTGGAAATGATAACCCATAAAGTTAATATTCAACGACGATGTAAGTATACTGAGAAGATGTATGGGCACGGCGAAGAGACCACGGCCCTCTGGCGTCTCGTTGTTTTGCTCGTTCTCCCGAACGGCCTCCAGAAGCATCAATCCGGCTAGGGAGCCAACCATCAACTTTCCAAAGTAAGGACCAGCATTCTGCCAGCCTCTTGCTTGAATGTGATGTTGTTGCTGTTGGATTTGCTGCTGACGTATCAAATTGGGATTGTGGTTACCACCAAACGGCCTTGGCGGTACTGGATACGGCTGACCCGTCGCCAACTGGGCGGCAATTATACGCTTCATATCTTCAGGTACTTGTATCATACCCTGGGGGTCAGTCTGACCCGATGTGCCCATAGTTGAGTTACCGTAGCCATTAGGCTCTTGCGAGTATTGTATAGGCGTAGAAGGCGTCGTTTGCTGTAAGGGACTGACTGCGCCGTTCATCGCACCCGCCATAAAGAGTTTCTCGAAGGCAGCTATTCGCTGTTGCATGGCCGAGTTCTCATCGACGAGCCGAATATTCCTTTTTTCCAAATGCCTAATATACTCGGTAGCCTTGCTTAGGACCTATGCGTCAAGTTTAGTTACAATATCCAGTGCATAAAAGATCGGTATAGACAAACCGTAGCTTTATTAAGTTTGTGTGCAGGTGTTAAGCCGTGCAACTCTTCTCTGTCCTCGGTCGTGTCCTCGCCCCTCGCGCTCTTTGACATGATGCGTAGACTTGGTACACTATCTCGCAGAGCTGCAATCTTATCATTGAGATTGGTGCGGTATCTCTTCTCAATCATGTTGTGAGCCGTCTTTTTCACTGGCTGGTGGCTATCAAGATCGTCATCATCGTCGTCGTCAAGTTCCACTGACGACTTCCGCTTGCGACTATTCGACTTGGAGCACAGGCTCTGATCCTCGGGCGACGATATGGAAGAAGACTTGTAAATCGGGCCGGCTGAATCAGGACTCGCTTCGCTCTTAGGGGAACGATAGTGAAGTTGGGTTGGCATAGCAATATTCTGCAGTTTTTGGCGCTGCTCTTCGGTAAGGCCTCTCGGACCCGCGCCGTTCGGTCGAATCTGTAGCGTAGTAGTGGTCACTACCGGGCCTACGGTCGGCAGTGGATTCGACGGACCGGATGTCATGGAAGACGGGGCCACTGCGGCGGGCTGCTGCGGCGGCGGTGGCTGCGGAGTGAGGCCATGGTCCAGTTCGGGCTGCTGACCTAGATTCCACTCGTCTTGGTAAAATGCATTAGTGTCGTAAGTGTCATAAGGAGGAGTGTCTTGAAAGGTCCAATTAGGTTCACTGTAGAATTGCTGGTTTCCGGTATTGGAGTCGGTCAGCGTCGCGTCCCCATTACTTGGATTATTGCCATCTTGGTAATACGGGCCGTTTGGATCGTCGAGACCAAAGATGTCAGAGGGCTCTTGCTGGTCCGTCATGGTGGCACTGGTGCTGGTACGATCATGAGATGCAGGTGTGGTTCGACATCAGCAGGCACCACAGCAAGTCTTTCAGCCGCTCTTTTCCAGGTCAAGACAAGCGAAAGGAGGGGGTTTGCATATGGCGGGAACGACCAGGGGTATTGTCGTTGGGATGACCTGATCGTACGGCCTGGAATAGTATAGTGCGCGTATGGCACCGATGGATGAATATGAAAACGGATCGGTTGGTTGGCTCACGCAATCGATCTTGAGGGTATATAAGCCTAGATGGGGAAGGCGATAAAATGTTGTAGACACAGGGGAATTTGTTCGACTAAGATTGTTGTTCGGGGTTGAAATGGGACAAGCAGAATGCGGAAATGCAGAATGGGAAAAGACGGGAAAAGCTTGCTTTGCGACGCCAAGTCTCTCTCCCCGTTTAAAAAAAAAAAGGAACAGCACTTTAAGAAGGCGGAGAGGGGATAATCTACCCAAGGCTATTAGGTAGTGTACGCGAGGTCTGGTAAGGTCTAGAGGGTAGACGTCGGTTTTTGCTAAACTAACGCCCTTCGTTGCCCTTCTGCCGTAACTTGTAAAGGCGTTATTAATTATCTTATTACCTTGGACTCGAACGAGTGTTGGTGGGCAACTCCTGTCGCACGCACACGGCGAGATTAGAGATTTGCTTTTTCCGAGATCTTAGAATCCGATAGGGCGGGAACGTCGACAAAGCGCGAAAAACCCAATTGCGAGAATGTAAAAACGGGGGAATTCTTGATGGAGGCTTGAGAGAATCATACGATGGACGGACGGATTGATGGAATAAGCGTATGTAGCATATGTAAGTAAAATCGATCGGGCTCAATCGTTACGCTCAGACCTCTTAACGAGCCCTACCTTCCTTGAACCTGGCTTAACCTGGCTTAACCTGGCTGAACCTGCTTTGGAAGATCTTCGGCTTACCCGTCTAGGCCTCACTATTGGTGGGGAACTATGGGGATTTCTGGGCCATGTGCCACTAGCCACTGATAAGTCTCCAAGTACGTAGTGGTTCAGCCACTTTCCCTAGGTTCGTTCCTAGGTTAGTTCTCTTATTCAAGTATAGCGGCTACCTGCACTACACATATTGTGTAACAGATTACGTCCGTACCTACCTAGGTCTAGGTACCTTACTTTATTATGGTCCCTTCAGCCCTTTGTGATATTGTACTAATTGTGCTACACTACTGCCCGCATGTACTAATCGCCTGTAAGGTACCTGTATTTAAAGTAGCCTAACCTTGTTGTCAACGGGTGGCTGCTCACGATGTTATATCATATTAATTGCATTGATTAATAGTCCGAATGTTTGGTACAACTTGAGAATCAGGTTCTTAGCAAAACAAGGCAAGCCATCACAGAGATAATGAACCGCTTAGGAACTGCTTAGGAACCGCTTGGGTCCGTCAATCAATCGCCCAGGTTTGATTCCTACCCGAGGTTGGTTCCAACCAATCACAATTACAACAGAAGCCAACGCTTGTAATGAGTACGAACATAGTACTTGTTCGGTTCACAATAGTCCAAATCCTAACATGGCCCACCGTGAGAGTAGCCTATCTTCTCTTCCCCTATGCTGATTTCTTTTGTACTTATGCGAATTTATATGCACATACATTATTATAAAGTAAAGGAGATGTTAGGTAGTCAGGGTTGCATAACTTATAATATGGCTAGGAGAAATAAATGCACAGCTAGAACCCCTAATGCGAATTAACGCCTCCGATTTCAAAAGTGGTATATATAAAACTATAAACAACTGCTTTAAACCAGAAAGTAAAGACCCTCTACATCACTCATTAGATTTTAAAACGTAAGAATCCATCCAAGACGCCAGGGTGATAGACTCAGGTCCTTATCAACCCACCCAGACCTTTCGTTAAACTCCCACATAAGCACATGTCTACCACACTTCGTCATCACCCTTAACCATTTCCATTGTTGGTGTCTTAGGCTGCAGCTGTTTCATCCTCTTTCGGTCCGCTTTAGTAACCAACGATGGCGTGATAGGAACCACGGGCGAGAATGGTTGGTATGGTGAGTAGGGCACTGGTGCGCCGGTCCACGGTGTCCTAAGCCCCGAAGGCGATAGGGGGAGACTCCTTTCAAACGTTGTTTGCTTGGTTGTCTGTGCCGAAGGCGAACTGAGAGAAGGCTCGTAGGCTCGTAGCGGAAGAGTACCGCCAGTTCGGATGGCCGAGGGAGCATTTGGCCGCGAAAAGGATCGATGTTCCGGTCCGGGCGAAGTTGGGAACGTCGCCCCGGGTTTCGGGGACGCTGGAAGAGAAGGGAAACGGTTAACGCCTGGCTTCGGTGATGAAGGTAGACCAACGAGAGGCGCGGTAGACCGTTCTGAAACTGCCGACACCGGGTCAGGCTCGGTGTATTGCGAGTTGCTCCGCAGATGACCTAACCGTTCGTCAATGCTCTGCGTACTCTCTGGAGAGATATCCGGTGGAGTGATAGGCGCTACTGGTCCGTGCTGCCTGCTTGCCCGCGCATATGGGGCCTGGTCTGTCGGAACTGGGGGTGGAGATGCCGGTGCGTAGTAGCGGGGAGGAATTACTCTCAATTCCTCCTCCTCCTGGCGTGGAAAGGTGCCTGACATAGGCGTCATAATCGGAGATGAGATACTGATGCCTTTAACATTCTTCTTTCGGGGCGATTTGAAAGCGGAGAGGATAGAAGATGCTCGGGACTGGGGCTTTTCTGCTCCAGACTGTGCAAGATCAAGGCTCGCAGGCTTATTCTTGCTCCTCTTCAAGATACCCTGCTTCGGAGTCTGCTGTTGGGGAAGCGGTACCGGTAGCTGGTCCAAAGTAACGCCTGCTTCTTTCGCAGCCTCTTGCTCTAGTACAAGCTTGTACATTTCTTCCAGCTGCTGTTGCGCCATCTTGCGATCTGCTGCAACGACTCGCGGATCGACTAAAGGATTTACACCAAGTGTACTTGTAGAATGAAGTGAGGGAACAATGTAAGGGCTCGTCGGACTTGTCGGGCTCCTCACACTTATCGGTGTTGGTGGTGTTGGGTAAGAAAAGTTCTTGACAGGCGATTTAGGCGGATCGAGACCGTACTGAGGCTGGCCGCCAGCTTGCCCAGGTGGTAAAAAAGCGAATTGATATGGGAACTGGCCTTCTAGGTCTTCCTCTCCTGCTGTAAGATGCTCACGACGTTTCTTTGCCAAGAGAAGTATAATGACAGCGACTACAACGAGCGAAAAGGCATATGATCCGACTATGCCACCAATTTGCGCGGGAAGGTAAGATGTATCTCGAAGGGCTCCAGCCGAGAGGGAAGGACCGTCTTCAGGCGTTGGAGCCGGATCAAAATAGTTGCTTTGGAGGTCTTGTATTACAGAGGCAGAACAAAAAGGAGCGAACGTCGGGAAAAGAAGAAGCAAGACAAACTGAAGCGAGGACGGCGTGCTATAAAGCCCTAGTTGCATTGTGTGTGACCCAGATCTTCATGAGATATACTATATCCCGACTCCTTAGTCAAACCTCCTGGCGGATCTATCGAAACACATTCTGATGGAAATCCGACAAGGTAAGACGCAGAGTCGGGAGGACAAAGGGTATATAGCGGCTGGTGATGTTCGGCAGTGTGTCGAAGTGGGCCGAAATGTACGATGCTAACAGGAGCAGACAGGCGCTTTGGATGTGAACTGGCTTCTCACTCGTCAGCCCCCCTCCAAGCACTTGGCTCCATGCATAATAGCCCCCAGAGAAAGCGCCCAGTGAGGGTGACAGATTGCCATATTCATATCTGTAGAAGGCAGTGGTAAATCCCGTTCTTCCAATTCTGGTTGGAGGACAACATCGTAACGACAGGGGACTTAAGCGCCGACGAGTTAAGCGTCACGGTTGATTGGGTGCGGATTCAAGCAACATCACCCAACCCCACCCTTCAACCCTTCCCCTTGCGCTTCTGCAGGTCACTCTGCCTCTGTTCCCGCCGATTGGCTAGACTAGGTTCATCTATACCGACAAGTTTGCGAGGTTTGAACCCCGACTATGCTACGCACATCAACATGAACGAATAAAATAGCAACCATATGCCTCAACCTAGTCTTAAAAGATGGTAATAAAAGGTGAGAGCCATCCCCTTTTAGTCTCGTCACATCTGTGACATTATTAAGTCTTTGAACGGAATCCTCTTGTATCACGATTTTGGTATAGTCCCGTGAAGTGATTGGCATAGGTTACAATGAAGCGATGTGTAGCTATAAGGTGGAATTGTTTGGTGAAATATGTTTCTTGGGGTCGATGGTATGATTGGCCGATAGCGAGAAACAGAATTGCCTCCCCCTTGATACTAGTTGGTGATGCAATTGTTGATGGATGGAGGGCAATGTAAGGGAAGAAAATAGCAGCGGGCAGAGCGGGACAACTTCGAATCGGGAACGGAGACTTGCCAATTTGGGGTCTAAGCTTTTAATTTTATGGAGCATATTATGTATACCTACCTTAGCGCGCGGGGGGGGTCTTTTAAAATGATTACAGCGATAATGTCAAGGATAAAAATATGTCAGTAAATATATTAAAAAAATGAAATATTTTTATTTTTGAAAATAATGGCTATAACGATATTATATGTAAAATAATATTTAAATATAACATATTATTATTATAAAAAGTATTTTTTATATAAAATAATAATATAATAATATTGCATATATAAATATTTTAAAATATGCAATCATTTCGAGGTGTAAAATCATTTCAAAATTCGAAATCATTTCAAAAATTACCCCCACAAATTTTTTTTTACGTACCCAAGTAAAGGTTATATAAAAAAAAAACCAATATTTTTACATAATCATTCGAATGACTCAATCAAATGGCCTGGCCACCCATTTGATTAGGTGATTCGTACTAAAACCTTAAAAATAAAACCTTAACTTTAAGGTCATACGTTCGAGCCCTCATAAAGGCAGCCAACCCCGACCGAAAATTTCAATTTTTTCATCTTTTTTCAACTTTTTAGTCCCTTTTTGGCTTACGTAAGCACTATTCAAGCCTTACTTAAGCATGTTACATAATCAACATAATTTTAACTTGAAATAATTACACATTAAAATTATGTCATACTTTCAAAATGATTTCAACTTGAAATGATTACATATTAAAATCATGTTATGTATATAAACCCATGTTTATTACATAAAGATTTTAAGGTTCAAAAATATTATGTATATAACCCCATGTCAGGTCATTGACATATTTATTAAATCGACATATATTCAACTAAAAATTATTTCCTTTACACATTCAGACCAAAATGATTTCAAAAAGGTGATATTATTGCTGTAAGCATTTTTAAAGACCCCCCCGGCGCGGTAAGGTACCTGGTAGTTAGGTACATGTATGTAGGTATTAACATAACTCTTAGTTATATGGTAATTACATAATTACATAATACAGTTCATATGTACATAATCAGGTAGCTAACATCACCTGACTTGGCGATCTGCAGATGATAGGGTCAATCCTTAACTAGAAGCTTTAATTCCCAACCAAAAACTGCCCGTCGCGTCTGCGTCTCTTTAGACGCGTTCGTTCGTATATCTAATATAACCTGGCTAACCTCGACATAGCCTTAACGTTGACGTGACCTAAAATTTAAGAATACTAAGGCCCAGGTATATAATCTGCATACTGATTAAATGCTTGGCACTTCAAATTTATTGTTCTGATGAGCGAGTATCTCCAGCCATGCCGGGTACCGAGGGCAATGATTTATTCAAATCGCTGAATAAGGCACAATCCCGTGCTGTTAGCTCCCGCGCACCGACAGTTGCTATATTGGCTGGTCCGGGTAGCGGCAAGACACATACTCTTACCTCTCGTGTCGTTTGGCTCATTGACCATGTCGGAATCCGACCATGCGATGTCATCGTCGCGACCTTTACTGTGAAGGCCTCTAACGAGATGAGGATGCGCATCGGTCAGGCGCTAGGAAATGGTCGCGAAAAGAAGATTGTATTGGGCACCTTTCACAGTATTGCTCGCAGATATCTAGCTACATATGGCCAACGTATTGGGCTGGATCCCAAGTTTGGCATTGCAGATGACTCAGACTCTAGGGCCATTATCAAGCGTATCTGCAAGAGGTTCGATGTTCAAATAGATCCTGCTATGGCACGTGGTTGGATTAGCAAGCGCAAGGCTAAAGGAGTTTCCGATGAGCAAGCCGGCAAGACCAAAAAAGGCGATGGCATAGAATCTAAGGCCTTAGAGCAATGCTATCAAGAATACCAGACCTACCTCGAACGGTCGAATCTGCTTGATTACGACGATCTTCTTACCCGTTGCGTCGAGCTCCTTCGCAAATGCCCCGATTGCGTCCGTAATATCGAGACGGTCTTGATCGACGAATATCAAGATACGAACGGAGTGCAGTATGATCTAATGAAGCTTTTTGCTCAGAAGAATCGATGTATAACAATAGTTGGCGATCCGGATCAGAGTATCTACGGTTGGCGATCGGCAGAAATAAGAAATCTCCATCGCCTACTTCGTGACTTTCCCGGTACCGATGAGATATCTCTCGAGGAAAATTACAGGTCATCAAGCTCCATTCTCGACGTGTCCTTGAGTGTCATTCAGCAAGATGAAGAAAGATATAAGAAAGCCTTATTGCCAATTCATGCCAAAGGTACCCGGCCAGTTCTTCGTATGCTGAAGAGTTCTACGGCAGAGGCAGATTGGATCGTCTCGGAAATTAAGCGGATTAAGTTAATGTCTGGGAATATGATAAATTCTGATGATATCGCGATCTTACTTCGGTCTGCCTCGTTATCTAGGCACATAGAATCTGCTCTAGGTAGGGAAGGTATAGCTTACAAGATGGTCGGTATGTATTATAACAATCGCGTGTACACGTCTACGTTATTCTTCTTACTAACGTCGAGCTTTTAGGAGGTTTTAAGTTCTACGACCGGGCTGAAATTAAAACTATTTTAGATTACTTACGAGTAATCTATCAGCCTGATAACAACGATGCTCTTGCGCGGATTATGAATGTACCAAAGCGAGGCATCGGCGATGTAACAGCCAGGTCCCTTCTGGAAGAAGCCGAGCGCAACTCTATAAGCCTCTGGGACTTACTGCGAAAACATTGTCGAGGTGAACGAACAGCAAAGACGACCATTAGGAAACAAGCAGAGCAAAATATCAGCGGCAACCTTATTAAATTAATTACTAACTTGCAAAGTAAGTTGCAACCGGGCGAAGGAACTCCCGTTAGTTTAGTTGAAATCATCAACCAGTTACTCAAAGACCTACAATTTGAGAAGCACCTGGAGGAGACGCATGGACCCGAGTATGAGTTGCGATGGGCAAATGTTCAAGAATTTGTGAGCCTCGCTGCGGAGTTTATGAATCAGGATAGGCCAGAAGAAGAAATGCTTCCGGTTCTTGAAGATACCCAGCAGGCGTCAGACGACGACGCACTAGCACGATTCTTGGCGAATGTTTCGCTAGCCTCCGACAAACAGACCGATGATAAAGACAATGATGGGAAGCATCAAGTCACAGTTTCTACAATACATGCCGCAAAGGGCCTCGAGTGGCCTGTCGTCTTCATCCCGGCAGTCTATAAGGGATCTATACCGCATATGCGGTCCGATGACGACAAGGAGGAGCGTCGTCTACTATATGTAGCAATGACCCGAGCCCAAGCTTTACTATATCTTAGCTGCCCTTTATATTCTTCCGGCGGAAATAAAGAAACCCTCCAGGTCTCTCCTTTCGTTGAAAATCTCCCTTCCTCGACCTTCCTCAAGAAAGGACCGTCTCTTGACCGTCCAATCATGTCGGAAATAGCTAGGATATTAAGAAGGGAACTGCCCTCAGAAAGTGCCATTTACAAGGGCATACCAATGATGACAGCTATAGAAGATAATCTCTACCCAGTCGATCCGAGCCAGGCGCAGGAATCTTCTAATGCCTCTGAAAACGGGCGCGGGTATATCCAACGTAAACGGCAGAAACTCAATCACACAGGTGCTCAGATCGCCGAGGAATCAATCGATGGTTGGGCCGCTCCGTACGCGACGACAATGCAGAGATCTTCTTCATTTACAGTACCAGCTTCAGCACCGCAACCAGGTTTTACGACAGCTGGGGCTCACTATGCGAGCGTTGGTGAAGCTAAGACAACCAAAATTCCCGGAAAGGCCCTTCAAGGGCCAGCAACAAAAAGGCCTCCAGCAAACCGAGCCCCTTCCCAAATGAGTCTAATAGGTTACGGATACGGTGTGACGAACCATGACAAGTCTAAGCAACTTGATGATATCTTAATGGCCGTGCCCTCGAAGTCAAGCCAACACGTAAGATACCCCCCTCGTCCTTACCACCTTTCCAGAGGTAGTGGGCAGCGCGCAGGATCTCAGATAGCCTCGTCAGCCGTGGGATTGCGTCAGATACAACAAAATACCACCACGGAGCCTTGTCCACCAAGTCACAAGCTAGGCTCCGCAAAATTATCAAGTAGACCTCCTACGAATAATCAAATAATAAAGGAAGAACCACCGCCAAAGCCAAAACAATATACCTGTTTCTCAAGCTCGCCAGCTAAACCGCAACCGGCAGATGAGCCAGAACCCGCTGAAAAGGAAAACGAGGTGCCAGCGGAGGAGCAGACGCGTCCCGCGAAGAGCTTTCACGCCACAACAGTGAACTACGGGCCGAGCGTTGGGTGGAGAGGTGGTGGTATTCAGAAACCAGCACCTCTAGGACGAAATGGAATTACCCCCATGGATCGTTTGAAGAGGCCCTTCAAGTTGACTGTCAAGCGACCTAACGTAACATAGATATACACATCATTAGAACATAGAGAGACAGTCAGCATAGCAAATTAGCAAAAATATTTTTTTAATTTTCTCAATATATTAAGGTGACTGGGTATTGCAATAACGGGTTCCCATCTAATAGAAATTGTAATATCAAGTCTTGTCTACCAAGCGTGTAAAACCAGTTACAACAACATTCTATGCCGATATAAATATACCACCTGACTCCGTGACCTTCAGATACATCAAATTTATCTCTTCAGGTATACCTATCTGCCATCCTCTCTCCGGTTTCTTACAATGAACGACTAAACACCTTCGTGCCAAACTTCCATACCTCGTCGACAATGAGGTCAGTGCGGTTCTCTGTTCGCTTCTCCGACAGCACCACCAAGTCCGCATCCGCGCCATCGTCAAGACACCCCTTGACACCCTGTAGGCCTAACATAGCGGCCGGCGTCGATGTGACAGCCTTTAGGGCTTGAGGTATGGTTGCGCCAGACCAGCTGAGGAAGTTGGAAACACATTCGATTAGTGTTATTGAACTAGTAAATTACCTGTTAGCCACGTCATCATTTATCTGGGAGTATAGCAGTTAATTGTTACCTTCCAGCAATTCTATCGGTACCCTCTAGTATTAATTTATTGCCCTTCTTCACGATATGACTTGCGCTCTCGCCGTTGGTCCATTGATAAGCACCATCCGGCAGGCCGACCAGGTGCATGGAGTCGGTGACGAGGATGAACCCGTCGGGGTGGGCGTTGAAAGCAATCTTGATTGTTGTGGGATGTAAGTGCTCCCCGTCAGCGATGATGCCAAAATAGGGGCGAGGTAAGCTTTCTGCTAGGCCTAGGACGCCGAAGATACCGGGATTTCGGTGGTGTAGGGGTCGCATGGCGTTGAAAAGGTGTGTGATCATCGTCGCGCCAGCTGCCACGGCTGCCGACGCCTGTTCGTATGTGGCTTCCGAGTGTCCGATCGAGTAGATGATGCCTCGTTTTGTGAGTTCGGGGATGAGTTTCGTCATTTCCCCCCGCTCCGGTGCAGCAGTAACCATCTTTATCGGCGTGGGACGGAATGCATCTTCGTGATCAAGGTTCTCTGCTCCATAACATTCCTCCAGATCCGCAAAGGTCTCGGCTTCTCGTATTACATCCACATTGTGAACTCCATTTTTGGTTGGACTTAAGAACGGGCCTTCGCAATGGGCACCGAGAGATTCCGCTCCATCCTCTGCGATCTGTCGATATCCTGATGGTCCAAGATACGGCAGAACTCGCTGGTATAGTTCGCTCCGTTGACTTGTAATTGTAGGCACATACGATGTGACACCCGTTTTGACCATCTGTTTATTCAACTCCTTGACCTTCTTAGCGTATACGGCGGGTTCGAGAAGGGTTGAGAAGTTGAAACCGAAGGCTCCGTTGAGCTGGCACTCGATCATACCAGGAGATAGGATACGACCACGGAGGTTAATAACCTCATCTGGGACGATAAAATCATCGTAAAAAGCAGCTTGGCTTCTGATGATTTTTCCAGTGACGGAATTAACCCATAGGTCCTCATCTAGCAGTTTATCACCTTTCAAGATGCGGCAGTTGGTGAATTTGGTGATGCCATTTCGGCCATCCCTTGGTGTCGACTTAGGCGATGAGGGTAGGGAGTGAGGCATGATGAGTATTGGAAGATAAGCGAAGAAATTGGATATATATCACTTTGATATATTCTGTGTTATGTCTTATCGAGTAGTAGGACTATTGCCCCTCGAGCGAGTATTATTATCTCCATAAATGAGACAAGCTAGAAGATGGGAAATAACCCATACATATGTATTTATTTACTCATGATATCACAACGCATATCCGTCTACGCCGAAGGGTTGCCGATGTTGGGTCCGAAAACTCGGCGTATAGTGGGAGGCCAACTGGAAGGCAAGAACAGTGTCACTAACAGGGCCGACGACAGGTGAGGTCCCCTACTTTCACTTACACAATACCTAGACCAGTGGAGCCGGTCGGACATCAGTCTTGCGATTGTGACAGTCAAACCCAGTTTTGTGAATGGACTGATGCCAATTTACAGGCCAATGGTAGGAACATGTGACTAAAAAGACTGGTCAGCAACCTCCAGGCGTTTCTAGACCGAGGGGTTGGTTTCTAAGAGGGTGTGGCAATCTAGTTGACGAGAGGCTCTTGTGTGAGATGCTCGATACACTGTTACCATTTGTGGACGGTTGTCACTTATCGTTGGATCCTTTGGTTGAGCTTACAACTGTTACAGTAGATCAATCTATCTGTGACCATCCATTGTGAAGAAGCAAGAGGCAAGAGGCAAGAAAAAAATGGATCTTGAAATTCCTACATAGGATTCCCGTAGTACCTAGTGTAAGGTAACGTTGCGAAGTGGTGGGAAGGTTTCTAAAGGTCTAGAAAAGAGAAGCCCCGATAAGGTCAAAGTCACCGGATGAAGAGATTATGTATTTATTATATTTTAGGCACATACAGGTGAGAATAACAACTAAAATTTAAAGCGGGATAGCGCTGTTTCCCTAAAAATGGTCCTTCCAGCCCTCCCCAGATTTAGGTACCATGTACTCAGGTACTTATCCGTTTCAAGCGGCTCCAGGGGGTTTTATCGAGAATATGCCCCTAAATCCGCGGCTTATGCATGCTACCGCCTTATTCTGTATCTTAATTCTATACTACCACCTCACCACCTCTGTGAGCTGTAAGCTTGTAAGCTGTCAGTAACACACCACATTCTCATTATAGCGGATCTTATGGGTCTGTAGGTAGTTTGTAATCTATAGTCTATCATCGTCAATTCTTTTCTCTTCCTTTCTCATTCTCGCCAATCCGGCCGTACCGCGCGAGGGGCTACACACCACATCGGGTGTTTTGTCCGAGGCTCTACATACTCGCTCTACATACACCAATCTCATCAGCTTAACACTAACCCGTCTTGTGACTTTTGGTCTTCTCACTCTTTGTTACACTTGTTGTTGTTGTTGTTGGATGGAGATAACCCCGTGCTTATCTTCCGTGCTTACATCTTTTTAGTTCAGGGTGTCTTTGACTAGTATAGCATCAAGTTCAAGTTGTAACAATACCACCGCAAAATGACTAAGTCAGAAAGCGAACTCGACCCACTATGGCAGAATCTCGATTGGTACACTCCCTCTTCACCAAGAGCCTCATGGCTAAGCTTCGGCCGGGGCGATCCGGTTGCATGGCTAGAACACCTCGCTAATTCTCTCCTATAGGGCTATTGGTCAAATGTTGATCATGGGATGGGATGGCACAGAAGTAACGCCTCAAATCAGGAATCTCATTGAGAACCACCATTTAGGTTCAATCATATTGACAGCTAAGAATCTCAAATGTACTTTCATCTATAAGAGCCATATTAATACGTATGGAGTGTTATATAAAGAGGATGCTGACTTATATACAACATAGCTGCTGAGCAGACTGCTTCTCTAGTCCAAGAACTTCAGACAATAGCACACCAAGCAGGACACCCTCAACCATTATTAATTGCTGTTGATCAAGAAAATGGCGGCGTTAATAGTTTATTTGATGAAGACTATATCTGTCAGTTCCCTAGCGCGATGGGCGTCGCTGCTACGGGGAGCACAGAGCTGGCCTACAGCGTAGCAAGAGCTACAGCAACCGAAGTTTCTGCCGTCGGAGTCAATCTTATTCTCGGACCTGTTTTAGACGTCTTGACTAATGCTCGACACCAACCCCTCGGCGTTCGAGCCACCGGGGACGATCCTCAAGAGGCATCTCAGTTTTGTATTGCTGTCATCAACGGGTTTAAGGATGCTGGCGTAGCTACCTGCGGGAAGCATTTCCCGTCCTACGGGAATATTGATTTCCTCGGTTCTAGCTTAGACATGCCTATCATCACTCAAACTCTGGAAGAACTTAACCTCAGTGCTCTTATACCGTTTCGGAATGCTATAAGTGCTGGACGTTTAGACGCCATGTTTGTCGGTGGATGCGGGATCCAGAGTGCTGGAATGAATGTCATGCATGCTTGCCTATCAGACCAGGTTGTGGACGACCTCCTGAGAAACGAGCTGGGATTCAAAGGCGTCGCTATCTCAGAATGCCTTGAGATGCAGTCGCTTATACAAGAGTACGGAGTAAAAGGGGGAACTGTAATGGCTGTCGAAGCAGGTAATGATCTGGTGCTTCTATGCAGAGCACACGACGTACAACTAGAGGCCATCTCGGGTCTAAAATTAGGCGTTGAGAACGGTATTATATCGAAAGATCGGATCTATACTTCCCTCAAGCGAGTGTTGCGGATGAAGAGTGTATGCACGTCTTGGCAGAAGGCACTGAATCCGCCCGGATTGTCGTTACTATCCAAGATACATCCTACACATCTTGCACTCTCTCGGAAGGCCTACGATCAATCAATTGCAGTCGTACGAGACAAGGACAATCTACTTCCCCTTTCGCAGAGCTTACTCCAGGATGAAGAACTTTTACTACTAACGCCACTAGTCAAGCCTCTGCCAGCTTCGGCAGCTACTAAAAATATGTTGGAAAAGGGTAACAAAGCTCCCTCCCTGCACGAGAAATGGATTCACCAGGAGCGTGGAGCAATCATGAGTGGAGAAGGTGTCTTTCGAGAATTGGGTAGATCAATAGCTCGTATACGCAATGGCAAACTTCTTCACACATCATATACGGCGAATGGACTCAGACCAGGTTAGAGGAATCTTCGCCTCGACGTTGGAACTAAGCTAATAAATACACAGTACACGAGAACCTGATTAACAGAGCATCGGCGATAATTATAGTAACAGCTGATGCTAACCGGAATATGTACCAAACTGGATTCACAAAGCATGTAGCAATGATGTGCCATATGCTTCGTGGGACCGGCCAAAAGAAGTCGCTCATAGTGGTTGCGGTCAGTTCTCCATATGATTTCGCAATGGACAAATCCATCGGTACGTACGTCTGTACCTTTGATTTTACAGAAACGGCCATGGCTTCTCTCGTTCGTGCCTTGTACGGAGAGATAATCCCCCAGGGGTCGATGCCAGGAACCATGAGGAAGAGTAAGAAGGTTTCCAAGACAAGACAACAGTGGCTTGTTGAGAATTACGACCGCGAGCGAGATGCTTCTGCCTTGGAGGAGCTGCTAAGAACTCTGGCTCGCTCTAGTACACCGAGTCTTCCGTATCTCACGGCAGGAGCCCATTCGTTCGAATTGTTTAATACGCACATTGAGGAGGCACACTTTGTCGTGCGGAACAGCAGCACAAAAACATTGTACGGGTTTGTGGCCACGTACTACATGAAAGGTGTTGGTGCCATTGGCGCTCTTTTCGTCGACCCGGCGAAACGAAATGTATCGATTGGCAGGTCACTACATCGTCGTGCTTTGCGAGCGTTACTTCAGAAGCCAGGTGTGAAGACACTCCAACTTGGGCTTACATTTCCGGGAGTGTTTCCAGGAGTACCCGTCGATGAAAGCGGGAGTAACAAGAGCTGGTTTAACAACGTCGGTTGGGATACACAATTTCCGAAACGACTGACGAACATGGCCATCGAAGATCTCGGAGCTTGGACAGCACCAGAAGGCCTTTTACAAAGCATCCAGCGAGCAAGTCTTAGCTTTGACTTAATACACGGACTCGATAACGCCGAGTCGGTGTTAAACCATGTAGCAACACACGCAGGACCCGAGGTCGTGGAGCTTTATCGATTTGCACTACATGAAACGAATACAAGCGGAGTAGTCCGAGCCAAGAATTCAATGGATAACCTGTTAGGAACAGTTATCATCTGTACAGCAGGAAGTCGCTTGTCGACATATATCCCTCCACTTCACTCGACTAGCGGCGAAGATATTGGTGGCATTCTCGCTCCAATAGTGCCTTCTACAGCCCAGTCAAGGTTAATCCTGCAAGGGCTAGTATTTATGGGCGTAAGACAGAATAAGGCGCACAAGTCTGCAAAGAGTATGCTCAGTTGGGTAAGTAATCTTGAAAGTTGTATCAGGTATGACCATTACAGCTAATATGTCTAGGTTCTCGATGAAGCGTATGAGCCACTTGCGGCCATGGGCTTTGACGTCCAACAGACGTTCGACGAGATTACAAATTCGCCAGAAAACGTGAGTACCTAATCTATCCCACTTGAATCTTAAACCACGCTTGCTAATCTGGTAGATTTTATGTAGTGGTCTGACTTAAGTTGAACCAATACTCTTTTAGAACCGGTGTATGGGCTACCAACACTTGTGGTACCCCTTCCCACCTAGAGAAGCAGAAGTAGGTGGGGATCCGGTGTGTAATGCGTATAATGCGTTCTGTTCTAATAAGAGCTGCGAAACATGCCTCTCTCCTGTGATTTTATATGCAAAGCGAGCAAGCCGGAGTTTGGGGGCCTAGGGAGTACCTTTTATCCAATCACGAATTGTTTCCTAAAGCTTTTTCGAATCCTAAAACACATTTGGATATATTGAATTTGAGCCCCCGTCTCCGTTGCGGCCGTCCCTGTTTAAAAATAGAACCGCGGCGTAACTATGTATGTACAGGCACCGCCCTCCGGATTTCCCCCCCAATTGAGCTTTGATCTTCACGACGAATAGACAAGAAATGATAACAAGGCCGATAACACATTCTCTGCACTACAACGCGATCTAGCTCCAATATGTAAGAACGGATGTACATGCAAGAAAAAGCACCGAGGGTTTGGGTTGGAGGTAGGTAATTAATGACAGATGATTAGGTAGATAAAGTCTTTCGGCAATGTGATGATATATCTCCCCAGAAGCCAGGGGGGGGGGGCCGGTCTTGTCACCCCACCCAAATATTCTTTTTAACTCGTTCCAGAAGGTAGAAATTATATCTGCAGAATCTATGTCCGTAACGCTCCACTCTCCAAGACTGAGGAGAAACACCGATAAACCTTTAACGGTCTAGCACGTTTAGCACTATTCCATATTCCATATTCACAATATTAGAGATCCCGAAAACCCCTATCGAGCCCCAATTTAAGTATCATCCGGTCTATTACCCCAGAGCTTTGTCCAGTACTACACCAGGGGCACCAAGCACCAAGCACCAAGCACCAAGCACCAAGCACCAAGCCGCTTGCTGTAGGTATCGTGCTTACGCTTGTGCTTGTACCTAACGGGATAGCTTTTATTTGAACCTGGTCGTGAACAGACCAGCCACCTCCACCCCCTTGGTTCTTGGCTCAAAGCTATCACCTAATTGACTGTTTCGCGCCTCCACCTCCGTTGCGCTCTCTCCGTCGTGGATCACAAGTACATTGTTCTAACGTCCTAACTACAACATCTATCAGGTCGCTAATAACTTTACACCTTGACATTGCGACCACTCCACTTACTCCGGCGACGGTGAATGCTACTCGTGTCCTCCCACTTTTTAACACCGTCCGATTCGGTAATCAAGTCTACGTCAGCCTCAGCATAAGCACGAGCGTAAGCACAACCTCCGGCCGCAAAGGGTATTAGCCCTTTACGATGCTATGGCAACTTTCAACTCCATGCCGGCGCTGCAGTCAGGCGCCAGTCCAGGAGACGCCGCCATGGGATTAAATGCCATGTCAGGGTCCGGCCTAGGCATCGAGCCTTTCGAACCTGATCTCAACTTTGATGAGTCGATGCTGTAAGTCAAACCTAGTGATACATCTCACCGCTGCTATGATGATATATATATGTCCGTGTGGGCGATGGTCGTTATAAATCCAGGATATGAGCGGTTCGTGTAAGTAGCAATGCTAAGATCCAAGTAGCGAAAACGTCAATGGAAATTTACCTCCTTTACCTTTTACTCCCTCTTACGACTTCGAAACCTTCTCCACAACGTTCGAAGACCCCTTTAACTATTCGAAACCATACGAGGCCGCGCCGCATACCGAGGACTTCCACGATGAAGGGTCATCTCCGCAACAGCCGGATGATAAGCTTCTTAGCTTCTCTGCGACGGCCGCGAAAGCTACTCCCCTAGATGATGCGCTAGGCGCATATTCCGAAGTATCCATGTCGGCGGAGCTATATGGCATGTTCTTCGTTGCCGAAGATGTGTTCGGCGGCGACTCAAGCGGACGGCCTCTAGAGCTGACGTGTTACCGACGAAACTTATGGCAGTGTTCGGGACAGGTAACCATGCCGCGCCACTGCACGCAGGTCGTAAATGAGCAAGGCCGTGCTATACCTATTATAGAATTCTTCGCTTCGATATCTGCCAAGGAGAGCATTGAGGGGAAGTCCACCGAGATTATTTCTATCCCGTGGAAAAGTAGCAATCCAGCATTGGGCGAAGGGCAAGAAACCAAAGTGGCCAGCGCTCCGCCGAAGATTGCTCTCGACCTGACCGGCGGCCAGGAAGTCGACGGTCACCGGGTCAGCATACCGGTCTCCTGGAAGCGCTTACAATTCAAGAGCGCAACGGCAAACAATGGCCGACGAAAAGGACTACAGCAGCATTATGTGGTTCAGATCAGCCTCTTAGGAAAGATGAAGACAGGTGGAGAGCTTATGAAAATTGCAGAAATCCAAAGCGGTCCGGTCATTGTGCGAGGACGCAGCCCGCGAAATTTCGATAGCAGAAAGGACGTACCTCTAACCGGAGACAAAAAAGCTCCTAGTAATGGGGATCGAGCCCGAACTCATAGCGACGCAAGTACGGCGTCAAACTTAAAGATAGAGCGGACGGATTCTTCGCATGGATTACCTAACTATTCGTCGTCATCTCTAGGTAATACGACGCCTACGCCGTCCTGGGGGACCCCTTCAACACCTGCATATGGTGGGCAAGCAAATTCCCAGGCACATCCAGCCAAGAAGATAGCGCTCTCTCCAAACATAAACCGACCTCCCGTTCCGTCTTGGGGCAAGGAATTGGGTAAGATGCATGCGCTAGGCAGTCATACGAAAAACAATCCACCAGCTCCATCCGTACCGATCAATCTATCTCTATCCGAGGATGAACGAAGCCCAAATAATCGCTCTACCTCGGACTCACTCACCAGCCCGAGGCTGCACCGGACGTCCACAAGCCATGGCGCTGCCGGTAGCCCGATCGAAGAGGAGGAGGAATTATACGAATATTTCCCGCTAAGTGTAGATGATTGGTAAATACCACAGCCCAGCCGCCTTGCTTCCTTTCACCGACAAATAGTGTTAACAGTTCTATACAGGACACCTCTAGTGGACACCGTATATCGGCCTCATATAGTTCACCACATCGCGGTGCCACAAGAAATCAAAGCGCAACAGATTAGGAATAAGTCTAAGAGATATTTCTCGGCGGAATAACCAAACGAATATTTGCTCCCTCTTTGAGCAAGAATGTAGACGGACAACTAAAGAAATTATTTAGCAAAGAACAGTTTGGAGTGAGTAACAGCATTCTAATCGGGGTAACCAAGCGAAGCGCTCTGACGATTATGGCATGACGCATCTGGGCGTTTTTTTTGTTTCGAGAGATTACCTTATTTGTACTATGAGCGTATATTCGTTCCGAAATACCATGCTTCAATACGTGTATGTAGTATAGCGGGGACTACCGGAGTCATCGTGTTTTATTTACTGCCCTCTTTGGCTCTTTGGCTCTTTGGCTCTCTAAGGGATACCAGCCGAGCATACAAAATTAGCTTCAACAATATACCCCTTTGATGATATATATATCATACGTTTACCTTGTTCGTAGGCTTCTGTGGGGATTTACAAAATAAAGAGATATTAGTTGTCATATTGAATTAGTCTAGACTAAATTAATTTGGAGGAATATAGGTTTAGTTCTTTTGAGTATTTTATAGTGACTAATTGTTTTAATGGGCTACTAGTTGTTAGCCGCTTCAAATAGCTAGCCATATATCATATCAACTAATATACATCCAACCAATATACGTCATGATTCGTTTGCGGGTGATGATATCTCTCTTAATTATGCTATGTAGCCAGCCGTAAACGCCTTCTAGTATACCCGACTCAAAACCTCATTTGCTTATTTACTTGATCGCTCGCTTGACCAACCCAAACACCACATGCCATCCTCCTAGTGATGACTAGACAGTTCAAGCACTCTGTGCTTTCCGCTCTTGCTTCTTCCCCGGAGAAAATGCATAGACAGGCCTTTTCAGAGAAAACAGGACATGACAATAAAAACACGCAGATGCAATATTTACAGTATAGATGGCGTTCGTATTATCATTGGGATTTCCAACTATTATGTTTCGACGGCCGTGGCACACGCGAGCGCAACCGCAGCTCCAATGATGGAACTCTCGACTGTCGGGACTAAGTCCACGGACCCGACGTGCTCGCTATGCGAGACTAAATCGTCGATATATTGTTGGCACGTAGCGCGATACTGCGGGTAGTGCTCGATGACGGAGCCATTGAAAGCTACTTTTGTGCTGACCTCGACCTCCTTCAACTCCTCATCGACGGAAGGTGACGGTAGGGCTACGGCGCTATCGTTCGAGGGTGTGGGTTTAGGGGATGCCGTGGCGAGTTCGGCTTCCGTCTCGTGTCGTAGCTCCCAGAGCGAGAACACGGACGCGGCTAAGAGGGCGGCGGATCGTCGTGATATATATGTTGCGAGGGTGCGGATTGCAGTTATGTCGGAGAGGGTAGGCAATGTGGTGGAGGGGTGATGTGTTGTAAATTGTAATATGGCTTTGTCGAGACTAGGTGACGTATCCCTAAGTGTATATGTTAATTTGGCTTGGCATGTTATGTTGACCAGGCTCGTCACGTGGGACTTACTCTTCGATTTTTGACAGTAACTCTGTGTCCAGGGAGTACGGCTTCTCTAGGGATGGTGGTAACTGACCACCCAATAGTCCGACGGTCTCGACGGCTTCGACTATAGCGAGTCGACAGATCTCTCCGAGGTAGTAACCGCTAAGTAAGTGCTCGAGTGGCTGAAATTCGGGTCGCGGGTGGGCAGCACTCAGGAGTTTGTCCCACCGTGTTAAGGGTAGGATATCCTTCCCGAACATTCCTAGTTCCGTGTTCACGATAACGTGGCTTGCAGACTCGAACCAACCATCTGGGCGTTTCCCGTATTTAGACCGGCTGAACGCCGACACCGGCAGGTGGACTGCGATGTTAGTGCCAGTTCCTAGTATCAGGCCGAACCGCGTCGAGGCGTAGATGTAGGCCTGAGATAATAACGTCGCCGTGCTGTCGTTTACGATTGCTTCAAGTTGAACATTAAGGCCTCGCTTCTTGCAGGCGAATTTGATGATCTCGCCTAAGTCCTGGCCAAGTAGGCCACTAGTAGCTAAGAAACCTTTACCCATGCCAAGCAGAAGGCCACCACCCATTGATACTTGTCTTATAGCAAATTGTTAGCACTAATATATATCGAGACTAAAAAAAGGTATACGTACTCTACGGGGAAACTCCAGGCGAGGCCCATTGGTATTACATCCTGATCATGTGAGATATCTTTTTGGATTACCTCGTAGATCCGAGCTGCCATCCAGTCGAAGAAACTCATTCCCTCGAGCTTCTTAACTTCTGGTGTAATCTTGAAGCTAACCATCCGAACAATCTCGCTCTCCCTCCCAGTTGTTTCACGGCCCCTTAGTTCCACCAGCGCAACCCTTAGTGTCGAACCTCCGACATCGAGAGCAAGATATTGGCCTCGTTCTTTTCCAGTCGGAAGGAGGTGGTTGAACGACGGAAGCATGCATTCCGCATGGGTATGCAATCGTTCCCGAAACTGATGTTTAAGGTCTGACGAATACCTGCTTAGTCCGTCCCCATCAATGGGACCTAAAAAGAGCTTCTCTGCCTCCTCTAAGAATTGCTCGAGAGTCCTCGACGGGTATATCTTTCCGTCGACATTGTGTTCCTTCAAAGCCCTTGGGCTGACCCAAAACGCAAGGAGGGCCTGTAAGAAGGACCTCCCGCGCAGAAACGACTTCAGAGCCGCCAATAGCGATTTTTTCAACGTAGTCATTGCAGAAGTGAGTGGCTGCATGACAACGTACGGGTTTGCGGATCCAGTTGGGGATAAATATATGTCATGAAGGTAACATGGGCGGACGTGGTGGGAAAGAAAAAAAAGAGGCAGCTGATATCCAAAGACGAGATGTCGGTCTCGCCTTCAAGCAGCATTCGTCATGTTCCAGTAGAAACAGGCAATTAGAGACAAGAGAGTGAAATATTTCCTTAGGGCCGCGTCAGGGCTCGTATAGGCGGGAAAAGGCTAGAGCGGCAGAAATGAAACCTGCCGGTCAAATTCGAAGTTAACGAGGTGACCCCGTTGGTTGGATCTGGTAATGTACGATCCCAGGAGAAAGTAAAGAATAAAGAGCCAAGACACTGGGTTTGAGAGTACGGGGGGGGGGTTCTGGTAAGACCTAATGGGTTACAGCACGAACGAACGGGTACAATAGTAGCGAATGGCAGCTAAACCTTAACAGAGATTGATACGAGGAAATAATGGTTACGCTCGAGACGGGAGTATGTAGTATGTCGAGATAGACATATGAAGTGAGCTAAGAGGGACTCAACCTTAAAACACGCACACACACACACTCCCCCTGATTGAACGTAGCTCTAGGTATGCTTGTAAAGAAAGCCCCAGGTCCTGCTACCACCCAACACGAAAAGGAAGAATGATACAACAACAACATAAACATGGACAATAACTAAGGACGATAATAGTAGCAGTAGACGCCCCGGCGATATGGGATAGGGCGGGACGGGATGCTAAGAAAGTGGACCGCAGGCAGATCCAGCGCCACTGTGTCCTAGACTGGGCAGGTGACTTTGAGATGCTGGTGTGATATTATGGGATCTTGGTGATATTGCGGGTTACTTCTGCTTGCCTAGCTCGGTGGTACTCACGTAGCAGCTATAATACTAGTCGAAGCAACGAGCGCGCAGGCACATAACATACTGCATACATACCATACTAAGTAGTACATACATAGATAGGAATGGCTGGGCTGGTGTGGGTTTTTCTGTGATAGGTAACAACGAACAACGATAGTAAGAGAGTAAGTAGGATGCTTCAGCGCAGAACGGAATATAACCAGGGTCTAGGCTCGAACAGTGCAACCAATGAGCTGACGAGATCAGGAAGGACAAGAAGGAGACGATACAGAGGAGGAGGAGGAGGAACCATAACCGTACACATTGTCTCACCTTGGTGGTGGTGGCTGTTGTTATTGTGCATATCTGCCATTTTGGGTCAATGTTTCTAGATGTAACGTTGTAGGCTCTAGAATTCTGTTGTGAACTTTCCTAACCTTCCAGGTCCAAGTTCCCAATTAGTGAATTAGTGAATTAATGATCCATATTTAAAGGAGCAGGGATCACTCTCCCATGCACGAGCCACATGGCGCTTGCATGATACCGAGCCGTCTAACTTACACAGCTTTCTCCCTATTATCTCCATTATACTGCTGTGTGAAAATTTCTGAGGCCTACGAATAAGGCACTCGAACACTTAGGCAGGCACTTACATAGTAGGTTAGTATAGACCTACGGGTGTGGCTTCGAGAGAGACATCCAATGGTCTACCCTTACAGGGGTTTCCCATCTTCGTCGAGCTAATCATGCAAATTCATCTCCTAGATTCATCTATTTTTCAATTCCTTCAAACTTAGCCGACAATGTCCTGGGAAAAGATTAATTGTATTCCCGGTAGTGCTCTGCTTGGCCAGGCCAGATATTTTGATTTTTCCTAATCTAGCCCTGCGGCTCTCATAGAAAAATATTAAAAAAGAAAACAAACGTTATACATATTCGTCGCTCCATGCCGTTGACCTAAGGCTGAAGAGAACGAATAGGGACCAATCCCTCCTAGCTTGGCTTTGTGGCCCCCACTACCCGAGAACATGATGTTAAAATTGCATTGGCTCAAGTGTCAGAGGCTCGTCAAAAAAGACTTCCTCTTTGGTAGCTTTTCGGCTTACCAGCATTATCATGCTTTCTTACATTACCCCCCCTTCGCGATCACTATGCGAAGACAAGATCTCCAGGGATGGAGCATGTAAACCATCATGTATTATCTTGTCTATCAAACTACCTGATATTGACTTTATGGTTGGTCAGGACTTGCGACTCACAGTGTCCGAAGCAACCAACCAGATGGTCCGGAGCACCACATGACCTAAAACAGTTGATGGACAGGTTACTACAACGTTCAACGAGCCTCCCTAGTCACAAGCGCAAGTTCGCTATCGTCACGGTGGAGAACGGACCAATCCGGGCCAACGTTCCATCACCGACCGTAGGGTCCGATGCTATCCCGCTGAGGCTTTTCCCATCGTGGGCCATTGCCACTATGAGGCTGTTGCTCATAATGAATGTAAAACCTGTACTACTCAAGGCTTTCATCTCTTTCTATTTCCTTAGAAAGGTTTGCAGAAACTACGACTGTGTCTTCTTACTCCAGTTTCAGCTCTTACTAGCTATCACATCACTTATAACATAATTTTTCGGTTTCAATATCTCTCAAAATGAGGCTTATCATCCGCGATGACTCGGACACTGCTAGCTCCTATGTAGCTAATTACATCATGAACAGAATCCGACACTTCAATCCCACACCTTCACATCCCTTCGTACTTGGCCTCCCTACAGGTTCGAGTCCTCTTGGTGTATACAAGATATTAGTCGAGCAGTACAAGGCCGGAAACGTAGGTAATCTCTAGCTTAGGATATCCGAGCGGGGGCTGACTAGAAGGTGTTAGATCTCCTTCGAAAATGTTGTTACCTTCAACATGGTATGGAATAACCTCATCCATTCCCCAAATATCTAATGTGCTAAATGTCCTCAAAATAGGACGAGTACGTCGGTATTCCTCGAGACCATCCAGAGAGTTACCACTCATTCATGTGGAAACATTTCTTCTCTCACGTCAACGTGAACCCAAATAACGTCAACATCCTCAACGGTAACGCTCCAAATCTAGAGGCAGAATGCGTTGAGTATGAGGCCAAAATCAAGCGTGTCGGAGGCATTGACTTGTTCTTGGGCGGAATCGGAGAAGATGGACACATTGCCTTCAACGAACCAGGCTCTAGTTTAGCCTCGAGAACTCGTGTCAAGACACTAGCCTACGATACTATTCTTGCTAATTCCCGTTTCTTTGGCAATGATATCGCCAAGGTCCCTAAGATGGCCTTAACAGTTGGTGTCCAGACTGTTCTCGAGGCCCGAGAGGTTGTCGTCATTATCCTCGGCGCCCGCAAAGCTCTCGCTCTACAAAAATGCATCGAGCAAGGTGTCAATCACATGTGGACCCTTTCAAGTCTCCAGTTACATCCTCACCCCATGATAGTTTGCGATGAGGACGCCACATTAGAATTACAAGTTAAGACTGTTAAGGTAAGCATACACGAGAGATGCAATCTATAACCCGTTAGCTAAATGCCGCCGTAGTATTTCAAGAGTATCGAGCAAGTTGCAAGACAACAAGGATTCGAGCAAATTCTACCCTCGAGCATTCGAACAGGGCCGGGACCAGTTCCCAAGACCGTGATCGAAGAGGTTCAGTCCCCCACCATTCTAGCACCTCAACCCATGACCTCTCGTCTCCTGCTTGCAACACCGGCTGCTGAGTACCCCATCCGATCAGTGTCTCCGGATCTTGTACCGGACCGAATGGCAGATCGTGTCGGAATACCCGATATTTCGAGAAGATTAACACCCCAACCCGAGCACCAGCAACGAGTAGCTAGCGTCGGGGCGTAAGTTGACGTCTTTAAGTAGAACGGTAGGCGTGTAAAGGTATTACACTGTAGTATTTGGACTTGAATGAATGATCTTTTCGTGAAAATTGGATCATTGGGCTGGGATAAATCAAGGAGCTACGCTAGATAATTAACAACACATGCGACGTAGAAGAGGCTAGACCACTTACCAGATATGATTAGGTTAAGTAGATTGAGTTTGATTCTACCTGTTAAGGCGGTGCTTCTATACTTGCCTCTACGGTAATTGTTTTACAGCATAAGACTCAGATATGTATATATGTATAGCATACGTTATTTTAGATGTTAGATACCCAAATAAAGATATATCTTTATTGTGTTAGCTTCCAAAAATCTTCATCAGTATATTTCTTGGTGTTTTACATTGCCTACTTTCAGAATGTCAGTTAACTAGGTAACTAAGGTACTGTGGTTCACCCGCAACACTTACACACATTCATATCTGCAGCTTAGCCGAAGCTATTGAAGGTGAAGGTGGTGTATAAGCAAGTATTTATATGTCTCATAATTTTATTAACGACGAGTCACCAGACGATTTAATAGGGTGCGCGACTCGTCATACCAGACAAAAGGGGGCGTAGATCTCCCGTAGCCCCCCGCCATACGAACATGTCCACGAACGTGTTCATGTTGGGGTAGTTAGAATCCCCGCAAAGCTTATCTACTATGTATATTTTCTCCATGACCTTTCTCCATGACCTTTCTCCATGGGTGTATTGGAAGACGTACTACTACTACAAAAAAAAAAAAAAAAAAAAAAAAAAAAAAAAAAAACCCTTTCAAGGTGGCGCTTCAGAGCTTCCTATTTCGAGACCGTCAATGGTAAGCTATATTCAGTATGAAAACCATCCAATAATAAATCATTCGGCGAAGCCTTGTGTAAAGTTGCGTCCGATGTTTTATTACTTTATTGGAAAATACAGGATTGCTTCTGACATGGCTAAAATTGGCATAGACGAGAGCTGACATAGCCTCCGCTCAGATACCCAATACATACATAAGTGGCCACCAAAGCGAGGGGGACCTGCAGATACAATTTATTTACTTTCAGAACCCTTTGGGGAGTAGATCATCATTGGCCAAGGAAACTATGTAACAAGGGGAATCTCGAAATAGTACTAGTAGATGCCTATGGGAAATGCCATGGTCTAACTTATTATACATACTGATACCTGGTTTAACCCCGCGCATTTCTCTAGGTTAGTGACCTGCCTTATCCTCCTATCCTGCCTATCTACTAGGTATCCATGTAGAAGATATTCGCTTGGCGGGAAGGCCTAGGGACCGCTATTGAGATTAAACCCGATCCAATCGCGTGTCCTACCATTCATGATTACTACCTGGGGCGCATGTGATGTTGTGTGTCCCTGTTTATTATGTCCCATTGCCCTCGATTTCAGCTCATGATGTCACACACCACGCTTGTTTATATATGCACTAGCACAGTATATGGCCCTCATCCCTCATCTGCCCGGCATCTACGGTAGCCGGATGCAGACGCAGGGCCCGTTACAAGGTTTCCATTGGGAAGCTGTTCAATACGGTTGGACTGTTCCCAGGTCTGTCTTCTTGTTTGTACGCATATCTACGTAGTTATCTCTGTTGACGTTGCATCCTAGACGGGGAAAGGAACCGAGGCTAGACATGTTCTACAAGCTATCTCGTGTCTCTTTCCTTTTTGGTCGATGAATAAAAGCAACTAGATCGGCAATAGCGAGATAGGAAGAGTTATGAGGTTGAATTTTGTTGCTTGGAAATAGGAGCGGTTGGCCATAGAAGCAGTCAAACACCAAAATCCGCAACCATGGCTCCAGCGTATGCCTCTAGCCGCCGAGCATCAGGAAGGCCAGTACTAACCTTTCTCTCCGTATTTTCCATTTTTATCCTGGGGACATTCCTCGCAACAAAGTTCGGTTCTGCACCACGGCAGCACAGTTTCGAATTTCGGCATACGGCAAACTCACAAGCGGCCGATACGAACACTCCGTGGGAATCCAAAGCTAGGGCAGACGGAAAGGGAGACAAATATCTGATTGGAGTTGGGAAAGCCGACATAACTGGGCCTGTGGTAGAAATTAACTTCGCGGGTTACGCCGACCTCTCTCAGACTGGTACCGGGCTCCGACAGCGTATCTATTCGCGAGCGTTTATAATCGGAGATGTTAATAATCCGGATGATCGATTCGCATACTTGGTTCTTGACACGCAATCTGGTGATACGGCTGTGCGCTTCGGTATTCTAGATGGCCTCGCTGCGCTTGGTGATGACTTCGCCGTATATGGGAAGGGCAACGTCGCGGTGACAGGGACGCACGCTCATTCCGGACCTGGTGCGTGGTTTAACTATCTGCTACCGCAGGTAACCAGTCTAGGCTTCGATAAGCAGAGTTACCAAGCCATTGTTGATGGCGCTGTCTTATCGATCAAGAGAGCCCACGAATCTTTGACTGAGGTAGGCAAAGAAATAAGTAAGACTAAGATCTAGTACTAATATTTTATGCTTAGGGATACCTCGACTTCGGTATGGATAAAATACTTACGTAGGACTCTTCTAATAATATCAATAGGGGCGGTGAATATTACAGATGGTAACCTTAGTCGGAGTATATACGCATATTTAGCTAACCCTGCCGAGGAACGAGCTCAATATGAGGACGATGTTGATAAAGAAATGACCGTCCTTAAGTTCCAGCGGGCGTCTGACGGCAAAAACATCGGTATTCTGACGTGGTATCCTGTCCACGGAACATCGATTTATCAAAATAGCACCCACGTGGCTGGCGATAACAAAGGAGTAGCAGAAGTTATGTTCGAGAAAGCTATGGAAAGCGAAGACTCAGCGGCTAGCGGTTTTGTCGCTGGCTTTTCTCAAGCGAATGTCGGAGATACAACTCCTAACACACTTGGCGCATGGTAAGCCTGCCTTATCTCGTAACAAAGCAATAGGAGGTAATAACATGTATTATCAGGTGTGATGACGGATCAGGTCAGCAGTGTAGCTTAGAGAACAGCACTTGCGCAGACGGTAAATCACAACACTGTCACGGCCGAGGGCCTCTCTTTGATAAGCTTGATCTCGGGATTGCGAGTTGCTACGAGATCGGGAAGCGCCAATACGATGGTGCTAGGTCGGTCTATGTAAGATGAATATCCACTCCGTCAATATCTAGTCACAGCTCATCTCGTATTAGGACTCGTTCGGTTCGTCCGGCACCTCTATTGTTGGATCGACGGTTAAAGCTTTCCACTTCTACCACGACATGAGCTTTTGGAAATTCCAGCTAGAAAACGGAACTGAAGTCCAGACGTGTCCGGCTGCGCTAGGTTATTCTTTCGCTGCCGGGACGTCGGACGGCCCTGGCGCTTTTGACTTTACGCAGGGCGATTCCGGTGAGCCGAGTGCCAGCCCCGTCTGGGAGGTTATCAAGAGTCTACTCCGCGCGCCATCACCCCAGCAGCAAGCTTGTCAGAATCCCAAGCCTGTCCTCCTCGATGTAGGCGAGATGTCCGAGCCATACCCGTGGAGTCCCAATATCATCGACGTCCAGCTACTTCGAGTTGGTCAATTCGTCATAATCGTAAGTCCTGGCGAAGCGACCACCATGGCTGGACGTAGATGGCGCGCCGCTGTCAAGGCTGCCGCTGCTGACATCGTAGATACTGAGCCGAAGGTTATACTTGGCGGACCTGCCAACACCTATGCGCATTACCTAACTACGCCGGAGGAGTATGGCATCCAACGCTACGAGGGAGCTAGCACGCTTTTCGGCCAGTGGGAGCTTCCCGCGTATATAAATCTTACCGTTAGCAATATCCGGTACCTAGCCCCTGACTCGTCGAGCTCGCCAGACCCTGGGCCGACGCCACCAGATAACCGCAACAGTAGCATTAGTTTCATCACGGGCGTCGTGCAGGATAACGCGCCGCTAGGCAAGTCGTTCGGCGACGTTATCTCGCAACCCGCGGAGAAATATGCGCGCGGCGCTGTCGTTAACGCGACCTTCGTCGGCGCGAACCCGCGCAATAACTTACGACTCGATGGCACGTTTACGGCTGTCGAGAAGCAGGATGGAGGCTCTTGGACACAAGTTCGGGACGACTCGGACTGGTCTCTAGTATATACATGGAAGCGGACCGACACTGTGCTGGGGTACAGCGAGGTTACTGTCAGCTGGGAGACGGAACCGGATGCTGAAGCGGGGACGTATAGGATAAAGTATTACGGTGATAGCAAAGCTTTAATCGGTGGGGCTATTACGGCTTTTGATGGGACGAGCAATACTTTTACACTTACGTGAAGGTAACTGGATGTTGTCTAGGGAGTTGGTTAAAGTAATTATAATCATTGGTTATGTAGGTATAATAAGCTATAGGGTAATCATGAATACATCTTGTTGATGCTACATTGATACCTAACCTGGCCTCTTTTGATTGTGGTTGAAGTATGTAATTGTTACTCGTAGGATCAAAATTTCGTATATTGTCGAGAAATAGTAGCTCACCGAGGTCATGTAAGCTTTTATAGATGATATTTAAGCTAGTGGTCCTGTCAACTACCGTCCTGTTTACTCACCTAAACAACAGTAAACGTAGCCTTGGTCCTGAAGTCGTTGCTCGAGCTACCAGCATAAACAGTAAACTCGCCGGGCTCAACAACGTACTTCATACTTATATCCCAGAGCCCCAGGTCGGCAACGGCAATGTCAATTTCTACCGCCTTGGTAGTACCAGCCGGTGCGAAGACCTTGGAAAAGCCTCGAAGCTGTTTGTTAGGCACCACTACACTAGCCACTAAGTCCTGAACATATAGTTGAACTACCTCAGCGCCATCGCGCGTCGAGTTGTTAGTGATGTCGATGGATACCGTGATAATGTCTGTTGGGGACACGGTGGATTGTGAGAGCCTCATGTGGGAGTATGTGAAAGTACTGTAGGACTTGCCGTAGCCAAACTAAATTCGTGTTTGACATGTTAGCGATAAACATTCGATAGTAAAGTACTATATGATTAAAATCTACAAACGAAGATGGAAACGGGGAGTTATATAATACCTCATAGAGCGGTAGAGGGCTCTGAAGCGCGTAGTTGTGGCCGAACTTCATAGAACCGTCCTCGGAGACAGAACCGGGATCGGGATACGCCCGCGCAGAGTTCAGATAGTCGTAGTAGATTGGCGTGGTTCCGATATCATAAGGGAATGAGACGGACAATTTCCCAGACGGGTTTACATCGCCGAAGAGCACGTCCGCTAAAGCGTGCCCTCCTTGCTCAGATGGATAGAACTGCTGCAACAAGGCCGAAGCTACATCCGATATCCAAGGCTCGGTGATGGGCTTTCCTGAACTAAAGACAACGATAGTGGGCTTTCCCGTGTCAATTATAGCTCTGACTAAATGTGGCATAGCGCCGACGAGATTCAGATTATGGACGTCGACATGTTCGCCGGTGGTGGCGTTTAGTCTGCCCCAAAGCTCGTCCTGGTCGCGCGACCATGTGCCTACTACCACAACAGCTACGTCGGCCTCTTCCGCTGCGGTCACGGCTTCTGAAAAGCCAGATTGGTCATTCGACCAGCGCTCACAACCCTGTGCATACGTGATTTTCCCCGTACTTGCTGCCTTGATGCCGTCTAGCGGTGTAACTCCTCTATACTGGGCCTTATAGGGGACATAGTCACCGTACTTATTAGAATTGTTAGTACTTGCATCGTCGTTATTTTTAAGGGATTTATCCCACTAACATTCATGAAACCGTGAGCCATCGGTCCTATAACGGCAATATTTGCATCTTTCTTGAGAGGAAGGACGTTGCCATGATTTTCTAGTAGAACAATAGATTCTGCGTCGAGCTCTCTTGCAAGCTCGACTATCTCAGGGGTATTGATGTATTTAGACTGATCTTCATCCGGGACACCGGGGAAGGGATTCTCGAATAAGCCAGCCTCGAATTTTGCACGCAGTTGTCTAGACACGGCCTCGTCTACTACTTCGGTGGACAGCTTTCCTGACTTGACCATTTCAGGGATTTTCTCGAAGTTGAAGGATCCGCCGCCCATTTCAACATCATTACCCGCAGGAAGTGCCTGGAAGATATTAAGAACGATTTCCGGGTCAGGTCAAGTAGTGTGGTTGGGAAACTTACATAGTTGACTATAGCTTCAGAGTCAATAGGATCGGATTTACACATCTTGAAATCTTTACAAAGGCGGTCCGTGGCCCCTGCATCGCTCATAACCTGGATCTATTAGAATTTATCGTATGAGCAGTCTCCATAAGTTGCTCACGAAATACTTGTAACCCCATTCACCCCTTAAGATATCGGTAAGGGCATATCTATCGGCAACAGCCGGGATTCCATCATAGCTGTGGTAAGCTGACATAACGGACAAAGCACCAGCGTCGATGATCGATCGCTTGAAAGGGGGGAGGTATGTGGTGCGTAGCTCTCTTTCGCCCCCATGCACGGGAGCACAGTTAATACCTTGCTCTGGTGTTGCGAACGCCGCCTGGCTATATCAGGTTTTGCTACTCACAAACTCAAGATAGGAGTTCTTACGAAATGCTTAACCATAGCTGAGACGTTACCGGACTGAAGACCCTTTACGTAGGCATAAGCGAGTTCACCAGTTCTAACAAAAGTTTTAATATTATGTCCAATGGTACTGATACACGCACGTACTTACAAATAACCATCCTCTCCGAATGTCTCCTCCACACGGCCAAACCGTAGCTCACGAGCTAAGTCAGCAAGAGGCCCAAATATTTGATTAACCCCCAAGGCGCGAGCTTCTTGAGCAATAGCCCTTGCCATCTTCTCAACTAGAGATGGGTTGAAGGAACATGCGTGGGCGATGGGTGAATTGAATATAGTAGCATCCGGGATCAAGAAGCCATGAATGCCTTCGGATTGAACCCACGCAGGAATACCGAGAGTCGTATTATGCACGAGATAGTCCTGGCCGGTCCTAATGCCATCACTGAGCATTTTCCAAGCTATGGCGATACCAACGTAGAATGATCCAGATCTCGCTTTCATACTCCATTCAAGACCGGTTTGGTTTACACTACCATCTCCGGTGTTGATCCAATTTCTCAAGTCCCCCTGGACTAATTGCGCTGTCTTGTCCTCAATTGTCATCCGCGACAGTAAATCGCCCACTCTATCCTCAACTGCAGCCGATGGATCCTTATAGAGCGGCGTATTTCCATTATTGGCGATAGCCAGCGCAACTGCTGTCAAGGAGACAAGGCAAAGAGAGATGGCGGACCACATATTGGCAAGTCAGTCAGTGTTCAACGAGACACCTCAACGCATAAGTAATATATTGAGACCTACCAAAGAATTGCTCATTATGGCATTATAACTTATATCTCAACTATATACTTATCCCAGGCTGCTATAGTCGTATTGAACGTCAACTCATGGACCTCCTTGACTAACGGGAGGACAATCTCCGAATCCCAGTGGGCGGTAGTGTAAATTCTCCATTTCTCAACTCGAGTAATTGTTAGTTTAAAAGTATATATAACTACCTGTACATATAAATATTTAATTTCTCCCTTATATTCTTAACTAAACTACGACACTGCGCTACTAAAGATTTGATCATTTGCATATACGAACTTTGCTTTTTCGTAACTATTTGAAAGGAGCAGTTTGGAGATAGATAGGAGTGGGGAGTTTGCACGGAATACACATAGTTATAGCCTCCCCTTCTTATTGGTGGGTGAAAGTTGCCGAGATCAGCCAAGTAAACAGATAGTCCACCGTCGATGAGCCGCTGCGTCGAGTTAGTAAAATATTTATTTCCTCTCGTTGGTAATTATGCCGATAGTTATAATTTATCCCCGCTCTTTACTCGTAAGAATACAGAATCGAAAAGCACTAGCATAGCATCTATTCACAAGACTCTATTGAACATAAAAACTTTTTCGAATTTGCCATATGGGCTTCGTCAAGCGTGACGCTGCGTTAGATACATACATGCCTCCAAACGCTAAAAATGCAGTGTAAAGACTGTAAAAGATGATAAAAGAATGGTATGATATGATATGATATGATATGGTATGATGCGGCTCTCCGCTATTAGATGTTGTACAGTATGAAGGGGTATATACTGGTTCCCACGTAACGTTCCTCGACACCAACCCTTTCGAAACTCTTCCTTAGTACCGTAGCTCGACGCGCGTGAAGCGCTTCTTCGTCGAATCCTCTAGCCAATCTCTTCCCTGACTATTATTGCTGCCACGCCTCCACATACTTTGTTCGCTGAAGCTAGGCTCGATATCTAACGCGGACCTCTGAGTAATCTTGTTGAATTTTCGCAGATCGTGACGCACTGTGTCGAGCCCGGCTTCAAAGTAAGATGCCGTCTTAGTCACGAGCTTGGAGGACCACAAACTATTTGTAGTGGGATCTGTTTCCTCCACCAGCTTCTCCCATAGCAGGGGGGTTGAAATGATAGCTGTGTGGCTCTTTGCCTGCTTCTTGGTGCTTTCTTTCCGCTTCAACGTTTTCGGACCAATCGCCGGGTGGATCGTCTCTGCTGTCGTTTCCATAGAGCCCATGAATACGGGATGTCGAACAGCAACATCGAGGTGAGAGGGCCGAGCTGCTTCGCTTCGAGCAATAGCTTTTTGGAGTGCAGCATTCCATTGTGCCGGTAAGGTTTGGCCTCGCGAGAACCTAATATCCGGGTAGGAAGAAATGATCGCGACATGAAGCGCATTAGACCAGTCCCGAGGGGATGCAGCTTTGCGAGTAATTTTAGGTGATACGTGGCTTGCCTTAACAGCTGCTTGGAGCTCACTATCCCAGTTCTGAGGGTAAGAAGCTCTCAAAGCGGCCATAGAACCAGGGTAGCTATCTACTATGGCTTCTCGTAGCGCGCTATCCCAGTCCGCGCGATATGCGACGCTGGGGCGGTATAATTGGCGAAGGGGAGTATGTGTTGGCTTCTTTTGGGGTACTTCATCTAAATTCTTTACTGTAAATTCGTAGGGTAACTCAGGCATCTCAGGGGTCTTTGAGGCCTTTTTCTTGCCAAACCAGCTACTCAAAATACTGCCAGTACTTTTAGCTGATGATGCCTTTGTGGTACTCGTCTTAATTGATGATGAATCTGTTACGGGGGATACGGGTAACGAGTCCACTGTATATATAGAAGCGACGGATGGACTTCTGGGTCGCACGGATGAAATGATCATCCAGTCCAGTTCAACCGAAGTGATCTGACTGTTGCTCCAAAGACGAGAAGACTTAATTATCGGAAGAGGCGCGCTAGTGAAGCGAGGCTTTCGACTCATCTGAAGTGCCACAGGTTCTGCGGAAGTAGTTCGGTAGGTCTTGCGAGTGGGATCGAGCTGGAACAGGCCGGAGGTGAAGGGCGCTGACGCGATGGGCTTACTCCATAGAGAAATTGTCTTGGTAGAAGCGTAAGTTGACTTGATCGACTTCTCCCAGAGCCTCGTGCTCATGAGAGTCGTAAGTGACTCTCCCATCTTGTGACTCCTTCGAGTCATGCTGATCGCGGCCGGAAGCTTGGAGGTCCTGCGATAATCTATCCTGACAATGTTCACGTCAAATAAACCTTCGTAATTTGACATGAGGATTGATGAGTTAGACTGTTCCCACAATAGGTTTGTCCGGCTCGGCGATGAAACCTTTGAAGGTACAGGACGCTCAACAATGGGGGCCGGGGCCTCTATAGTCCAGAGACCAGTGGTCATGATTGACGGCAAGGGCTCTTTATTCGGACGAGATTTCTTAGACATCGCAATGGCAGCTGGGACTCTGGAGGTCCTCCGGTAATCGTATCTTATAGCACTGACATCAAACATACCATCGTGCTCTGGCGCTGCGCTTGTCTTCGGCTTCTCCCATAACAACACTGTCGGAAATTTAGGCACGGCCTCACTCTCAATTGGCTGGGAGGCTTTCATAGTGGACATCTTGAATAAGAATAGCTCAGCACCACGAGCAGGCTGCGAGACACTTTCCTTAGTCCAAAGATCGTTCGTTTGGAGGCTTGCCAACGGCCCCCCTAGCACACGGGAGGTTGTTTTCCCCATAGAAATAGCGGCGGGCTCTTTTGCAGTCCTGCGATAGTCGGATCTGACTATGCTGGTGTTAAATAAACCATCATGCTCAGAGACGGCAACCGTAGCTGGGGCTTGCCATAGTAGTGGTGATTGGACCATAAGGCTATTGGCTGCCCAAAGTACTCTTGATACCAGCTTCTCTAATGGCATTTCTACTGTGCGAGGCTTCTTCTTCATGAAAAGTGCAGCAGGCTCGTTTGAGGTTCTCCGATAATCCTCCCTTGGGCGGCTGACGTCAAACAGACCCTGGGCTTCCGAATCCATAACGGCAATAGGCAGTACCCATAGCGATGCTGATTGGGTAGATACAGTCACCTTCGTTGCTTGCAAATGGATATGAGCCGATTTGCACGCACTCCAGAGTAATCCAGTGTTGAGGTCGATATCCTCGGCCCTCGGCTCCCATAGATGGATGCTTTCAATGGACATGACATTTTCAATACGGTGGTTTGACTTGGCCTTTACTATGGGTTTTGTTATATAACTCTCCCAGGTTGCCGAATCTGGTTGGGGTAGACCAGGGATATGACGAGTTTCAGAGGATTTCAGCTGGGCTGTCCACAGTAGGGTTTGAGAGGCAATAGGGTCAGAAGTCGAGATACAGGATTGATCAATCGGTATCGGATCCTCTAGGACCATGCCATCATCATTATAGTCATCCATGATCGTATCAATAATGTCGTCGCCAAATCCAGGAGAATTGACGGATGATGAACCCTGTTGTGCAAGAAGGAGCAAGCTATCCCTCGAGGGTACCTCAGTCCTAAGCAAGCTTGCAATCTCCCACAAGGTGTTCTCGTCAAAATCATCGCCATCGCTACCTGCGAAATCTTCGAAGTTATCAAAATTATCACCTTCTTCCTCGGCTTCATAGTCGTCAAAGAAGGATGTTGTGAATTCTTCGGCGTCCGGCTGACTTGACCTAGTGTTTGAGAAAGCATTCGTGGTTGGGGCCCCCGTAGTCATAGTTCCTGGCATGGCCGTGAACATACGAGTAGGTGGTGGAAGTTGAATGCTGGCACTTTCACTCTTCTCGCCCCAAGGAAACTGAAAGAGACCTAAAGTTCCCTGCTTGTCAGGTAAGGGAACGGGGTTTTCTAGGATATCAGGTAGGAGAGACACGCGCTTATTTCTCCTAGGCGGGCGAACAGTGACCGGACGAGTAACAGCACGGCTAGATTCTAGATTCTGTGACGGTGTATACTTCTTCCATAGGCCATTGTAAATTGCCATATTATTGCTCTGGGTGGTCTTTTTCCATAGTCGAGAGCTTTCTATAGCCAATGGGGCCCAGGTCTTTCTGCTTACCGAACGTAGTGGTAGGCTCGGGAGATTAAGATTTCCAATAATCGTCTGAGGCTGTTTTACCACCCCAGCCCAGAGACCTGTGCTAACCAGGCGCTGAGCGGGCGACTGTGGTTTCCATAATTCATGAATTTGGGTCACCGCTGCAGATAGTATTGGGCCCAGTGGTTGTATGCCCATAGGAAGCTCGCTCTCGTATTCAGATTCTTCGGTATCAGGTGGGCTCGGACTACCTAGCGCAGCCTTAGAAACAGATAGAAAGTTGAGGTTGTTGTGTTTCATAATCAAGTCGGGTGTGCCTTCTATTTCCTCTGTCTGAGCACCGGCGAGACGGGTTTGCCACTGGCTAGAGCGAGTGTTTTCGGAACTTGTTCCGGAGCTCTGAGACGAGGGTGTGCCCGTACTACTTTCGTCTTTAGATCGAGTAATTCCGGTTCGCATGGGCGTTTTTCGTGATGCTCTCCGTTCGGCAACAATCGAAGGAGGACGTGAATCCTTCGCCGGGGAAGTCTTGATACTCGACATGGAATCGCGCTGAAGGAGGTCCTGTGCGGACTGCCATTTGTTTTGAAGTTGACCCATTTCGCGCTCCAGGTTCTCTAGCAATGCCAGGCGTTGTACCTCACTATCCACGGAATCCCGGTTCGGTTGCTCGAAACGTTGAAGCTGAGCCTGAATCATCTGATACGCGGCTCCAGGTGACTCTAGTGGTGAAGGCTCCGCAGGCTGAACTAGAATTGTTCTTTTGTTACTTCTCCCGTTCAGAATTAGAGGCGCCGGCGGGGGCATCTTTCTTAAACGTCCCTTGCCCTTTCGAGTAGAGAAAGCTGGGCATTCATCGCCGACCCGACGATGGAAACCATTCGTGTTAACTTTCTTGATAGTCGGTACCTTTGGTAGAGCCTTGTTGTTTTCGACAAAGTCCCTAACCCTACCTCCACTAACGGCGTTGGTAGAGTGGCCATGCTCCTTCTGTTTTTCGGAGCTGTGGGTATCTTTCTGAATATACGTCGAATGAGCATTTTGTCGCGATTGCTGGATATTAACAGCAGCGATAGGAGAGTGTACCGAGCCCCAGATAGTACTGGCATATCCCTCTCGCCCCTCGCTCTCGTCCTTCGAGGATAGCCCATTAAATTGACCCTCCGTTGGCATAGCAGGCGACGACCTTCGATTCATCTTATCATGAGACGGATACAGTCGTCTTTCCTTTCCGGCTGATATTCCCGGCAGCCAGGACTGGCCCAGCTCCTCAACTACATTATGAGAGTTGTCAGCCTTCTGTACGCCCTGCTGTGGAATGTCGTCGATTCCAAGAATACTAGTAGTTCGAGTCGAACTTTTGTCAGTTGTCTTGGATAACCGCATGGAATCATAAACTTCGCGGTCGGGAACACCCTCAACATCGGGTCTTTGTGTGCTCATCGCGTACGCCGCAGGTAAAGGAGGCATCTCTGGCACTATAGACTTCTGCTTATTTCTGGTTGGTGCTGAAGGAGCGCTAAGCGGTGTGGGATATAGCAAGTCCATTTTCTCGTCGAGTGACATACTCTTCGTGTGGATAGGCCGAAGGCGAGATAAATTACCGGCGCTTTTGGGCGGCGGCGGTAAGGGCGGCAGCTGGGAAGGGCTACCGGGCACAGACCGCAGCATAGACCTTCTAGCGATAATTGAGCCGCTTGATTTCGACCGTTTATGGCCCTGAGCTGGCGAGACTTCGGCAGGGAAAACTTGACGATCATTGTCTCCTTTTCTGGGAATCGGGCGCGGACGATTGACAACCGAATCACCAGAGTCTAAGGAAGTTATTGGTGTTTTTGAAGCCCCTTGGACAATATTGGTGACGGCATTTGGATCGTCATAGACAATATTGTTAATGAACATTACAGTTTCGTGCCGGCTGTTTGCAGCATCCTTCGCGATTTGTTTCATTGCTTGGGCCCTGGGGTTCGACGGAAGTCCCGTTGTGGCACGTCGCTGGAGCGGTGTTTTTACTGGCTCTGGTTCCTTTGGCGATGGAGATGGGTCTCGGGGCCTTGGAATGGGTATACGAACCGGCTCACCAGGTAAAATCGCTTGGAACGTTGCTGGGATCGGTGGTGCCGGGGGGTGCCTCGGAGATCTCCGCCTTACCTGTTCGGTCCCGGGGGATAATTCTGAAGATGTAGAAGATGCATTTGCTTCAACAGATAACCCCGCCGATGTCTTAGTCGTCTTGGTCGAGATGGTTCTCTCCAGCTGTGCTAAAGACGATGACCCAACCTCTTTACGTTTCAAACTTAGCTCCCTAGCAAGCGACGCATCTCGTCCCGGAGCAGTAGGCGGCTGAGGGGCGGGCCGCTGCGCAATTAGAGTTGGCTCGTGTTGCAGTAACTTGACACGCCTCTCTTTTTCCTCTCTAACAGCCGTAGCAAGATCGACTGTTGGTATCCTGTCAAGAGGGTTTTCCATGCCTTCCTGTGAGATAAGAACCGGTTTCGAGATTACGAGTTTGCCCGCTGTGGCCTTATTCCATGTCTTCCCCTTAGTATTTTTCTTCGAGTTGCCAAACGCACCATTTTCAGCAGCACCATTTTGAGAAACGTAGGCTGTTATAGTTGTTGTATTTGTAGCTTTGACATCCTCGTATCGGGACGGGGGATAATCTGCGGAATCTGATGACGATAAATCCCTATCTCTACCAATATCCCGAGTAGTTGGAGAATCTGGTCGTCGCAGGGGTGGACCTCGAGGCGCAACAAGTGATCCTGAGAACACAGTAACTAATGCTTCAGACTGTTAACGATACGACGAAAGAAAAATACATTATAACACATACCAACTAAAATTGCTAGGCCAACGGCAGGTAGCGTTGTCCTTAGTACCAAATCTGTTGCCCTCTCACCGAGGAGAAGGACTACGCTCGTCTATAGACAATTAGTATCTGAATAGATATAACAACATATCGGAACTTACCCCTATCCATATTGCCAACCCAACTGTGACCAAAGTAACACTTCTTTTCCCGAAGGAAGCCTGTCCATCACCAGAAACACCGCTCGTTGAGGTATTCGATAAGACTTGAACAGCAATAAGAGCAAGGATAATGGCATCTAATACGATGACGGTAATGGCAATGGGCGGGACGCTGGAAATAGGCACACAGGTAGGGTTGAAATCACTCCGTGTTAATCCGATAAATGCCATGCCGACACCGAACCGAACGAGAAGAAGAACTTGCGACACTATATTCGGTATTGATTTCTTCTCCGGTCGCGCTGCCCATACCAAGTACTGTTCGACGAAAACCCTTGCCATCTGATCGAAAATGGACGAGAAGACTACCGCAACCTGGCACATAGACGCAGCAGTCGGCTCGATGATGGTAGCCAGAAACTCGACCAAAGCCCACGCAGCAGAAGAAGTCAGGAACAGTATGAGGACCAGCCTCAGGCCGTCCCGAAAGATTGCTGAACCATGACCTACAGCATACAAAACCAAACCCGCAGACGCCGCGTTAAATAATATACCAAAAAAGAAGGCGGCCAATAAGGCCTGTGTTGTTTCTGGTGTCGCCATGACTTTGGCAGCGTGTAGCTGTATTCGCTTAAAAGAATGTACGAATAACCCACTCAATGGGTATTTCAAAAAGAAAAAAAAAATATTATAAAATATTAATCAAGAAGCGAATTATGCATATTGACACTGATAGTTGACGCGGACGAGTATACTACAACGCCACCAGGGTCAACACTGATGATAGTCGGCGCGAAGACACGAAAATGAGAGTAAGAAACAGAACGTGAACAAGACCGGAGTCAGAAAGTAAAGGGCGTGGCTAGCACGCGGCAGTAGGCGAGGGTGAGCGAGGGTTATTCTCGACCCATCTTCAGCAACAAATCTACGATCCTGGCCTTCCGCAATAGTAGACTACACTAGTATCTGTGATCCTCAAACATGGACCTTGCAGGGTTATGTTCGAGGTTCTTCGATTGGTTCCACCAGTTCACGAAAGGCAAGATAAGTAATTGGGCGAAAGCGCAAGGCTGAACGCCCCAAGACGACGGTGGATCACAACCCCTTGTCAAGGGTTGTTAGATTTGAAACCCGAACCGTTACACTCAACATAGGAATTGGCCAGGGTTCTTTTATTTTAGAGCAGGGCCTAAACCAATCTGAGCCATCTGACGAAAGAAACGAGGCGATTAGGAATCTCGTTAACGATAAACCTGGTCGCAGGAGTGGCTTCACTGCAATAATGTCAATTTATTTTCGGGTAGTTAGAGAAGAAAAGCATAAAGTCTACAGAGTTTGGTGGAGAGTTTTGACGGGTTGTTTCCGGACTACTGGAAACGACACACCTATTTTTTCCAACATACCCGACAGAAGCCTATTTATATATAAAGAAGCTTCGATGACCAAAGAAGATGAAAGATGGAAGATGTCAGTCAAGCCTAGGAATACGATGGAATGTAGTGCAACTAACCCCCGAAACAAGCGAGCCAAGCCTAAGCGGTCCGGCGAGACACCGAAACGACTTGTGACAAATAAGGCAAATGTCGTTTATGTTAGTACTGGTTATTCCGAGACGCGTTGTGGCGATCTGGGACTCTTTTTATTCTGTATCCAATAAACATCAATTAGAGAAGATGAAATCTGTATTCCATGGCATGCACATAATTAAGAAAATGTCCGCGCGAACTATAATAGGAGCTTGGTTGAGGTACATAATCTATGTACCCAACTTAGCTAAGCTCCTCATAACCCCACAACCAAATATAGCACAAGCACATAACTAATTGATGGGTAGGGGTACTATGCAAGTAATTTCCGTAATTTCCAATAATTTATGCCTGTACATACTTTATCCAAGTAAATCAAACAGCACACTCCTATGCGATTCCCATCACGTGTAGGGAACCCTTCACTTCTTCATTTATTCAACTTCGATTCCATGTTCCTATCGGTTTCCCCCGTTGTACTTCATACTCGGATCCCTCACATCAACCAAACTTTGCTGTACCACTGCACCAGGAGGCGAATATCCCCCCAAGCCAGTCACGGCTGCGGCTATATTCCTCCAGAAATCACACGCCGTTTTCTCGTCTTGGATATCTCGTACCGTGCTAAACCCCCAATCATCGAGGCTAACCACGCCTGAGATCTGCTCTGCCTGACTATTTGGATGGTTCCATTGTACCGTCGGTGGCAGATTGAAGATCTTGCGATTGGTGTTAGGATCACCAGTGAGAATGTAGCTCGTAAGGTAGCTTTGCAACGCTACGCTGATGCCGGAAAGGAGCGATCCGATACCAGGTGTCATCAACGCCGCCAGGTTCTCAAGCCAGCTTTTACCTCCGAGCTTGGCGCTGAAGATGGGGAAAAGATCCGTTCCATGCCACCCAGGCGATACCCCGTACTGTATATTCCAGACCTTGGAGTCGCCAAAGCTTTCGGTAAGATGACGAATATTACATGTGAAGCTGCTATCGCGAAGGAGGGCCTGCACTCGTTCCGTCTGCGACCTGTATTTTGACTGCCCAGAGACCGCGTAGAAAGCACCAATCCTATCCGTGATTCCGGTAGCCTGGGTGTAATTTGGAAATATGGCGCCGACAAACGATGTAAACCCGATATCCGTCTGTACAAGGCCATTAACAAATACGTTCGACTCGGCAGTAGTATGCGACAAGATGAGTGACTCCATGCTCCAGAAATTTCCAGTCCTTAACTCCAGTACGGGAAGCTGTCGTATGTATGATCCATCAGGCGTCGGACCGACTGCGAAGGTGCCTGGATACTGCTGCTTCATCAACTGCGTATTCGCATTAGCCAGAGTGTATGCGTCAGCGCGCCTCAAGCACGAAACGCCTTGACCGGCACAACCAGCCATTCTTGCAAATGCCTCAAATGTCTTTTGAACCACACCAGCGCGATCCCACATATACTCAAAAGCTGGGGAAAGCAATATAGCCTTGGAGAATAAAGGGTCAAGCTTCCCACCTTGTCCGATAATGTGATGTATAATACTTCCACCTCCAGCGGATTGCCCCATAGCTGTTACCCGTGCCGGGTCTCCACCTACTAATGAAATGTAGTCCCTAACCCATTGAAAAGCTGCTCTCTATCCCACGACAACGTGTCAGAATCAACGGTGCTCCAGGGTTCTCATATATGCACTGACCTGGTCCCAGAGCCCAGTATTTGGGGTACCTTCGTTCTCCATAGTAGTTCCAGCGAGGAAGCCGAAAGCTCCTACCCGATAATTCATTGCCACGAATATCATGTTGTTACCGGATTGTGATATTAGACCAGTCCCGTCGTAGAACGGCAGCTCTGGTTGCAGCGAGTCTTTACTGCCAAAGACATACGCGCCGCCATATACGAATACCACAACAGGTAACTTTTCAGAGGATGCTTTCAAGGCCTTTCCAGGAACATCTGTTACTAGTAAGTATATTGGCTAGGAGCTTCAGCTTTGATATTTCTATTCAAACGTACTATGAGCTATATCAGCATCCCGTTGGTGAAATATCGCATATAAGATGTACGTACCAAATGTCTAAAAACAGGCAGTCTTCGCTGCCGCCTGCGAATACGGGAAGTGGGATACCCCCAAGACTTTCGTAGTATTAGGGAATTTATTCTCTAGTACTCTTCAGTATATACTACAGGGAGCACTCACAACTGGTTGCCAGCACCGAGTAGGTTGAGTCCGTTTGGAGCCGCTTGTACACATGAGTGGCCGATGCTCCCGTCTTGAATGCCGGACTGGTTCAACGGAGGCGCCGGCTTGGCCCAGCGCAGATCACCAACTGGTGACGCCGCATATCGAATATTTTTGAACGTATATCTATGACTTGCACCATTAGGACATTCTACCTTTTCCCCTCGTTTACTTCAAGTAGTGTATATCAGCTTCGACTTACATATCATTCACGCTATCGTATCTAGCTGCTCTATACGACGCGTATGGGAGGTTGAGAATAGGTAGTGAGCTTCGTGCTCCGATCTTATTATTATCTAAGGTAGGAGAGGCTGACACAAATAAAATAAGGTAGAGAAAATACGAGATAATAAGGAGGGAAATTCGTATCGCGGTCATAGTGACTGATAGAATCACATAAGCATATACGTATACATATTAAGCGAGAGGACATCTGCGGGAAGCAGTAGAAGAGAAAGGGCGGCAGCTACACAGCACAGATATATTATCAAGGATCATCACGATTATCTCATGTGGAAAGAACAGGAAGAACAGCTGCCTTACAGTCGTGATCGATATTAAAATGCTTGCTATATTTCACCTATTGTTTATTCCGTCGGTGTGAGATCCCTCCGAAGTCAGAGTGTGCCATATCCTATCCCTAAAATAAGTTAAAATCGCAACCCTCTAAGAAATTAACAATGGCGAATCAGCATCGCACTCTAGGCGTGATGAGGGCGAATATAATATAACGAATATCCAAGCAGGTGTCGCATTTCAAGTTTGTTCAGTAGCTATATGGTGATCCTATAGACAGGAAGAGTTCGCAGCTCGAATTGGCTGCCGCATTGATGTGAATTCTTAACACTTAACTCGATTTGACCTTTTCAGCCGCCATTCACTGTCGAATAAGATCAATGCCTGGCTAATGGCGGCAAACCTGTGTCCAATCGGATTAGAAAAATAAGATGTCGTACTTAGTCTCCAAACCAGGGTTCCGATAGTCAAGTTACTAGTTAGGAGATGCATACTTATGCTTCTATGCTATGGGGTGGTAAGTCTATTCTGCTTCGATGCTGTGAAAGAGACCTAGGCGCCTCATACAACTATCGAAACGGTTATATTATATGGTTATTTAAAAAGGATAGTTTTTATACGAGGAAAATTAGTCATATAGTTGAAAAGGTTTATGATTGAATACCTAGAACTTATTGAGATGCTATTTTAGTAAACTACGTAAAACGGGGCTTCATTACGAACGAACTTAACAAAATGTTAGTAGAATTCATACCATATTCTCCAATCCAGGTTGATAAGATAAGAAAGGACCTTTGTGGGAGAGCCTGTTTCATTGGCAAACGAGGAATCCAATGACATGCCAAATGACGCACGTAGTGAAGTTTGCGAGCATCGGATCTACAGATCTAGGGGTGTCTGCAAATTTCCTCGCGGGAGTTCACATAAGATGTTAATGTATCCAGCCTTCCTACGTATATAACCAACTTAACGTGTCCCGGGTACTTGGAATGGGCAAATCAAGTGGTTAAATCTGCTTATCTTGCTGCTAAAGTTATAAATATGAAACCTAGCGAAGAGATGCATCGAGTGGCTTAGGCATGGTGCATAGCGCCGGGGAACGAGTTTTGGGGGCAATATCGTAGGGAGGAGGGAGGCCACAAAGTGACTCACTTCGCCATGTCTCAGACATTTGGTAGGGGTACTGGAGTCCTGAGTCTCGAGCTTCAATCTCAGGCCCCGGGTTGAAGTCGAAGTATGAGAAGGGGCTGGAATAGACGCCCTACAGTTGTCCGCCATGTTGAGGCCTGTATAACCTAGGGAACCGGCCATCGTCTCTTATTTGGGATAGAACATAGATAAATGCAAGATAGTACATACGCCACACGGAAGTTGTTCACCGGTCTGTATGTAGGTATACGACATGGAACGCCCAATGAGCACAAGAAGAGATGTCTTCGTATGACATCAAACACTGTCAGCATGCTTACCGCATTTTGGCTTTACTCGTATACCAAAATTAATACCTCGGGACAAGCAGATCAGTTAAAAGCTTTTGAGTAGGGATATTGTGGTAAGTACCTACCTTAGGTACTCTATAGCGCGACTACGGATATAACGGAGGCCGTATGAATCGACTTCAAACCGGTAGTTACGGTCGCTAGGCGATAGCGGATAGAAATTTTAGGCGCTGACATGCTACCATCAAGTCGCTTATACTATACTAGGATAGCAAGCTTGGCGGCCTAGTATTTACGTACGACTATATGCTGCATTAGTTGATACCGGCGATTCTCCGATGGATGCATTGCGTCAGTATGGAGTCCGAGGCGGAGCCAATTCGGGGGTTTTAGATGACAGCTCGCGGCTACTTAGAGCGGGAGCGGGACGGTGCTTTTAATATGCGCTGATCTTGCCCTGACGATAGGACGCGGCGGGACCGGGCGGCGCGCTGCTGAGGTTCGCCTATGCAAGGACAGTCCGCTTGCGAGGCGTTTAGCACGGGGCGGACGGGCGGTGGTGAACTAGCTAACGCGGTGTTTCTAATCTACATAGCTACACTACTATACTAGGTTAGTTGTCTACCTAAGAATATAAAGCTGGATCTATCATCTCATCAACTAGGATCCTTCTAGCATTGAAAACTACTTCAGCTTGATCTAGCTATATACATACTAAGGACATAGCAATATCAAGGAATAATACCTCAACTATCTAAAACTCTTAAGACCGAAAGGCTGCATGCTAGCCTGGTTAGTAGAGATACCCCTGAATCCGAGAGATCAGTAGGCTTGCGGCGCAATTTGTACCGCAATGTGAGTGTGTATTGTAGAGAAAGTTGTGGTGGGTGGGGAGTTTGAGGAGAGAAATGGAATGCCATGTGAAGTCCTCTCACACCCTGTCAAACGTGTTGGATTGCCCACGTTTCCGCCATTCTCTGCTCGCGATGTCCTTCACTTTTCCGTGTATTTAAACACTCAACTAATAATGGCATAAATCTAGTCTGTTTGATAAGTATGTAACGTCTGCTGGTAAATGGGAGAGCAATTGTCAGATAGGTAGAAGATCACAGGCAAATTCTGCGAGCTCGGACGGGATATGTAATAGGCAGTTCGGCTCTCCGTGTGATCCGTGGATGATCGCGTCTGCAAGGTCAACGCTGGTACAATTCGCCCATGTATGTGTGCCGAATGTAGGCAATATATTATGTAGTATACATAGACGGTTCAGCAGCACCTCCTTCGGTCAACTACGTACGTACACTACATTACCACAATACATACACCGCCTACAAATGGTTCAAATATGTATGTGAATCTCCCTGGCTAGATCCCTATGTAGTCAAATATATACATGTACCTGTTAGATATACTATGGTACATATTCCGTAGCTTGGTTTTATTGACTGCCTATGTATGTATCTCCTAGCTTCCCCATAAGATTGATCCCCGGGCGAAGCTTTGCTAGCTTTTTCTTTGCCAGCTTCGTCCCAGGACCCTAACTGTAGCGAGGACCCACGATATCTAATGCCACGGTGAACAAACCTTGTATACATGTACATACTACATATGCGTTATGGCGTACTAGGTAGCACGACGGAGCGTTCCAAATTAATTTGTTCGGTACGTAGCCACAATTCATACCACCCAGCGTCATTTAGCGTGGACATCCTACATAAGGCAGTATGTACATAAAAGGATATCTTACTCGTCTACGTACCTTGGTAGAAAGATGCAGAGTGAGCAAATCCTTTTCTATTCGGGTAGACCTTGCTGATTTTTCAATGCTGATCATTCATGGGTCATCAGCGGCACAACAAGCTACAACATATATGTCTAGCACGGTTACACTACCTATGTATATATATTTCTAAGTAGTGTAGGGTGCGCCATACATACCGAACGTGTATGTACGTAATGAGCACATCCCGAGATGGGCGAAAAATATTCGTGCGTCTTGCCTGTGCGTCGTGTAGTAGATCTAATCTAAGGGGGGCCGCGAGGCTGCATGGTTCAGTTGTGACGAACAGAGCCGCAAATCGGAGTTTTTTGGTTGTAAGAATACAGTCAGGAAGCTCACCGACTATATAAATATGATACCGTTTAATACTGTAGACATCTTAAGGGATATACTAGTTACATAGATGTATGGAAGTATGCGCGCCTAACACGCATGTGCGAAATACGCTATACATATACTACTTATGGTCTGATTTATAAGATGTTGTTAAGACAATATCATGCAGTATGACGGAGTGTTTCTCATAAGGAAATTTCGAAACATAAATAATTCCATAGTCACGATGTTTCCTGGCCTCAACAATGTGATAGACTTATGCAGTGGATTTTTTTTTTTTTCAACATTTAGGTACGCAGCACTGTTTTTAATAATGCGCCTTATTCGATAGTTAAAGACCTGGGATGTGTGGGGGATTTGGTCACCTGGACGTGTATTTTTTTAAGGAGAGATTAGTCTCATCTCAATACGACCACCGAGAACCCGAGAGGCTAATTTAGATATTTCTCACGATGTCTTTTTTCTCTTGTTGTTCTTGTAAGCCCCCCTGAACATTAGAGGCTGACGGGTGCGGGTGACTTTAACCCCACGAATCTAATTATGTACCTACGTATTTGGCGCATAATCTCCGCGTGGGTTTCGATACCCCAGAAAGTACGGTCGTTTAACTTTAAGCAACTACATTTTAGCATCGTGAGCTTTTCGGCGGTGTAGTTTTTGTTTTATATATTGCTCTAGCTTATTGAATATACCTAGGATGTTATTTGTTATTAGGACACTATTAAGAACTTCGTATTTATGTACACTTCTAGGCTTACATACCTATATGTTAAAGTATCTTCTTCACACTGACACTCGTTGAAATCCTTGGGTGGTTTTCAAAAGAAGGTGCTTCAAGGCCACGTCACTTATTAGGTAGGTATACCCGCGAACATAGTAAATTTTCAATCATATTAGAGCACTTCTCGTTGGCGAGTTGCGTGGTTTAATCACGTACCCGCTTGCCTGGAAGAAAATCCTGCTTCAGCCTTCCAAGTTCAGTTTAGCTATCGGCATTTAAAACTCCCAAACTAGGAAAGCAAGTCTATACATAGTATGAAAGGCTAGCCTAGCTAACTGATATAACTGACATATGTAGATAAATATTTAAGTATGAATAGAGATAGTAATTATATGTAGGCTTTAACGAGATTAGGAAGTATTTCAAACTGTAAGCATTACTACGAGATAGCCGCAGTTACCCCCACGCCGAGTTCCCTCAGAGGCGTTGCTGGCGGTTTCAAAATACTCCTAGAAAGGTAACCTACCCATGGTACGGATGTAAAATCTCTGTACGGCTTCTCCATCATTCGTGTTACTGTACATGTGTTGGGTATTGATATCTGACGATATTGAATAAGGTTAGGTAGGTAGTTTAGAATTTCTTTAGAAGGGTGGAAGACTCTACGAAAAAGAGCTAAATAGAAAACAGGTCGCGCTACTGAGTTAGATGGAGACCTGAGTCCCACCCGGGCTGCATGCCGGACCCCATAGTGCCCCATAGCCCCCATTATTTCTACTTAAGGCCCCGTCGGGTCGGTTTTATGGGCAGTCTTGGCGGGGACTGGGCATTTACTTGGTGCTTCTTGGGGCTGCTTGGTCTGCTTGGCAGCTTGGCAGTTTGCTAGGTCCGCTAGGGTCCAGAGCTACTGCAATACTACAGGCAGAGACAGGCCAACAAAAAGCTACCCTTGACATTCGATGACAACCAAGAAAGATTTTCAATTCTAGTCTATCTGTTCCCGCACAGCTATCCGCCACAAGTCTTTTTTTTTTTTTTTTTTTTTTTTTTTTTCTTGCCCTCCTCCGCCGTGTTTGATCCAGTTAAATATAATACGTGCATATATACTAACTAACCTATATATATACATGTACATCCGAGATGGATGGCGTAATATGTATGTACATTCCTTAAGAAATACAATCGCAATACTATTCCGTAACGGAAACGGTGACTTTTCACCCCCTCTTTTTATATACAAACGTAGTAGCTCATGTACCTTGATTTTCGTAGGTACAAACCCATCACGTTACGTTGCTCGGAGTTAGCGAAGCTAAATACTCAGATCAACGGGGTCCAGAGCGAACGGGCGAGGCGGTCTATCGTCTAGCTGCTGACCCAAACTCGACGGGACCCTTTCGTTCAACCTGCCATGTATAATGGAAAGGGGAAAGATATGTGTAAATCTTGACAACTGTTAGAAAAAGTAAGTCCACATTTTCACGAGGGAAGGGAAGAAATGCGATAGCGAGTAAGTAGAAATAGGGCCACACTTCTTGCAACTTATTGCCTTCGGCTTGCTATAATTTTTTTTCTTTTTCATTAATCCTTATTGTGTAGAAGCTCTTCTTGATCTATACTGCTACGATCTTAGTCCTTTCTACTGTGCCCCCTTGTTGAGTTCTCGACAACTACGAGACATTTATTGATATCTCCTCTATTTTCTCCCCACTCATACCTAGACCTTGCTACTAGGTACTATTACTACTTACTACTTTACTACCTACATAACTCCAGCCCCCCCTGGCTTAGACCGACGGTCAGACGAACCCGTAGAAGCTCCAGTTCGAGCACGGAACATAAAAACAAATATTTGCTTCAGCTCGTGACCACGACTACGGGATTAGTTCACGAAACCCATCCAGCTTCCAATTTAACAAAGCTCGTCTTGTGACCTTGAATCTTACACACAAGCCGCAAAACCCTGGAACTTGGGGGTTTTCACTCGAGAATTTACTGGGACTTTGGTCTTTTTTTTTTTTTTTTTCGCGGAGCTTCCCCCGATTTCGGATTATTCTGCCATTGAAAAATCCCCCTGGGGTTCCCATAAATTGACCGGTTTGCCTAAGGCCCCCTCTCTAACTTACGAGGAAAAAAAAAAGTCAATTGCTGCTTTGTCACTTGTCTCCAGAGTTTCTAGAGCAACTTTAAAAGACTTCCTACATCTCGCCACATCCCTATTCCAAGAATTCCTAACATACCTTGAACTTGGATATAATCCCATCTATATACTTACGCACATACACACATACACATACACATACATACATCATACACATAAAAACATATAGTTGCAACAATGTCTGGTCGCTCAGCACTCCGTCTCACCAGGGCCGCAGCTCCCCTCTTTAGCACCGCCCGTGCATCTGCCCGTATCTCTAGATCTCTCCCCGCAGCTCACCGAGCTTTCAGCCAGTCAACCATTCGATCGCGGAGTGATGTAGTACGCGAGACCGAAGTTCCAGTTTCCGTCTACTCCCCAGACTCGACGGGTGCTGCCGGTTCGACCAGCGACCACTTCAGCATCCCCGTGAACCGCGACGATGCCACACCGAAGCCATTCCCTCCCCCCGAGGACACCGAGGTCATCCCATTGTCCAAGACTGTCTACCGCCAAATGCCCCCCACCCTGCAGAAGATGAGCATAATGGACAAGGTGGTTATTATCACTGGGTAAGCTGAGTTTTGCTACATGAAGCTATTTTGAAATGGATTTTGCTAACGAGGCATCGTTACAGAGGTGCTCGGGGTCTCGGAAATCACATGGCTCGCGCTTGTGCTGAGGCTGGTGCTAAGGCTCTTGTTATTTTCGATGCGAACCAAGAACTTGGTGACGAAGCTGCTGCTGAGCTACACCAGAAGACCCAACTCCCCGTTTCCTTCTTCAAGGTCGACGTCCGTGACGGTGCCGCAATTAATGCTGCCGTCGACTCCGTTGTCGAGACCTACGGCGCCCCTGATGTCTTGATCAACAGTGCCGGTATCGCTGATTCCAACATCAAGGCCGAGACCTACGACCCGGCCATGTTCCGACGCCTAATCGACATCAACCTAACTGGTTCGTTCTTGATGAGCCAGTCGGTCGGACGCGCGATGATGGCTGCTGGCAAGCCTGGATCTATTGTTCTTGTTGCTAGTATGAGCGGTAGCATCGTTAACTATCCACAGGAGCAATCTTGCTACAACGCATCTAAGGCCGGTGTTATTCAATTCGGCAAATCTCTGGCTGCCGAATGGGCCAAGTACAACATCCGTGTTAACTCCATCTCTCCCGGTTACATGGACACTGCGCTGAACCGCGTACCCGCCCTTGAGGCCCAGAAGAAGATCTGGCGCTCTTTGACTCCCCAGGCCCGCCTCGGTAATGTTGACGAGCTTAACGGCCTTTGCGTCTTCCTTGCTAGCGATGCCAGCAGCTTCATGACGGGCGCCAACGTCGCTATCGACGGTGGTTACACTGTCCTATAAGCCAGCATTAACTAAATAGTCTCGACCTGGTATGTTGAGACAAGCTATACGGCGTGGCGTATTTGCAGACATTGCGGTTTTGGTCCTGTTTAGCCGGAGCCCGCTTGTTATGCCCTAATGGGTGGGAAACTTGGAGTTAGAAGGTAGACGAATTCTGTCTCATTCGGTGCGGGGGTTACGTTGCGTCGAGGCATTTTGAGTCTGTCTTCCCCATGCATCTTGAACAACCGCATTCAGGCACGCATGTTGGACAGACTTTGCCAAGTCACGTTTTCGCCAACCAACTTGCTCGTTCGGTCTTAATGGTCGCATCGCACACCATCCACTTGCACCTACGTGCCCAGCCGAAAACCCTTCGTATGTATATGTCAGAAGGGCTTCGGCTGGGTTCTAGGGGGGATCTTACCTATGGGTATAGTTCCTAGCAATGCTGGTGACCTTTTCTTTTACGGTTTGTTATTTTATGGAATGATGCGCGGCATAGACTTGACTTTTTACATAATCGTCATGGGGAAATCTGGAGTCAGTTTTATTATACACGCCATGGAGAAAAAGTGGGAAAGGGGGGCTGATACCAAATACTATCATAGGGGGAAAAAAGAACTTTTTGCCTTTTTTCTGACGAAAAAAAAAAATCATCAGAATAGCTCTTAGAGATAGACTACCCTCGGGTGGACTCCCCGGACCGACTATACAGAGGGGTTGTGGGATATGGGACGGTGCACAACAGAACTGATCTCTTTAACACCCGCTTCAAGCGGTACACACGAAATAGAATAGAAGCAGAGTTTGCTTCTGTTTTGTGACTAATATTTTGAACTTTTGTGTTTGTGTTTTTGTTTGAATACTGAAGCTTCTTCATCTAACGAAATTATATCACTTAAACAGGCATATTTGGATTGCACATACAGACTAGGGGTCATTATCCATAAGCGAACTCCTCGACCATGACCAGGATAGTGTGAAAAGGATTTCATATACTTGGGGTCTTGTCTTAGGAGCAAGCAATGCCCTCAAACTTAATAGCACTCATTTTTTATTTGGATAAATTGCTCATGCATTGCTCTCGGGTTAGAGACCAAGCTTGAGTCATTTAGTGAAATCTAAGCTTCATCTATCTCCTATGTACCTGAGTCTACAGATTGAAGGTTGTCTTCTTAGTTATCTACAAAAAAAAAACCAAAAACCCCCTCGTTATAGGGGAAATTAGTTACCATCTTTATTTCTTCTAGCTAGGTGGTTTGAATCGATATCTTAGCCGTCCTCAACAAACTAGAAACAACGGCATTGATTCTTGTCATGTTAAGTTCCTGAAGAGGTGCTTGTGTACTTTGCACAATGTGACACATATAGTTCGATAAGTTGACCTATTTAGTGCCCTACATATGCTCGGTTCTATGTTGCAACAGACAACTATTCATCTTTGACCCCCCAGACATGGGGGGTTAAAGATAAAAGACAATAGTAAAAGCCAGACTTTAACTAACTGGTATATTTTTCCAATACAAGACATGAACATCTGCAGCAGATCTTGATTTATAAATTTTAACCTTCCAATATCCAATTAATTCCATCGTTGGACTCAAATATCTAAATCTCAGCCTCACTTCGGAGCTAAGCCCCATAATCCGACCTGCCCGGTACGAGTCGCGAACTCTTAGGTGACGAGGGTCTTGAACTGGGGGTATTGGGGTATTTCAAATCATCTGCTTCGAGGACGTCCGTTTCGTCTAGTTCTGCTCTAGTATCCAATGAAGGCCGTCTCAAGGGTGGTATCGTCTCGCTATGTACAAGTATAGGATCGGCCCTCCATAGGATTCCGGACCCCTTCGTCAGTTGCTGTTTTTATTTTTTTTTAATCTCTCCAAATCTCCACCCAAGCCCAAGCCGTAGCATAGCCACACAGGTACAGATGTAGCGAGATGTTTTGGCCGTCACCAGCTCGATGTATCCTTGAATTGAAGGATAGTAACACTTATTCAAACCTCGAGCGCAACCGACCTCAAATTATTCCAACTTCTTCAAAGCGTTGCAGCATCACCGACATACATTTATTGACCCTTATTAGCCTTCTCTTCTAGCCGGGCTTCCCTTGCGGCCCTGACGAGTGGTGATAAAGACGACAGGTCGACACAAGTCTTCATAAATTCGTGCTATATTAGGTTAGCTTTCTAGAATCCCAACCTGAAAATTAGAAGACATACCCGAAGTAAGTCGTGTGCGCTCGCTCTCTTCTCCGGGTCCACCTTTAGGGCGAAATATAAGAAATCCCGGAATACTGGAGATAAATTATGCTCATCTTTGATTTGCGGTGTGCCGTTAGTAGCGATTAACCATAGAGCGCGAAGCGGCGACTCTGTAAGATACGGCGGCTCCCCTTCTATCATTTCAATAGCCATAATACCTAGAGACCAGATGTCGACTTTCCTTCCGTACTCCTTTCTAGTGACCACTTCCGGTGCCATCCAGTACGGCGTACCAACCATTGTCGTCCGCTTATTATGCGCTTCGTTGATCTGCGCGCAAAATCCGAAATCGGCTACGAAAGGGGGGAAAATTAGGTTTTAGTCGACTAACTTTAGAGTGAGGAGTGTTTGACTTACTGAGCTTAATATTACCATCCAACGACAACAAAATATTATCAGACTTGATGTCTCTATGTATAACTCCTTTCGAGTGCAAATGCTGGAGGCCTTTCAAGGTTTCCCTACAGACTGAAGCGATCTGCCCTTCCGTCATTATATTAAAAGTGACAACATCAGTCAAACTACCTCCTTCCATATACTCCATGATGACCCAAAGCTCGCCACCGCATAGGTAGCTATCTATGAAGTTAACAATATTCGGGTGTGAGCTTTCTTTCATAACCAAGATTTCATTGATGATCAAGTCTTTCTTTGGCTGCTGCTCTAAATTCATTTGCTTAATGGCTACCAGTCGATTCGATCCCCTCTCGTGGCCGGTATAGACACCACCAGATGCACCTTGACCAATCTTAGTAAAGCCACGGTATAACTCGCGAGGGTCGCCTTCGGAGCAGATACGTTTCAGCGCTGCTGCTACGTCTATGCTAGTACTTTGCCGCGGCCGGTTGCGCGGACGTGACTGCTGCGCTGGAGGCCCGCGTGCTGCATAGGCCGTATTACCGGTACCATTAGCCTCAGGGACGCGACCCATTTGGTGCTGTGAGCTCGGAGCCATTGGCTGCGCGGGTGACTGCTTAGTACTCGCAGACCTACTGAGCTGACCTTTCATAGCAGCCTGGGCCTGTGCCATAGCCTGTTCTTGCTGCTGCTGCATTAGTTGGTGCTGGTAAGCCGCCTGAACGGCCGGCGATGATTGGCCGACAGGTGTGTGGGGTTGAGACCCGTTGACTCGCGAGTTCGATCTCGATCGGTGCTCTTCGGGGAGCATAGGGACGCCGTCCTTCGGTGGCGAAACATGGGATCCTGTCGAGTGACCATCTTCGCTGGCCTGTGCCATACCGATGCCCGAATCTTTGGTAGTGGCATAAGGTAGTTGCTGTGTAGCTCGGGTCTGCAAAGAGACAGGGGGTTTCGGCGCGGGTCGGCTGGGCTGCAAGTTGGGGTGATCCTTAATGGAGTGCAGCACTGGGCTCTTCCCAGGTATGGGTACCGGAGGGGGGGCGCGGGGATTCTCGAAGGTGCCTTCATTATTCACGATTGGAAATCTCGGACTTGCTGGTGGACTGATCATAGGTGACATACCCGCATAGTTTGACGCATACATGCCGGGGGATGTTGCCATTCCACCAGATTGGGTGCGCAGCTCAGCAGCTCTCACATCGTGGAACTTTTCCAGAACCTGATCTTCGTGCGGCTTCTCTGTGGTTTCCTTATAGAATGTGACGATATCCGCAATCATCTGTGGATTTTCCCTTCGAGCATTCTCTGGAATACCACTCTCGTTGATTAGGCGTTGCCATTCTTTGGGTAGGCCCTATCAAAAAGTCAGCAACGCCATGAAGCCGGGTTCAAGGCGATGAAGAAGAAGTTATAACGAGACTTACCGTGAATTGGCCGGTGGAACTATCGTAGCCGACATGGGTAACGTGAACGGGGTTCTCTGGCGCCGATATGACGGGTTTCTTGGGCGACCCCACCAATGTGCTCATGAGGCCGGAAAAGCCCGACTTTTTTCTCAAGACACCGGGACCCTTAAGATCTTTAGATTCATCGGAATATCGTTTCGGGGGGACAACAGGGTTCTCATTGACACGTGCGCCATGGGACTTCTCTGACATGTTGGCGTCTAAGGCGGAGAAGCTAGCCGACTGTCGCAAGGGAGGGCTCATTACACGCGGGTCGGGAGTTGAATTCGATAGCGGGGGCGGTTGCGGTCGGGTTTGGGAAGAAGACTGATACGTGGGTGACTTGGCAGTATCGAAATGACTAAGGATAGAATTGCCGTCAAAGGGCGCGCCGATAAATTCCTCGGGAGTCTGGGAAGAAAGAGGTTGGAGAAAATAGGGGTCAGACAGGCGTTGACCTGACGTCGAATACCTGATACCGATGCCTATTCCTGTGCCTGTGCCAATGCCAGTTCCAGACCCAATTGCGGCTCCGTCGGCGGCGAAGGGAAATGCGTTACGAGAAGGCGACTGCGACTGTAAAGACGGGACTAAATGGTGAGGTGAGGAAATGGCAGAGGGGAAAAATTGAGCAGGAGACGGTAAGGGTGATGAGAAATAAGTGGTGTAATTGTTGGTATTGTTATTTACGGTAGTGGTGGTGGCGGCGGTAGCGGTAGTGGTGGGAGGTGGTGGGAGACGGGGCGATGCTGCGGAGTTTGACGCGTTGTTAATGCCAACGTTAGCAATGTTAGCAACGTTATTAGCAACGCTAACAATTGTAGTAGCGGGAGTTCTGTGGGGAGCACTTGGAGCTCGCCTCAGGCTCGTGGAGCTCCGTTTGCTCTTGAGGGATTGAGCGTCAAAGCGACCATCAGCGGTGAGAGAATAGCTGTGACTGTGATGGTGATGGTTATGAATGGAGGAAGGAGGTTTCTTAGTTAGTCTGTTACGACGTTGCTGTTGTTGCTGTTGCTCTTGCTGCTGTTGCAGATTGCTGTGGATATTGGCGTTAGTACTGTGGCTGTCCATCTCTACCTCAAAGGTAGTTACGGGTTTAAAGGGGGGGAAAGAAAACAGAGTTTTCAATTTTTGCTTATTTTTTGGGGGTAGTAGTAGTGATTTTTTTTTAGTGACAATTAAAAATTGATAGTAAATGGGTCGAGCGATGAAACCATGGCTGACGAGACTAGAAAACACCCGACATGATTGATGAGGGAGGGGTACGTAAGGTGATAGGGATATGTGTTTGTTTCCTTTGGTTCTCTATTCTTTGGCCTCGCTTGTAATTCGAGGGCTTATTCTCTCTTTTTTTTTCTCCCTCTTTTAATTCCCTCTTTTAGTTACTATCCTTATTTAGGTTCCTTACCTGTGTATATTTTGAAGTATGTAATCGATCCAATCTCTTCTTCTCCTTCTTCTCTCACTTTTACGCTGCTATGAAACAGCAAGTCTATTATTTCTTTAACGAATGGATAAGGTCGGAACTAGCAGGGGGTGTGTGTGTATAGCAGCTATATGTAGGCATGAGAATATTTGAAGTAATGCAAGTTGAAGATGGACATGAGGGAAAATAGAAGGAAACAAGATAAAATTACCATTACTTGTATGTACTTCCTATAGCACTACATCATATCTGTGGATACCTAAGGTTATACACGGGAACTTCCTTCTAAGTGGCTGCCGTACCCCAAACCATTTACGTCGCTTTACACGATTAATACGAAAGTACCTTTTACATATCTACCTAGATTAAGGACACAACGAACGAATTAATTGGAGGGTCGAGTATTTGCGATAGGTACATCTTTGGGGCCATCACATATGTAGATACATACCGTATGTACTTCCAATGGTAGTTGGTGGGGTAGTATTTCAACGTGCGGGACAGTGCGATCTATACAAATACCTAAATAATGTACCTACATTTATATGTCAACATATAAGCTCATAATGTCAACTTCCATCCCAAACCTTCGAGAGGAGGTATCTATATCAAGCACATAATCCATACGTACATTCACCATTTATTAACCCTTTCCTACAAGTCGCTAATATATTGGGAATGGCCATTTTCGCAATACTAAACACCTACAAGGAACAGCACATAATACCCAAAATTTATATAAGAGTGTGAAATATCCAAAAAGAACGTACCCGTCTACTACTTGATTTGCGGCTACTTGACTAGTTACACGCTTTAGTAGCCTTAGGCTGTTGATCGATACTAATAATCGCCTAGTTTATTTTATTTCAAGTGAAACCTGCCACCTGAGCTTCAGTTGTCGTATGCGGACTCTTCTGCAGCTAAGTATCCGACCCGTTGAAGAAAGAGCCGGACTCGCTTGGCTCGTACTATGTAGCGTCTGAGTGTATGGGATCTGACGACAACCCATTCAAGGTCGCTAGCCTCTATTATTTTTGTTTTATCTTTGTCCTTGTTTTTATTTCAATCTTCCAACTCCGTAAAGTATCGATATCGTATCGTCATGGTTCTAACTTGGCGACATTACGCATTGCCTGTGGGGGGATATCCGAAACCTGTCGGCTAACCACCCAAGGTTACTGGCCGCCATATTCATAGCCGCCGTCTCGCAATTATTATAACTAAAGCTCTCCAGAACTTGTTACGGGGACCTCTCCTTAATATGTGAATGTCCGGTCCGCTAAAGTTTGGATTGCCATATGTTCCACATGTAAATACTAAGACGACCTCGGTGTTCGTCATAACAACCGAGGTTTCAAAAGGCGTACCCATATTCTCCTACCAAGTCGACGGAACGCAACTGTCCATGGGCTTTAGGTAAGATGCATTACACAGCCCGAGGAAACAGACGTTGATTACTAGATGATATGTTCATCCCGATGGACGGTTGTCAGCCGCAATTTGACGCCCGAGTGCTAACTCCACTCCAATTCAGAATTTCTTAGCCGCCTGTCATTATCTTTAAATAGACGCGTTACACTAAACCGGGGAGTCTTGATTGGGTCTGGCCTACTTTCGAAAACCTAGTGTTGGCATATTTGTTAGGGGATCTTAAGATCGAATATCGCTGTAAAATCAGAACCGTTGTTAGGTACCTGAGTTAAGTATAATATGATTAATTCGCGTAGGGATTCTCATCTGTAGCACAGGGTCTCTACTGCTTCGGTCTTACCTTTCAAACTAATACCTACACTATCTTCACAGTAAGTTCTTCTTATGATGAATGATATACCCTAAAGCTTTATATTGGAACTGAGTACATTAGGATAGGTTATTCACTAAAATCTAAACGTCGAAGTTAGTATTTGACAAATTGCCATTTGGACGTCAGTTGATTTGATCCGATCAGTTGAATAGTCAACTGAGCCAGGTACTGATATAATACTATTGTGGTATCAATGAGCATATCGGCCAATACGCATGCCTCGGCGAGTTGCATACTGGGTCGTTCATAGCTATTGTTAATAGACCTAAGGGTGCCTACATCGACACGTGGCTCATATACATAGCAGCTTAATATATGCTAAACATTGCTTATTCGAAAATTTGCATCCTTGATATTTGAAAAATTAGGCTTGGCTGGGATGGACATAGGTTTCATCCCAGTTGAGGATATTTGGGATCACGAATAGATTATCATAGAAGCTACTACTCGTCGCCTGCCTTTAATGCTCAGTAGTTTCAATACTTACTAGTTCACGCTTTCTCTCTCCAACGCGAGTCATTGATTGTAGCTGTAGCTGTAGCTACCACCGACTTAAATTACGGAGTTCGTCCGGAATCATGTCATGGTGGTGCCACCTACTTACCAGCTCAAGAACTTGTACATAGTATGTCTAGGTAGGTATGTATGTAAGTAGTTAGTTCCGAGGGCCTCACGTGCCTGTGAGCTATCAATCATATATTTGGTGGCGTTGAATTTTGATGGTCAAAATTCACTGTAGTTCTTACGAAATATTTTTTGATTTAAAATGTGACTTGTCATATAAATTTTCGTACTCAGAGACTAAGCAAATATTGTTGAGAAAGCTGAGCAGCTATGCTACTTTGTTAGCCGTATTCCTTCATGATGATGATGAGCTGGGATCCAATTGGTAAAAGTGGCAGTAAACACAAGATGCTTATAGATTGTGGCTTGAATCTAGATGGCACAAAAATGATCTTAAGAAGGTGCCACCTATTGGGGAAGTTACCTCTATGAATGGGGTACGGGCATGTGGGGCTGTGGGGGAGAGGGGACTGTGCATTGAGTTCGCTGGCTTTTTTTTTTTTTTTTTTTTTTCAAGCATCTTACCAATGTACTTCTCAATACAATTGTAAGTGCTACAGTACTTCCATACATGCAAGCGCATGGATTGCACTTGCTTTCCACCTGGCATTGCTTCGGATCAATAAAAATCAAAAAGTTGAATTGTTGGCCAAGAGCCTAGGCCAGTAAACTTCCACCTCACCCTCTACTCTTGTCTAGTTATAGCATCACCTATACAAAACCTATCCATCTCACCTTTTGACGAATCTCTCTTGATCCAAACTCCTTCGGCGGATTTTCTCTAACCGTCTAAGCTACTGTTCCTCTGTCAGATAACTCCGTTGAGATATAGAACGTGAATACGCCGACTTCTGCATCATGTTCTAGCTCTCTTATATTTTAACTATCTCTATCGTCTCCTCGTCGTCTACAGTCCTGGTACTACTACTACGTGTTACTCTCCCAATTGGCCCAAGTGTTCCCTGCTTCTAGAACCATTTATCCTGGTTCTCGAATCTTAGCTTTCACCGGTGTCACCCTATTGATATATATAGATTAGTGAGTATATATCTATCTATCTATCTATTTATCTTGGTTTCTAGTCTACACTACTTCCAATGAATCATATTGTGTACTTTGCTCGCCTGTATTTTGATATTAACATGATGCCATTAGCTATCTGAATCTATATATCTGTAACAATTATCGCCTTCCGTCGACCATCCTCTCTTATTCGTTAGACTTCGTTCGCCTCCGTAAGCGTATAAAATGGCATCCGAAACTAGCAATATCGAAGGCTCCGCAGCAGCAAGGCTCCTTCAACAGCATGCTGAGAACTCCCATCACGTCACTGTTGAGGATGTTCCCGATGAAGAACTGAAGTCTCCCTCGGCCGCCGATGCTCCCGAAAAATCTTCATGGGGTCAGACTCCATCTACCAAAGCAGCTGGGAAGCAGCCTGCGCAAGAATCAGGTCGTCTCGATACTCAGTCGCACGAGGCTTTCCCTGAACTTGGTGTTCCTAAGACGGCTGCGTCGAAAGCTAATATTTCCCCAATCTGGGGCGGTGCGAACGGCAAGGCTAATGGGACATCGTGGTCGGCCAATGGCACCCCTCGAACCTCCACCCCAGCTTCGGGAGTCTCTACTCCCACTGGAGTTCCGCCGCCTGTTTCAATACCTGGTCGCAATGTCGAAACTCTTCTCTTAGAGGCACAGTATGTTATGCCTCGCAACCAGCTCAAGCGCCCCCTACAGGATATTATAAAGGATATCAATCGCAAATCTCGTGCTGTAATCTCGTCAGTTCCGGGCCCCAGTGGGCACCTGAAGTTTGAGGCGACCGGACCACAGGATAAGGCGCAGCAAGCTCTTCGGGATCTAGTCCAACAAATCGGAATTAAGGTGAGTTTGTATTAATCTATCCAGTTTTCTATAGCATGGCTAAGTTCTTTTCCTACGTAGACTTCCATCAAAGTCCCGATCCCGCTGTCAGCCAGGGCGCATATAATTGGTAAACAAGGATCCACTATCAAATCGATCCAGGAGAAATCCGGTGCTAGAATCCAATTGCCAAAAGTTGATGATAGCGTGGGAAGCTTGGAAGACGACGAGGATGCCACTATTGATGTAATCGTCGAAGGTAACGCATTATCGGCCGCATTAGCTCGTGAGGCTATTAATAAAATCGCTGGGGAACGATCTGCGAACGTGAGCACAAAGCTAAAGTCTATCCCCGCCGAGTTCTACCCCTTCATTGCTGGTCCTAATAATAGACTCGCTACGGCCTTGGAAGCGGAACACGGAATACAAATTCGCGTACCACCTCATCAACCATGGGCTTCTTCTGTTCCGCAGGCACCTGCTACAGGACAAAAACCTACTTTTACGCCCCCTACGAATGACAATTATATCCAACTTGCCGGTGACCGTGCCGCTGTTCAATCCGCGAGGGCCGCTATAGAACGTCAGGTCCAGGAGCTTCAGAACCAGCTGCACCTAGACCAAGTAGAAATTCGGCAGGGTACTCACCAATTTATTATTGGCGAGCGAGGTGTCCCAACAGAGGATTTCTTCGCCGATACCAATTGCATTGTGGTCTTACCTAGTTCACCTGGTATTGATACTGTTACAGTCATTGGTCGAGCTGAGGATGTGAATGCAGGATTAGAAAAGGCAATGGATCTAGCAACACAAGTGCACACATCTGTTTTCGATGTTGCAAAACACCACAGTCACGCTTCAGGTGGTGCTCCGATATATTCGAGAGATATATCTCGTTATCTTCGTGAAAGAAACGAGATTGAGCGACTGGAGAAACTCTATCACATCCACATCAATACCCCTTTTTCTGAGGGTATAGTTAGTCCTTGGGAGCTATATGCAAGAGAAGGCAAGAACGCACTTAAGGCTCAAAAAGAAATGAGTTCAATTATAAACAGCCATCCCCCTTCTCGATTGGCAACGATTCCGGTTGACCCGTTCTTCCACTCTTATCTCCGGAGCGACATCACTCCCAAGGTTCAGAATGAGTTCGGCGTCAACCTAGTCGTGCCGGATGCAACTGAAGGCGACCTTCCAGTACTTCTAGTCTATGAAGGGTCAACTACACCCAGAGAACAGTACCAAGTTCCCCAAAAGGCCCCCTCCCCCTCCGAACTCAAAGAATTTCAGCAAAGGTTATCGGAGGCTCGGAAACACATCCTCGAACTTCTTGGCAAGCAGGAGCAAATCAGCACAGCAACTCTCGAAGTCCCAATCAAGTATGTACTTCCCCTAAATTCTTCTAGTGTGTATTTTACTAACTATAAACTCAGATTTCAGGACAAGCTTCGTAGGTTTATTAAGAAAGAGCAAGATGCGACAACCCGTGCCGCTGGTGATATCCCTGTTAGAGTCAGTGTAAAGGGCACAACTGTTACTATGCGAGGACCGTCTTCTAGTGTAGAGTCTCTTTCCAAGAAGGCGGCAGATTTCGTTGAGCAGGAGAAGGAAGACGAGAAAGAACGTGGGTTTACGCTGAAATTCGACTTCCCACAGAAATTCGCGAATCACCTCATCGGCAAGGGCGGTAGTCATATCAACGAGCTACGGGAGAAATTTGACGTGGATATACAGGTTCAGAATGGAGAAGTCGAGCTAAAGGGTCCTAAAGCCAAGGCAGAGCGAGCCAAATCTCATATCACGACTCTTGCTCGTCAATGGGCGGATGAAACGGTTCACACGTTGAAAATTGAGCCCAAGTACCACCGGGAGTTGATTGGTGCTCAGGGCAGTCAAATTCATCGTCTACAGAACCGGTACTCGGTTCATATCAACTTCCCCAAGACTGCAAAACCAGGCAAGGACGACGAATCTGTTGCGGATGTTGCAAGTGAAGCTGGAAAGACTCGGCGGCAACAAGGCCCTGACGAGGTTACAATCAGGGGCCCAAGAAAAGGTGCAGATGAGGCACGAGACGAAATTTTCTCCCTGTATCAATACCTCAAAGAGAATTCGTTCACTACTACCGTGACAGTCCAGCAAAAGCAGCTTCCGTCACTGATTGGCTCTGGCGGCGCCGGTATGGATGAATTGCGCCAAATCACAGGCGCAAAGATCGACATCCCTAACGAACGTAACGAGGTTGAAGATGCAATTGTAGAGATCCAAATCAAGGGTACAAAGGCGCAAGTCGCAGCAGCCAAAAAGATTATCGAGGAAAAGAAAGTCGTGTTCGACGAGACGGTCACGAAGACAGTTGAAATCGACAGAAAGTGGCACAAGAACTTGATTGGTCCTGGCGGTATGTATACTTATCAAGCATGCTCTTGATCGAAATTCTAACTTGACATAGGTTCTACTCTCCGTGACATTGTAATTAAAGCTGGTGGCCCCGAAGATAGGCGACTTCAGGCCCGAACTATCCAATTTCCCAAGCAAGATACGGATGGGAATGCCATCAAGATCGAAGGGCGACAAGATGTTGTCGACAAGATCATTGCTAGCATCCAGGCTCTGATATCGGAACGCGAGAGTCAGATAACCGAGACGGTCGAAGTACCCGTTGAAAAACATCGATCATTAATTGGAAGAGGTGGTGAAACCAAACGCCAGCTCGAGTCACAATTTAATGTCTCTATTGATATTCCTCGGCAAGGGAGCGGTCTGACTGGCGTGAAGCTGATCGGCCAGCCTGCCAACGTCGAGAAAGCAAAGGAGCACATATCATCGATCATCAAGGAGCAGCAAGGCGAGACGATACAGATCCCGCGGAAGTATCATCATGCCATTTCAGAAAATGGACAATTCTTCCGTAAGCTTAGAAATGACCATAAAGTTACAGTGGATCACGCCGGTCACGCTGTACCAGCGAAGCCTAAGCCCTCATCTACACGAGCAAATGTTGGTTCTCTCCCCCTGATCACAGACGATATAGAATCAGCCGCGGATGCACACCATTGGACGGTTATAGATACTGCTTCCTCGGAAGATGGCGATATTCCGTGGGTATTAAGAGGCAGCCCGGATAATATTGAAAAAGCGAAGAAAGTAATCACGGCAGCACTTGAACAAGCCCAGAAGAATAACACTATCGGCTTCCTTGTTCTACCAGACCCGTCCACATATCGCCATGTCATTGGTCAGGGCGGTTCCAAGGTCAACTCAATTCGCAAACAAAGTGGATGTAAGATCAATGTTCCACGTGACCAAGCCAGGGATGAGCCCATTGAGATCATGGGTTCCAAAGATGGTTGTGAGAAGGCCAAGGAACTTATCCTCCAGGCTGTGCGTGAGGGGCAGGCTGGAAGGCGAGATTAGAAGTCTCCCCGAAGTGGTATACCCAGTGGTTTCCGAATTGGCTATGGCCAGGCTAGCTGTGCTGTCGAAGGGGCTCAGTGGGACTGATTGAATTATCTATAAAACTGTAATCAAAATCGGACAGGCAGGTATAAATAAAAATAGTACAAGTTATTTCGCATGACAGATGAGGATCATTAGACTGCGATATTTTGAAAATTTCTAGCGGTTATAAGCGACGTAAAATTGACAAGACAATGTTCATTATGTTCCAGACATGATTTGACGACCACGTAGGAATATCTCAGTATGCTAATTGTTGATACATCTTTACTTTGTGCTTCCAGAAGCGCCAAGAACTCGCAAACGAATTCTACAACGCCTTCCCTTTCAACCAACCGACTCTGAAACGCCTGGGTATTATTCCTACACGTAAGGAGGCTGACTTGCCTGTCAAATTAAACCGCAATCCTAAGCCATTTTCTTTTTTTTATTGGTTCGCCTAGTCGTCCTGTACTAACTGTAAAAGCGATGTAATATAATCGGCCTCATGAAGAGTTAGTAAAGTCATAATAAAAGTAGATAGGTTGAGTGGGGAAGGAAGGAAAGGGGCAACAGCAAAGTAATGGGGACGAGCCTAAGATATGCACAAAATAATGAGTAAAGAACTTACCAAAGCCTTATTTTCCGTCATAACCTCGAACAAGCGAGCCATGACAGGGCGGAAGAGCTTCTCATTCCAACCACCGCCTTCACCGCCCATCTCGTGCTTTTTGAGCAGCTGCTCCTCCGACTCTGTCTTGACTACGTTGCGGGCAATGTTGCGCAGTACTAACACAGCACTAAGCGGGATACCAGCGGCCTGCTCCACCTTAGGGTTCCGCTCATCCCTAGTGACAATAGTCTGTTCCCAGGCAAGGCTCATGGTCTTCGCCGGGGTGATATATGCCTTGCGTTGCCGTTTTGCAACTGACTCTGGACCTTCAGCGAATGAACGCTTCTGCACCGAAGGGAAATGAGTCTTGAGATGACGTGCAAGTCCTGATAGTTTAATTTGAGTAGGTTTCTGATACTTCTTGCAGTCCTCCCAGTCGCAAGATGCATTGATCTCTTTATCCTCAATCTTACTCCCTTCACTGATAACAACGCCTAGATGGGTAGTCAAGACGTGATGCCACATCGTCTCCCCACCAAGGAAGAACTGGTTGCACTTCTTGAGGTACGGGCCCTTGGCTATCATCCACCGACATGGACAGTATTCCTCCTTTGTCTCGGGATTAATAGGTAACGTTCGTGCTCGGATACCTTCGATTATAAAAAGATCCGATTGATCGGCTCGCTGCCGCCTAATAATCTGTGCTCGAGCATTAACAAACACATGGCTAACATTCCTAATAAAATCAGCCGCACTAAGCATATTCCTCGAGCTGCTCGCAAGCGCCCTAAACGAGTTCTGGTAGGCTTGCCATATAGCGATCTGCGTGATATGAGATTCGCTGTCCTCCTCAAATAGACTTTGAAGCCAATTATAGCATCTCTGAGGCTCGTCTGTGTTCGTTAGCCGTTCCTGGAGATCCGGAGGTAGCGTAGCTACTTCTTCGGAAGCCGGCGCTTTTCGTTCTGGTTCAAGAACTCTGTCCTCTTTAACTCGTTTCGCTCCATGAGCTAGGAGCCTGACCAGATGAGGTACAACGTGCTCCATGTTCACAGCCTTGAGTAGGGACTCAACATTAACTACCACTGCTGTATACTGATAAAGGAAGTCCAGGCATGCATCCATAAGTTCCTCATCGTTGAGCAGCAGCCAGTTCATAATGTTCTGTAGGACCACGGAGGGGACATTCTGCATCTTATTCGTAGCTTCTAAGTTCATCGATATCCGGCTGATGGCGCGGAGAGATGTCAAAATCGTGCCTCGGTCCGTCGAGTCTAATTGTGCCAACAGCGTTCGGTACAACGGATCTTCGGAATCAAGTATGAGCCAGGGTGTAAGCTGTTCAGCGATGTCCAGTGCGAAATGCTTAATCTCAACGAGCATCTCTAGATTTGGAAGATGTAGAAGAATACAGAGCAAATCTTTTAGGGGATACACATCCGCCATGTAAATAGCATTTTCTACCAGCATGACCATATTACGAATAGTAAGAACGGCTTCGGTAATCCGAAGAAGGCTGTCGCTAAACTCGGCGGACTGCATATAATCGAGAATCGGTTTCGGTGAGAGTCTCGCAATCCGCTCAAGAATATCACTTGTACCGTTAAGCCCATCAAGAATCGTTACATCCGAATTCTCCGAGTCGTTGAAGTAGGCAACCTGCCATTCAATATGGTAAAATAAACTACCGACTTCGAGGGCCTTCTCGATAAGACCCTCGGCCAAGCCAAGAAATGACTCGAATTTGTACTTATCACCGCGTTCAAATGAGATCTTGACGAGGTGGTTAAGTGCAAATGATTGCTCAGTAGGGATACCTGAACGAAGGGCTTGAAGGCAGCGCATGTAGATGTTGGGGCCCTCGAAACCGATACCTGGAATAGCTGGGCGAACAGGTAGTTGAGTATCAGGGGCACCAACAGCTGCCCGCAGCTGACGCTGTCGCTTGGCAAACTCTGGATTGTTTCCTGGGGTGCTCACGGGACGAAGAGGAACAGATATCGGAGGACGCGGCTCGAACAAATCTACCAGGCGGGAGGCAATCTCGGGATTTGTAGGGGTAAATGTACTCGAGGCACCACGAACGGCGGCCTGCTGAGCCTGTATTACGTGAAGAGGGTTGTTGGGATTGTGATGCTGGGGGAGATGGTGATTAGGATGCTGGACATGAGCATGGCCAGTGTTAATGGCACCAGCATTGGTGGCTGTTGGGGTGCCGTGGTGCGAGGATGTTTGTCTAGACTGGCGGGTCGGTCCTGTCTCAGGTTGAAAAGGAACTCGCTGGGGAGGAGCTTCACGTAGGCGACCAGAAGCCCTATTTCCCGAAACTGGAGTGCTTTCGCTCTGGCGCTCTTCGCGACTGGGAGTTTCCATCCCGGAACGGCTCGAAGAATGCTTGAAATTCTCGATAGTACGAGTTAGGACAGGACCAAACTTGCTAGCACACGACTGTTGTTCTAAAATCTCCTTGGGCGGGGGTTCCCTACCGTGCTGGTCATAAATCCAATATGCAGCGAGGTAACGATAGAAATCTTGTTTTAGTTGAAAAGAGAGCTGACCGGTGCCTTTGCTATCTGTATGATGCATGCCCAATTCAGCAGCAAGGCCACCCCAAGACTTCTGAACTTTGTTGAGTTCGTCATAGCCTCCCTTAGAGATGACGGCCTTATATAGCTTCAATAGGTCGACATTTACATGACCGTGCATGGTAGGAAGTCGGGGTTCAGGTTCGAACGATGTGCCACGTTTCTCATGGAAAGCCGTGAGCTTCTGGATGAACTCTACATATTCTGGAGTGCGATCGATTTCGTGGATGTAGATATCCTTGCTCCCAAGGCCACGATTCGGGGCCATCTTGATCTAACACAGGTCGTGGCCGTCGCAATCGGTAGTAGTAATTCTCATGAGTAGGATTTCAAGGAGTCGCAATAGACGTAGAGTAGTTAGAGCATCGATCTCGATCACACACTTTATCTCTTTGCTTATTTTAAGCTGAGGTGTTGCGATTGCGCGTTAAGTAGGTAACGGTAAAAGCAAGGAATATCCGGACGTAGGCTTGCGGTTTGCGGTTTGCGGTTCGGCAAACTAAGAAGTTGAGATTATAGGGATTTTGGTTGGCGATGCGCAGGAAGTCAAGTCGCAAAGCCAAGGAATTACAGTACGTAGGAATCGCGACCGCGAAAATGAAAGATTGATAGTTTGGATGGGGCCGAGTCGTGTTGCTCCAAAAAAATGCGCGTTGGTCAGTGCACTACACTAATGCCCGGGGACATGTAGGTACATATGTACATATGTACATAATACATGTACATACCTCTTATCGTTCCTTCGTGAATAGCCTCAGGGAAGGTGTAGTGTGTACCTACCTTGTACGTAAGTAAGGCCAGCTGAGTAAGGTAAGGTACTAGATAGGTAGATTACATTAGGTACCTAAGTAAGAGATATGCACATTGCATACTAATGCCCCTTCCCACATAGGTGCTCGTCAATATCATACAAGCATTTTATCTAATGTAGGCGGTTATTAATTAATACCTAACCATTGAACATTGAAGCTACATCAATTCTCTACCTTAGTCGCAATGCAGCAACCAGGTCACCAAAGGCACTCGATACCTAATCAAGATCTACCTATCCCATCTTCTAATTCATATAGGCCCCATCTCGGATATCCTCGAAATTCCTTTCCTCTTCCAGCAGCCTATGGTTACCTTCCTCAACCAATATGGTCTCAGGAATACCACCCTCCGCCAGGATGTCCTCGAGCCATACCCTTGCGAATGCAGAGGGCCACTATGAATAGGGTTGAATCACATCAAACGCCCATCCCATCATTGCAGCTATCGTCAAACCGGCCTTATTCAGTCCCTGTCTACCTAAATCATCATACCCGTAGTGACAGCGATAGTAGCTTCACTCATCCACCTAGACCAGCCACATCTTTGGACTTGGATAGCCTTGAAAAATCTGTCTCCCCTCATGCCATCCTATTCTCACAACATGGCGTAGCTCAGAATCTTGAAAATGATCTCTCCTTACACGCCACTACCCTAGCGGATACAGAGCTCTTAAAGGGAACACTTAAAACCACCCGTCCCGTCGCCAACCGTGGTTCCCGAAAAATATTACCACTAAGCGATAGCACGGCGGAAGGAAGCCGGCGAGAATTAATCCCAGCTGTTGTCCTATCTGAGCAACGAACAACGGGGTTTATAGGAGGCCAGAAGAGAACGACTAGTCATATTGCCGAAAAATCCAATCCTTCAAAGAGGATCAGATTCAATGTAATTCGAACCCAATCTCAGACAATTGGCGCTCCTAGGACGTCCAAGAAATTGCCCTTAGCGAACACCTTTGACACACAACCAGCTCAGACTCTTGAAACTAATTCCAAGAACAGCTATACCACCACGGAAGAAGTCAACCACCCCCTCGAAGAATCTAACGCTAAAATTACTACGGCACAATATCTAACCACTGCAGTAGATAATACTAGCCCCAGGCTAGTGTCAAATGAACTGTCGAAACCCAAGGCGGCAGCAGGTGCTTCGAAGCCTAATCCGTACGATATTTCTACTAATGTCGATACCCTTGGAATTTTTAACGTATCGTCCCGAGGATTAGATGTTAACAATCGGAATTCGAATACGGCATATAATCAATATACTAGTGTAGCTACTCAATGTAGCATATCCTCCAACGTCGTTGTTTCAAGTGGAATCCAGACAGAATCAGGAAAACCTGCTAACGATGTCCACTCGCACAGTGAGGCCATCGCTACTGCTAACGACGAGAAGGAGGGGGTGTGCTGCAATGAGAATATAGATACTCAGTTTTCAAGAATCGAGGAATTGTTACGTACTCAAAATAAAGTTGGCATAGACAAATTCATTGACGTAAAGCTCAACTCAGAAGGTACCAACATCTTACAGACCCTGACGAACGAACTACTCTTAGGCCTAGCCATACGGGATGTCGAGTTACTAGAGCAGATAGCCAAGATAATGTAAGTGCTCTGGGTCACAGGGTTAGGATATTACCAAATGGCATATAATAGGGTTAAGATAGCCGTCTACGGGAGAGAGGATAGTAAGGGAGTAAAGCTACGTTTGCTTGCCAAATGAGCTACCAGGATGAATAGATGGCTCGGCCGAGTGGAAACCGGGGAGAAAGATACTTGTCAGCCTATCGATTTTGCAAACTATAGCTTTGAAAGGCGGCAATGCGCACAGAAGGGCACTTAAGCTTCTTTCATTACATGTTAATTACAATGTGTAGTAAGCGAACCATATAATATAACTCTTACAAAACTCCTCCTCTTGGGCTAGCGAGCTGAGTGAATATCCCACATACACAAAGTTTCTCACTACTCAAGTGGCTCAACTGCTTGACTAGGCCATATAACCGCAACAATTAGCTTTCCTAGTATCCGTTCTTCGACTACAAATACCGATCAAATTTTTTACTCCCCGTCCGATGCAACTCGTAGAATAACCACGGTTTTCATGATAATTCCATCCGCACATGCCACTATTATGACCCTCATGCTTGAAACCCTTTATCCCTTTTCAGTCCGATCACATGAAGTCATCATCCTCCGTCTCATCTCCATCGGGGGCAATAGTCATCTTGCCAGTCTCGTCAACAACAGTCAACGCTAAGAGGTCATTAACAAGCTCCTCGCTGCGACTCTTATTTTCCTCCAGCCTACTCCTTAAATTCGCACCATCCCCTATTACCTCGCCGACTTCTCCAGCGGGCGCGCTCGAGCTGCGCACCTGTACCCTAACCTCGCCGGGGACGCCATCTATCCTAACGCTCTGTGTTAAGTTGCTGCCGGCGGGTGGACGCGCCACTGGCTGTCCTTGGTTGGCGCTGACGAGGCTCTGGAGGAATGCCGACGCATCTGGGCAGCCGTCCATAAGCCACTTGAGACAGAGCTGTGTGCGCTCACGGCAGAAGCGGTTGTTGTCGTCGTACAAACAGCAGTTAAGCAAAGCTACTATTCCGTTATGACGTAAAATTTGGAGCTGCACTGTCGGATTGCCAGGCGATGATTGACCAGGTGGTGGCTGTAAGAGAGCGGCAAGTATAGACAGAACTTGGCCTTTGATGCCAGACCAGGGGAACTCGTGGGGCGGGTCGGATATCGGTGGTGGTGGAGGCGGAGGAGGTGGCAGATTATTGGATGATGACGCCTGGGGTGTTGATGTGGTAGTAGAAGGTGTGGTGGGAGGCTCGTTTCGTCGAGTGCCTGGGAATGGTGCTTTCTCCACCCCGATATCAAGGCCCTCAAGCAACTTAAGGAGCTCATAGACAGCCTCGTAGTCGATGAGATGTTGACGAAGAGGATGAATATCTGCAACCGTGTAAAGAAAATCAAGGTATTGTACCAGGCCGTCTTTGGCCCGTTCCAGATCCCAGTTATCAACTGGGAAGTCGGCAGGATCTAGTCGGCTCTTGCGGACTTCACCCTGAATTTGCATCAAGGCGACGCATTCTGGGACGATACGGCTGCGGAAGAGACCATATAGATAGTTAAGCATCTTTCCGAGACGAACATCCTCGTTTGCGAGAATCTTTTCGACATCTTCCGCTTTTGTATCCGGGAAGGGATCATAATCCTTAGGGGGGAACAAAGCTGTGCGGAATAGATAGGTAATAAGCCTAAGTAGGACTGTTTGTGCTGGCGAAATGATATCCTTGGGGCTTCGAAGCGCCATCCATGCGTAGGGGATGAGGGAGTTCTCGTGGATCGCCTGCACGATCTGGCTGCTAATCTGAAATATTAAAGACTGTTCATCCTTTTCCCATACGGCTATAAAGACAAGCATTTCCCTCAGGAGGTTTCTACCGCAATCAGTGGCAAGAAATATGCGACAACGGGTTTGTTGCAAGTTCTCGCGGAATATAGTCAACCCAGAACCCGCTGAATCTAATATGCAAGACTTGACGATCATGTGAAGCGCTTCTATCTGTTTGGGGTCAAGGATATTTGGCACCTCAGTCAGAAGCCCAGTCATTGGTCCTTCACCATATGAATCGTCGTCATCAGCTTCTTCCTCATATTCGTCGTACTCGGGGGCGAAGGCTTGGCCCGACTGAGACGTCTGGCCTTGCCACTCAGCACTGTGTTCCTCTTCCACATGATGCTCAGTCGTATCATTCGGGTCCTCCTGAGGCTCAGCAGCTGCGTAGCGTTGCATGAGATTAGACTCGCATTCCTTAATGCGCTGAGGAACAGAGTCAACGGTTGAGTACATTGTCAGACTCCAGTCGTTTGAGTTGGGGACACGTGCACCGTACCACCACTTGTCGAGTTCGTGCGATACACGGCCATATGCTTTATCCTGCTCAAACTTGTCTGTTTCTTCGGGGTTCCATGTTGAAACCAATTCAGCAGCCTCGTCATATATATCCGGCTGCCAAGCCCAAGTTTCAGGCGGGGTGTAATTCCAGGCTAAAAGATTCTCGTCATGGGATAACCATTGATCCTTCTTTTCGACGCTCTGGACATCGAAATACTCCTTGCAAATACCAATAGCAGCATCGCACATTCGCGACGATCTCTTTAGCCAGTTCGAAATTTCGTCTCGCAGATGAATACTCCTAGGAGCTGGGTAGTCCAGCACTGACTCATGTCGATCCTCTGGACCTGGGTTGCTCTCAGCGTCTGGAGATTCAATTAATACCTTGTACCAAAATAACATCTTATTGCGGTCATTCTTGGCAATCCAATTGTGAGCTTGCTGTAGGGATGTCACAAGGACCTTTTTGCCTACTAATGGTTAACCATACAGATTATACCTACTGGCAAGGGGCTCCACGTACAGAGTTCGGTGATCTCATTCAGCTTAGCCCTGGAGGCTTCATCTTCCGGCATTTCCCCATCAATTCCCTTGCTGGTCACGTTGACACAAAGACATATGGATTCATATACTTCATGATCAAACTGAATAGCTGCAGACAAATCTTGAGGGACCTCTGGATCAGTAGTGACAAGTAGATTTCGGGCAATATGCATGAGCTTATTGAGCATCTGCAACGCCTCCTTTAGAGGCGCGTAGTTCTTGATAATCAAAGCGGTAACCTCTGGGGTAGTGATGTCGAGGAACTTCGTTTGAACAAAAGGTTCCGATCGTACACCAAGAGACTTCTCATTGAGATCACATATTGCAGCGGATACAGCTCGACGTAGCCATATCCATACCCGCACGTTTCTCGATAGGACCTCCCTATGACTAGAGTCTTAGTAACATATTTATAGCTTTTTTTTTTTCGCTGCCTCGTCGAGACACTTACCTAACGTCCTTGAAGGTATGCGTCTTCTCCAATGTTTTGGAGATAATACTGGTCACTTTGGCGATAGATTGGGGTCCCATTGCAGGGGACTGGTTGTAATGGCCCTCTAAACATATTAAAGCTGCCGAGAAGATGCGCTCCTCGATGGAGTCGTCTTTCCACATCTTAGCGGTGTCGAGGTCTAACCGGTTAATGATTCTAGAAGGAGATGATTCCATGACAGTATTTCTATAACCCCGGCGAAACGACCGCGCTCTCAGAACCTAGACGATGACGCGCAACCTGAAGGTGCAGGTCAAAAAATACAACGTATATGGTGACCCGCCATAGATAGATACCTAAGAGAAAACAGATTGTGACAGCTGAAAAAAACTAAAAAGAGTAACAATTACATAGGTATGTGATTAAGACGTTAAAGTGTAAAAGTTCAATAACCTAACCTAGTGATTTGGGATGAAAAGTTCGGCATGCTGAGCTTGGAACGGGTTTGCGGGTGGCATCAAGTGGGGCCGATATTCTATAAATACATGTATTTGTCTAAGTGAATTCTACATTAATCAGCAGGGATCATTGTTTCTTTCCTACTTATTCGATACGCCGATATGTTTCTTAAAAGCTTCACTTGAAACCAGACGGCTAATACGTCTTAAGGTACCTAGCCTAAGTTATACATAATATAACTACCACAAAGAGAAACACTAAATAAACATAATATTACCAGATTAATGTTGCATTTAGGTATTTTATAAATATCAATACATACGTCATATATTAGCTTCAAGGCAAACTACTAGGCTAAGTCTTTAGCTCACACCCTCCCCCCCTTTACATGAACTATCCATGAACTATCCTCATCGCCCCTTGCTGCGAGGGATTCGTCCCCTTTCGGCACAGCCGACTGTTCTGGGACGGCAAATTCCCAAAAATCCAATCCGACATCTCCCAGTCTTCTGAACCTACCGCGTTCTGCGCATAAAACACATCCCAAGGATCCAGCTTCTTCTTGAGCTCGTATAGCCGATCATATTTATTACCCCAGAATGACTGCTGGAAGTCGGGTTCGATATAGTCTGATTCGGAAAGGTAAGCTCCTGAACCGGGTGATACCGAGCGCCACAGCGATCCCCAGTCAGATGTCAAAACGTTACTCCATATTGTGATGAGTTCTGTATACATATCTTGAGTCCATGCTACGATATCGATAGCATGTAGCACAGTCTTGCGCCAGGCTGGATTAACAGCACTATAACAAAGTTAATAATTGTACTTTTCAGCCCAATAAGGAGATAGTAATTCTCAGGACAAGTACAAAGGGGAACAGGAGGAATAATCTCGATTCACATACTTATCAGGATACCCAGACCTCGGGGCAGCAGCAACGTTGTATGCTGATACCACACCACCATTGTCTACAACGTGACGAATAGCCTCAAAAGTAGATGTCAGTTTCGTCGAATCCTCCCAATTTTCCCGTGGGAAAAGCCGGCTACCGTATCTAGCAAGATTTGAACCCCAAAGTTCGAGAGGGAAGCTAATATTCCATGCGTCATAGAAGTTTGTGTATTCTTGATAAACTGGTTTTAGATCGATCCCGATTCTACCAATAGCCTTGAAGAAGGGGTCGGCAAGGACCTCCAATTCTGATTTAGACATGTTTGGAGCGAACCAAGGTGCCATATTCCAGACGTAGTTTCCGCTCGTAGCGTTCAGATCAAAATGAGCATAGTTCCCGGCATCGGTGTAGTTGGCAAAACCTTCGAAGTAAGCGCGAAAGGCCTGCCAGAACTGATCCATAGATATATTTTCCCCTGTAGATAGACTGAATGTCATTGTTGAGACTGGAATCTCAGGAAACGTCTTGATCACCATGGATGTAACAACCCCATAAGTCGATCCACCGCCACCTCGAAGAGCCCAAAAGAGATCGGGATTTGAGGTTTCACTGGCTGTGACGAAACGACCGTCGGCTGTGACTATTTCCATGGAGAGGACCTGTCATGATTTTAGCCAATAGGGTTACAATGCCCTTGAAAATAAACCAACCTGATCTGCTGCCATTCCATATAAACTTGATAAAGGGGAGTGGCCGCCACCTAGAATATACCCTCCTGTAAGCCCGACCGTCTATGTATGATATCGTTAGCTCTCTCCATGGCGGATTTAGTAGACGTCTTACCTTCCCCTCTGCACCAACAATCGTAAGGTTGTATTTATGCGCAGCCTCGTATGCCTCAAATACTTGGACACCAGCTGCCATCTTAAAAGCTGGTCCTCTATACAACCCTTCTTCATAGCTCTCGTAGTATTGGATGTCTTTCATGTTATGAGTCCAGAGAGAAAGAGCACCAGCTCCCGTACTCTTTGCGCTATAGTCATGCCCTGTATTTTTAATAACCAGTCGCAAGTTGAGGCTCCGCGCCAAGTTGATAGCTAGTTGGATTTGGGCGACAGTAGTGACATTAACCGACATCGTCGGGTATGCGCCAATGGTACAATTCAACGCAAATGGGTTTACTGTGTGCGGTACACATGACGTCCCTTCGAATAGGATTGCGTTGATAGAAGTTGGATCGTTCGTGCTTGGTCCTTTTAGCTCTGACCCTAGAGTACAGCACCGGGAAGGGGATGTGTAAATTAACTTACTGAATGTAAGAGTTGTCTGACCAGTGAGACGTAATCTCAGCACACTTTGCCGCATCTTGATTCCCATAGTCGCTATAGCACGGCGAAGCAAATGGTTTGGTCTGAATAAGGCTGCCGCCCAGGAGAAGGTCGAATACTCGGTTCGTAATACGACCAGGGAAAACGACAAATTCACCGGGGAAGGTTTTACAAGGTCCGATAATAGACTGATTAGGGGCGGTCGCAGGATCAGCAAACCCAAACAAGACTATGTTAGTTAATCCTAGGTCAGTGAGGTTTGCAAGGACAGCGTCAGTAAGCTGATGGGTTTCGCCGAGGAAGAGGTCGGCTGTCGCATTAGAGGATGAAGGATCAACGGGCACGAAAGCAGGAGAAACGGTCGACTCGTCGGCGTCTTTAAGCGTTAATTATATCAGGTTAGTCTCCTAGAAAATATTCATCATACATATTCAGATGTGATAGAATCGTAATCTGACTGACTGATGACTTGACCACCCACAACAATTGTTTGAGCAGATCCGAGCTGCGAGAACACTAATACAAAGCACACTCTTAGTAACGTGTTGAAATACATTATGAGAAATGTAAGCTTAGCAAAGCTCACATCCGCCTAAAAAGGAGAGCAGCAATGTCTGAGTAGCTGAAGAAGTGAAAAGTTAACGGTCACCATGGGAAGACATTGCTACTGATAGCTCGTGCCCATCCAAACACCCCTCTCATCATTTCTTCCGGCCATAAAGCATAGCACCATGGCCACTAGCAGGTATATTATATACCTAAGACTAAGATATCATCACTTAACCGACATTTTCCCCAAATGGAACTGATACAGGATGGGAGCGGGCACACGTGCAATTTTATTAGTCGGTCTCATTAGCCGGCATAGTGATAATTATTTTATACCGGCAATTCATCTCCAATGATCATCTCGCATGGACCCTGAAATGCCTTGAGGGTTGATACGCCTTACGACTTGAGCGTCGTGATTTGACGCAAACATTACAAGATGCGTCAACATATATGTATAAGGTGGGTATTTTTCCTCATAATAAATCATATCCAAACTTCTCAAGAATCATTGACATAAAATTAAAAAATTATGAAAAATCAAAAGCATGTGAGATTTATTAGGTTTATAATCTATTGGAATTGATAAGATTATAATGAAATAGCTAGAATGCAGATGGTGTAGGTAAACTATGTACCTCCTATGTACACATGAGATCCATACTGTACTGTACGAAGTAGTTTGGTTCAATTGTAACATCTGCCTGTGGATCTCACGTGGTAGCTAGGTACGTGTTTAAGGTACATGTGCATGTATTAACATTCTCCTTCTCCACAAAGAGGGGGAGGGGGGCATCCTCTTATCGTAAATTTTATATCGCAATTCAACTACGATAGAGGTAAAAACAAGATATATATAAATAAATAAAAAAACCCTATATTGATTTGAGGGCATTTTGAAGCGGCTCGAAAGGAAAGAAAAAAATAATAATAATAAATACTTCACCGCTAAAAACCATACCGAAACAATGTCTGATCTCCCTGAATCTTTCGACCGTGAGAATATCCCGAGTTGCCCCGCCCTCATCTCTGTTATTATCTTTTTTGCAGATAGTTATCGTTTGAGTTGGTAGCTAATACGATGGCTTCATACTTATAGGGCCTGTCCATATCGCCGTCATAGGTGGAACAGGACTCTACAAGATTGACGGTTACACGCCCATCGCCCGTGTTAACCCATTAACGCCTTGGGGGTATCCATCCGCGCCCATCCTGATTCTCGAACATAGCGGCGTCCTTGTCGCATTCCTAGCCCGTCATGGTGCTCACCACCAATACGCGCCTCATGAGATTCCTGCCCGGGCCAACATTGCAGCTCTGCGACGAATTGGCGTGCGCAGCGTTGTTGCCTTCTCTGCCGTAGGTTCCCTACGCGAAGAGATCAAGCCTATGGACTTCGTTGTGCCGGACCAGGTTATCGACCGCACTAAGGGCGTTCGTCCATCTACCTTCTTCGAAGGTGGGCTTGTCGGCCACGTCCCCTTCGGCGATCCCTACGACGACAAGATTGCTCAGATTGTACGCCAGTGCGCAAAGTCTATGCAGGGTGACGGTGTGGTATTGCACGGCAGTGGAACTGCCGTCTGTATGGGTAGGTACTGAAATTAACTATTAACTAGTATGCTTTACTAATAGTGCTCCATCACCAGAGGGCCCTCAGTTCTCGACACGAGCCGAATCGAACCTGTACCGCTCTTGGGGGGGTTCGGTGATTAGCATGTCGCTGCTGCCGGAAGCTAAGCTAGCGAGAGAGGCAGAGATGGCGCTCCAGGTCATTTGCATGGCTACAGACTATGATTGCTGGCATACTACCGAAGATGTCGACGTATCCATGGTTATGCACTATATGGAAACTAACAGCAAAAATGCGCGGCGGCTAGTTGGTGCCGTGCTAGACGAGCTGTGCAAACACGAGAATAGCGACTTGGTTACCGCCAAGCATTGGGAGGGTGCCAGCAAGGGTGCTGTGATGTTTTGCACCAAGCCTGAGGGCCGGAACCCCGAGGCATTGAAGAAAGTCCAATACCTATTCCCGGGCTTCTTAGAAGAGTGATAGCTTCTCAAAACGTGATGGAAAGCGCAGAGGGGCGATAAAACACATAGACATAGATTATTGTCATAGACTACTCGATAGAGACGGATATAGCGGCGTCGCTGCTATCATTGTGGTTGTATTGTAAGTTGCCTAGTTGCCTAGTTTCGTCGAGGCCAATGCCTCAACACCATGTAGAGCTAGATCGGTGCAAATGGAAGTATCGTAAAAAGTATCCACCACAGCTCCTCAGCAGAGGCATGCAAGGTTAGGGTTTACCTAAGGTATTACGTTATGTGAGCTATGTTACATGAAGTACCTAACATTACGTTATAACTATATCAACATACATACATGTACTAATAGATAAAATTATGTGAGCATCGATATAGAAGAATGTAGGTCATACTTGTATTATATGCAGGTATGCATAATGCCAATTAAAGATATTGGAAAACTTCAGGCGTAACTTACCCCTCAGTTACCTATTTTTGTACCGCAACCTTAGAACACGGCTTTGTATAACAATCGACATCATGAGTGTGATAGAAGGTGAGCGAGCAGCTTACCTTTTAGATGCCCAGAACAAAGCAGTCCAACTTTTTGAGGAAATAGAGGAGAAGCTTATTCGACCCGGTATCAGCGAGAAGACGTTGAGCGATGAGATCCATAAACTTGGGACAGAACGCCATGGTGTTAAAACACATTGGCACAAAAGAGTTGTCAGAAGCGGACCAAACACCCTTCTACCATTTGAGGATAATCCACCTGATCGTATCATTGGAGAAGATGACATCCTATATGTCGACCTAGGACCAGTATTTGAGGCCTGGGAGGCCGACTTTGGACGTACCTTCGTGCTTGGCGATGACCCCAATAAGAAACGTCTACGCGACTCTCTTGCCCCAGTCTGGAAAATAGTGAAATCTCGGTACCAGGAGAATCCAGATATGACGGGCGATCAATTGTATGGCATTGCCTGCGAAGAAGCTCGAAACGCTGGTTGGGAATTCGGCGCCAAACTTGCTGGACATCTAGTCGGGCTTTTCCCACATGAACGTATTCCCCGGGACAGAATATCTCTTTATATTACCAAGGGGAACGACCAAAGAATGAGCAATCCTGGCAAAGATGGAAATAAGCGGCACTGGATTCTTGAGATCCATCTTCGCGACAACAAAAACAAGGTCGGGGCTTTCTACGAACAACTCTTGACAGTTGATTAGGCTACTAAACGGCCAGAAAACGGCCAGGTAAAAGGGGAATGGGGGGAAGGGGAGTATTACGGAGAGTTCTAGCAGTTCAATCTATGCGGAGTAAAATAGTGAGAAATACATACATGGCTTTTGTATTAGCTCTTACAATATTATTAATTAACCAATCAACCTAACCGCTATTAGAAAGTCTTGCGTGAGGTTGATTCCGGAGAAGGTAGAGAATATGCCAAAGCACATATGAGGCCCCAATTACGGGTTCCTCAGGAAAATGACTAACTGCAACATTACACTGTTTAAACGGTGCTGTTTGCTAGGTGAATTTTCCGAACCGCCGGCGGATGTACCTATTGGGTTATGCTAACAAATAAGTAAGATTTAAAATAAAATTTAATATATTACGGTTAAAAGTTACGTAATTATTTAGTTTTATTAAACAATTTACGTAATTTAATTTTAAATTAAACATTTTAAATTTATATATATATATATATATATATATATATATTTAATTTTATAATTTATTATTTATTAAATTTTTATAATAACTTTTAAAAATTTAAATGTAAAAAATATTTTTAATAAATAATAAATTATAAAATTAAATATATATATATATATATATATATATATATATTTAATTTTATAATTTATTATTTATTAAAAATATTTTTTACGTTTAAACTTTTAAAAATTATTATAAAAAGTTAATAAATAATTAATAAATAATTGATTAATAAATAATAAAAAATTAATAAAAGTTTTTAATAAATTTTATTATATAAGTTTATAAATATGTAAAAACGTTTACGCGAACTTATAAATGTATGCGTTTTTTTAAATTTTATTTTTTATTTGTTTAAATATTATATTATATTAATAAATAAAAAATAAACTATTTTTAAATAAATAATTTAAAAATTATATATAATTAATATATAATAAAACTTTTTTTTAAAAAAATTACACAATTTATTAAAAAGTTAAAAATATAAGAAATAAATTAATATTTATAATTAAAAATATATAATTTATTTTAAAATTATATAAATAAATTTTTATATTATTAAAAATTTATTAAAGTTTTTTATTATTTATATTAAATATAAAATTATATTTATTATATATTATAAATTAAAAGAATAAATATAAATTAAAACCTTTTAAAAATTATAATAATAATTTTCAATAAATATATATTTTTATTTTTTATTTTTTAAATAATAACAAATTTTATAAAAACTATAACAACTTAATTATATTTATTAAATATATACGTTAAAAATTTATTATTTATAAAATAAATTATTTTAAAATTTAATTTTCTTTAATAATTTTTTATATAATTAAAAGCAAAATAAAATCCTTGATTGATTATTTTAAATTAAAGTTTTAACTATTTTTATATATACCAGTCAGGCCTTTTATCCCGTAGGGATAAAAGGCCTTTAATTGGATATAACTATTTGTTACTTGTTATATTTAATTCATTTTATTTCATTCCACAATAATTATTATTTATAAATTATAAAATTTTATGTTAAAAAAATTATTTATTATATTTTTTAATTTAAATTTAATTTAAATTTATTATATATTATGATATTATTTGTTTTTAATTTATTTAATTTACTATTTAATTAATTATTTAATTATAAATGTATATATTATAAAATTTTATTATATTTATTATAAATAAATAAAAATAATAATAACAATTAAAAACAACTTGTATTAATAAGCCATTTTTTAATGAAATTATAATGAGTTAATTTTTTTAAGATAAATATATTAACAAACCTCCGGTTTGTTAATAAATTTATAACTAAGCTTAAAGTTAATTATATAAGTTAATAATTGGTTATAACAAGCTGCGTTTACCATGTATATATTTTTAAATTATAATTAAATATCATTTAAATATTTAAAATATTTATATTTAAAAATAAAATTATTATTAAAATTTTATAAAATTTTTATTATTTATTATTATTTTATTTTATTTTTATTTTTATTTTATTTATTAAATTATATTTTAAATTATATTTTCATTAATTTTTTTATTTATAATAATTATAATAATAATAAATAGTAAAGTTTTAATTTAATATTTTAAATATAATATTATATATTTATTTTTATAATAATTATTTATTTTTTATAAAAAATATTAATTATAATTTAATAATTTTATTTTTTATTTAAAAAAAAGTTATAATTTAATATACATTATATATTTAAATAATAATATTTTTTATAATAATTAATATTATTTCCATATATTTAAATATAAAATATATAAACTTTTATTATTAATATTTATAAACTTTTTTAATTAAATATTATATAAATATTTTATTATATAATTTTTAATAATTAAATATTTTTTATAATAATATCTTTTAAATATAACGCAATTTAATTATTAATTAATTTTTTAAAAATATAATAATAATTATTATTAATAATTTAAAAAATTTATATTATATATTTTATTAAATTAATTAATTTATAAACAATAAAATAAATAATTAATCTTTAATTAATTATCTATTAATTAAATAATTTATTTTAATTAAAAAAGATTTTTTTTTAATAAATTAAATTTTTATAAATTAATAATTTTTATATTTAATAATTTTTATATTTAATAATTTTTATATTTAATAATTTTTATATTTAATAATTTTATTTTTATTAAAAAATTTATAAACTATTAATATTATATCTTTATTATTATTATTATTAGTAAATATGTACATAGAATAAAACAAATAAATAAAGTAATAACTAATAAAATAACAATTAATTGAAATAAATATATTTATAATATTTAAGAAAAAAAAACCATTTAAAAAAATATACCAAAAGTATACCTTATTTATATATATATATACCCTTTTTCTAATATGTAAAAAACGTAATTTTTCTTTAATTATTATATAATTATTATTTATTTTTTTTATAATTAATTAATTGCAAAATTCTTTATTAATTAAATAATTTATTTATTTAATAATTTTTTTTTTTACTTATTTTTCCAATTTTAAATTAATTTGATTATTTTTTATAAATATTTATATAATTTTGTTTAATAATACTTTTATTATTATATTAATAAAATTATATTAACTATAAATTTAATAAATATTATTAATCTTTTAATTTTTATATAATTATTATAAAACTATAAAATTAATTATTAATTTTTTTTTGTTAATATTATTTATTTAAATAAAATATTAATATAATAAGAAAAAATCGGTATATAAAATAAAAAAGAATTTAAAAAAACTTGTTTAATTTAAAATTATATTAATTATATTATTAATAATATTAATTATATTATTAATAATATAACTTATATTAAATCTTTATATTATATTATAAATTTTATTTATAAATATATTATAAATAATTTATTTATATTTAATAAATAATTAATAAATAATATTATTTATAATATATATTTTATTATTATAATTTATAAGTTTTTTATTATTAAATATAATAATATAATTAATTTATAAATTTAAATTTTAATTATTAATAAATAATTTATTTATAAAAATATATAATTATAAATTTTATAAATTTAACTTAATAAAATTAAAATTTTAATTTTTATATTTTATTTATTATTTAATTTTTATGTTTAACGCCTTTATTTTTTTTAAACTAAATTTTATATATTATATCGTTATAAAATAAATAAATATAATATATACGTTTTTTATTTATTATTTTATAAAACGTTTAATTATATTAAATATTTTTGGGTTTAATATTTTTAATTTTTTAATTTATTTTTTTTAAATAATAATAATTATCTTTTTATTAATTATAATTTATAATTTATTAAAATTTTTAATTATTTTTACCTTTAATATTTTTTAAGGTTTTATTTTAATGTTTATTTTTATAAAAATTTTATTTTTTTCGATTATAAATTTTATAATATTAATATTTAATATATTATTTATTTAAAAATTTATAATTTTAAATAATTAATTAAAATTTATAATTAATAAATATAGGTTAAAAATTAATAATAATATATTTAATTCTGCTAATTTATAAAGAAATTTAATTATTTATAATAATATCTTTTTAAAATACTTTTTTTTTAATTTTAAAAATAAATATATATATATTATTTTTTATATAAAAATTTTAGATTATATATATATTATTATAATATTTTAAATTATTATTTTTATATTTTACTATTATAATATAAATATTAATGTAAATATTAAATATTAATTAATATATTAAATTGTAAAAATATATATTATAATAAAGTTTTTATTAAAATTTTTATATTTTTAAATTATAAATTAAAATTTTTTATATAATATTAATATATTCTTATTTTTTATTTTTTAAATTATATAAAATTTAAAGATAATTATATTTTGATAAATTATTTTATTATATATTTTAAGTTATAAAATATTATTAAAAAATAAAACGTTTAATTTTTTTATATTAAAAACTTTATATAATTTTTTTAAAATAATTATTTTTTTATTTAATTTTAATTTTAAAATAAAAGTTTAATTAATTTTCTTTTTTATATTTAAATATATTATATTTATAAAAAATATATTTAAATTTTTATTAAAAATAATTTTATAATTAGTTAAATTAAATCTTGATAGTAATAATAATAATTTAATTTTAAAGTTTTTTTTAATTATATATATAATTTAACATATATATTATAAAACGTAAAAGTTTTTTTTAAAATATTTAATATAATTATTATATTTTTATTTATAATTATAATAATTTTATATAATTTTTTTTATTTATTTTTTTTGCGGTAAATTAATATATTATTATTAATAAATAATAATATAAACAATATTTTTATTATATTAAATTTATTTTATATATTTAAAATATTATAAATAGTTTTTTATATTTTAATTTTCTTTATTTTAATTATAATTTTTTATATTATTTAAGTTTTTTATAACTATAATAATATAAAAAATAAATTTATA